CCCCCCCCCCAAAAAAAAAAAAAAAAAAAAAGGCCTCAAAGCCTGAGCCGCGAAGTGCAATTCCCCAGAGCTCTCAACTCCACAACCTAAAACCCTGTAAGTCCCCTAATCCCAAGAGCACGAGGTTCTGATTTCAAAAGGGTCTTCTGCAGTCTTACGTCACAAAAGGGTGGTGAGAAAAAAACCCTAAACCCTAAACCCTAAGCCCTAAACCCTAAACCCCAAACCCTAAACCCTAGACCCTAGACCCTAATCCCTAAACCCTAAACCCTAAACCCCAAATCAAAACATCCTGAACCCTAAGCCCTAAACCATCCTAGAACCAAGCCTGGGTCCGCAAGAAGGACTGCTGCAAGCCCGAGGTGGCCGGGAGAGCCACGCCCCAAGGACCTAAGGTCGGGTAGTGTAGGGGGTTTAGGGTTTAGGGTTTAGGGTTTAGGGGTGTAGGGGTTTAGGGTCTAGGGTTTAGGGTTTAGGGTTTGGGGGGGGGGGGGGGGGGCCTTGTTATAAGGGAATCCTACTATTCGGTGGGGCTATATTAGGGGTCCCTTGTTTTTCGCAACCCCCTCCATGTGGGAGGGTTTCCGATATTTGGGGTTGAGGGGTTTAGGGTTTAGGGTTTTGCAAAAAGGGTTTAGCGCTTAAGGTTTAGGGCCGGGAGTTTGGGTTTTTATACACGATGATAGAGGACTTTCTTGTGTGTGCTAGGATATGGCATCTTGGCTTGAGCATCTCAATTCGCACTCATTAGTGCCACGAGCATCTGTTGCGGATGTAGCAGTGAATCCTCGCAGTAGGACCAGCTTTTAGTTTGCAAGCATGCGGTGATCAAAACATAACAGCAGCAATATTTACTCCAGGCCTCTTGTATCAAGTCCTGACTCATCCACCGATCCACCGTGGCGCCCTGTCATGAAACTGTTTTCAGCATGTGTCTTCGCGATGCTGGCCTTCTTGGGTGAAGCGATCATCAGCTGCGGAGGAGCTCGGCAGCTTGCTGTGTAGACAACAACCCAAGCAGCAGGATTTGCAAAGCCAACCCCTTGTTGGGGACCGAACGAACCTTAAATTTGGAGTCATATACCCCATACTGTACTGACAATACTCCCGATCAGGGTATGCGAAATCATTTGGTCCGCAAGGTCAGCATGTTCCAGGCCTTTGCGTAAAGAGCTTGGCCTTTGTGACGCTGTCTCCGGCTCACGGCTCCCAGGTGTCGTAGAACCAACTCCCATGCCCACAGAATGTCCCACAAGAGAACTCCTCACGGTGTCCAGCCCAGGGTGACCCCGGGTTGAATTGTTTTTTTGCAAAGAGCCTAGTTCGGCTCTTGGGGATATCTCATATTTTCCCGTACTGGGCTTAAGAGGACCGTATTATTTAGGAATCCTTGTAGCTTTCCACGGGAGAAGTGCTGCCATGGCGACTTTTCAAGAGGCGGTGATGTCCCCTCGGGCCACTCGGCCGAATAAGAGCCCCTGGTAGGCCAGTGACACCCTTTTGCCCACTTTTTGTTGGTTCAAGGGTAACCAAGACAAGCACGGGTACCCTTGGTACAATACTTGGAGGTTCATGGGGGCTTATAAGTAGGGGGTATAAGTAGGGTAACTCTGGTTATAACCGTACTTAGGGTACTTTATAACCCCACTGATAGTACCCATGAACCTCCAAGTGTGGTTGCTGGGCTACCAAGAGTTTGAATTTCTCTCAAGAATGGTCGCGCCCTGCTTAGTTGTAGAGTAGGTAGCTTGTAACCCTTCCTTGGGGGTAATGGAATCCCCTTATCATCCAATCTTTAGTTCCCCTAGGTACTGGACAATAGCCCAAAGAGCCCCATATCCTTAGCTAAGGAATATACCACCTTAAATCAGAATAAGGATCCCTATATGATTTAAGGAATATTCCTTAACTAAAGCAATATTGGGCTCTTTGGGAGGTAAGGAATATCCCTTAATTAAGCAATATTGGGCTCTTTAGGTACTGGACAATAGGTGCCGCAGACCCCAGCACAGCCCAGGTTCAAGACGTCGTGGAGACGGAGAAAGCTGCAGAGTGGTCCATGGACGGGCAAAACCAGGCAGGACTGTAGGACAACAAGGTTCCTTTAGGGTTTAGGGCTTAGGGCTTAGGGCTTAGGGTTTAGGGGTTTAGGGTTTAGGGTTTAGGGTTTAGGGATCTCTGAATGGTGGTGGGGTTGGGAGGTGGGGTAGTCTCAGGTTGGGAGGCGGTGGGTCTGGGAGCTACGGTCGAGATTCAGGGTCGTGGTGTTCGGGATGACTTTTAGCTTGCCTTCTGGCCAAATGCTGAACCAAACCATGAAAACTTGCATGTTTCCGGGACAGCACCTCCATGTGATCCCGCCAAATCATTTCCGGACCTGATTCCGGTGGACCGCGCTCACCAGGGTTCAACATTGCTAAAAGTAACTCCTCAACCCATCCTAAACCCTAAACCTTCTAGCGTGGAGCCTGCCGTTGCAGCGAGTGCTTTCAGAAAACTCTGCGCCCTTAGGCCCTTAGGTGGGTTTAGGGTTTAGGGTTTAGGGTTTAGGGTTTAGGGTTTAGGGTTTAGGGTTTAGGGTTTAGGGGTGTTAAGTGGGAAAGGGCCAAGGGCCGGGGAGGGAGTGCCCTCCGCATCGTGCCCAGGATTGGAAGAATTTTCTACAGCAGCAGTTTTCCAAGCAAGCAGCTCTCTTACAGCAGCTCTTTGGACGGGGAATTTGGCGCCGGGCTTATGTGATTTAGGCATTTCAGGCATTTGTGCACTGTTTCGCATTTCATATCGTGGCGACACAGGTGTGTGGCGAGGGTGCCGCAAGAGGTCCGCCCTTGCAAGCCCAGACCCCCCACACCCGAAACTCCTAAACCCTAGACCCTAAACCCTAAACCCCCCCTACTGGCCCAAGGCTAACGCTGCACCTCCGGGACGAGACGCAAGCTGGCCTCAAGCTGGAGAACAAAAAGCTGCTTGGTTCAGGGTTTAGGGTCTAGGATCTAGGGTTTAGAGGTTAGGAGAAAGTGTTGGGTTTAGGGTTCCACCGCGCTTCGGGTTGAAGGTTCCGGGCTTGGGGCGGATCGGGAGAGACATCGCTGAGGTGAGCGCATGGTGCTTCAATCCTGAATGACCTTAAACCCCAAACCCTAAAACCTAAGCCCCAAACCCTAAACCCTAAACCCCAAGCCCTAAACCCTTAACCCTAAACCCTAAACCCTAAACCTGCAAGCTCAAGACGGCCGAGGCTCTCCCAGGCTGTGCAGGAGCAGTTTGCGAAGCAGGCGAAGCTGCTGCAAGGTCCGCCCCGCGGGAGGGGGGGGGGAGGGGTTTAGGGTTTAGGGTTTAGGGTTTAGGGTCGCAAGTCCAGTGGCAACAAAGGGTTTAGGGTTTAGGGTTTGCGGTTTGTTGGTTTGGGTTTTGGGTTTTGGGTTTAGGGGTTAGGGCGATGATGGGAAGAGTCGTCTTGGGTACGGATCCCGGCATACTCCTTATTGTAGGAACCTTTAAAAGGGCACCCCTATGTTCCAGAGCCCAATGACAGAAAATGCAAGGGACTGCTACCTCGGGTCCACAAATTCAACGCTTCAAGCCCGGGGAAGCCCATGACCCAACCGAAACCCGGTATACAAGAATATAGGAATACAAGAATATAGCAAGGTAAAAAACACATAATTGTGCAATACTTCAAGAGTATTAGAACGGCCCCCTATATTTGTGACGCGCGCAGGCCTGAACACCGCCCCTCACTGGTCTTCTGATCTCGGCAGGTACGGCTAAGGGATCAAGGTTTTAACCGTAAACCCTAAACGTAAAAACCCCAAAAACTCCTTCAGGGACTATACGGGGTGTACCGACTTTGCCACTGCAAGCAGTGAAGTTGCTATGCGTTTAGGGTAGGGCACGGCAGGACGTTTGCTGGGTTCTGGATTCATTCACAAGTTGAGTATTTCGTGGTATTGCCAGGCTTTCCGTCCCTTGGCACACGGCTTGTGATTTTTTCTGGTCCTTGGGAGTTACTGGATCTGTCCCTGAAGCTGATGCCCAGAGTTGAACCCCTTTGATAGCCCAAAGAGCCCAATCTTGCTTAATTAAGGAATATTCCTTAGTTAAGCAATATTGGGCTCTTTGGGAGTCTGTAACGCTGGCTCGGTGAGCTGAATTAGCAGCTCTTGCTGTGTGAGCCCTCAGTTGGCCTTACTTCAGGGGTATAAGGAGGCACCCTCAATCTTATTCCCCCTAGAAAAAACCTAATATAGCCCCTGTATCCCTAAGTAGATCCTAAATAACCCCTAAATAACCCTGAAGGTCCCTTATAAGGGTCCCTCCTTTAGTTCCTTGCAACCCTAAACCCTGAACCCTAAACCCTAAACCCTAAACCCTAAACCCTAAACCCTAAACCCTAAATAACCCTTAAGGTCCCTTATAAGGGTCCCTCCTTTCGTCCCTTGGATAGCCCGGAAGGTCCGAGGACCCTCTGGTGCAGGAGGGCACTGGCGAGCTGCCTGTGCCTCCACAAAGTTAGGGTTTAGGGTTTAGGGTTTAGGGGTTAGGGGTTAGGGGTTTAGGGTTTAGGGTTTAGGGTTTAGGGTTTAGGGTTTAGGGTTTAGGGTTTAGTTTTGGGTTTAGCTTGGGATGTTCCCCCTTGAAATAACAGATAGGGATGAGAGTACCCTGGTAAGGATGATAGGGGGGAAATTCCCGTGTGGGGGTTTGCGTTTGCAGGGTTTTTGGGGGTGAGTTTCGGATTTGGCATGTGTTGATTCTGAACCGTTTTAGGTTCGGATGCCAGTTGGCATTTCAAAGGTGGGTTCGGACTCTTCTTTGCAGAGCTGGTGTTTTCTAGGATGCCCAGTAGTACCCTTATTCCCTTTTTTGGGGGGTTTAGGCTCCCTTATAAACCCCTTTAAGCAAAAAAGGGCACCCTTTTTGAGCCTTGGTTACTGGGCAGCCTAGTTTTGGAGGTCCGTTTTTCATTTGGGTTTGCATGGATGTGGGCATCGGACACCTGGACTGAAAAGGTTTGGTGGTATCCAGGCCATGCTTATCAGTAGCTTGGCCCTTCTTGGGGGATGGGATAGTTCTCCTTCCTTGGGTTTAGTGGGGGTCTTATTCAGAATTATTTCATACAGTTTACCCAGCGGGTGTTTAGGCCGGCAGAGACCCCGGGCGCAAACCTGGCTGTATCTCCTGTAGTCTAAACCCTAAACCCTAAACCCGAGACCCTAGACCCTAAACCCTAAACCCTAAACCCTTTGCGCCCATGGCGGGTGATCAAGAGCTAAGGCAGAGGTCGGCACGAAGCAGGACTCCAGCGACTGGAGCCCCAAATGAGGGTTTCCGAAATTGAGGGGTAATTTGTTTGGGTAGTTTTTTTAAGGAAATCCTACTATTTGGGGGTCTGTTTTTGGGGCCCCTATTTTCGTAATTTTTTTTTATCCCAAACCTCTGGACACGGAAGATGCGCAAGTTCCACGTGCGTTGACACCCTACGTCTGCTTCCCAGGCTGAGTGAGGTGTGTTCCCCTTCAAAGACACTTGGGGGTTCATGGGTACAGAAACGTATGGTTATGAGTAGGGTAATTCTATTCATAAGCCTACTTAGGTTAATTATATAGAACCCTTATTGAGGTTAATTATATAACGCCTACTTAGGTTAATTTCTTATAACCCCCTTATAGCTACCCGTGAACCTCCAAAGTGGAGTCTATAGAGACTATGGATTTGGTACTCAGAGAGCCCAATACCCCTTAATTAAGGAGATATACCTTAAATTGTATAGGGGCCCTTAATATGATTTAAGGTATGAGTATTTCCCAAAACAGGGGGTACCCTTAATACAAATTCAACCCCAAAAAAAGTATAATCCTTACTATAGGAACCCCACAAAGGGTACGGTTCAGGGTTTAGGGTCTAGGGTTTAGGGTTTAGGTTTAGGGTTTAGGGTTTAGGGTGTACGGAAGCCTCCGTCTATTCCTTAATTAAGGGATATTGGGCTCTTGGGCTCAGGAGGCCGCGGAAGGAGGTTCGGCGCTCGCGCTGCAAGGTGCGGTCAAGGGTTTCGGGTCGAAAATGCTTTTAGGGTTTAGGGTTTAGGGTTTAGGGTTTAGGGGACATGGAGGTTCACGGGTAGTTATAAGTAGGGTGCCAAGTGCCCTAAGCAGGGATTTGCGTACAGTCGCCATACTTCTCACCCCTACTTAGAACTAGCCATGAACCTCCAAGTAGGGGTTACTGAAATCGTATTGAGTTAGAACGCTTCTGGGCTCGATCCCTTCTAGGTGTTTCCTCCTTCTAGCCCCTTAATCGTATGAACCTTAGGACTTGCAGCCGTTCGGAGGGACCTCCATGTCGGGGAGTTGGGTGGCGGGAAAATTATATTATTTGTTTGGGTTGAAAGGAGCTTGAGGACCCTTCTCAGTTCCCTAGCCCTAAACCCTATAAACCCTATAAACCCTATAAACCCTAAACCCTATAAACCCTATAAACCCTAAACCCAAAGAAGGGGTGTAGACCGCAACTGCCAGGTTCGGCGGAACACACCCGCGATCGGGATAACAAGCCAGCCCTGCACAGCTGGACCAGCGCCCAAGCCGCCTAGACTTCCTCGTGTCGGTGCATCCCTGCTGGTGTGGCGTTTGTAGGTTCAAGATGTGGTGCGGTTTAGGGTTTAGGGTTTAGGGCTTAGGGTTTAGGGTTTAGGGTTGTGCGAGGCTTGGTGGCTGCATGGCACATGTGGTGGCGGACAGTATGCGTTCGGAAACTTGTGGGTCCACTTTTGAGCCCACAGGGAGTTGAGGGTTGACAGGGGTTTAGGGTTTGGGGTTTCGGTTTAGAGTTTAGGGTTTAGGGTTTAGGGCTAGCCCCCAAGCCCAGTTGCAAATTAGGGTTTAGGGTTTAGGGTTTAGGGTTTGGGGTTCTCAAAGCTCCTGGGAGCCAAGGCTCTTGGAAGCACGACGATGAGCATCCGGAACCGACCTCCAAGTCTCAAGCTGTGGCCCTGGCCATCGTGTACCCAGGTTGTGATTTTTTTGCCCTTATTGGGCTTGTCAATGGGTTTCGGGTTTAGGGTTTAGGGTTTTGGGTGTGGGGTTTAGGGTTTTGGGTTTAGGGTTTAGGGTTTGGCCCTGGCCATCTTGTACCTTATTGGGCTTAATGAGTTTGCCCATTGAGGGTTTAGGGTTCAGGGTTTAGGGTTTAGGGTTATTGGATACCCGATATCCCCCTTGGGGTTTTTTATTTTTGTTTACATAAAGCCCAAGAGGGTTTTAAGAATGTTAAATTTTTTAATTCTGGTTCTAAGGAGAGTATAGTACCTGGGTTGTGATTTTTTGCCCTTATTGGGCTTCATAGGAAGATGTTTGCCCATTGAGGGTTTAGGGTTTAGGGTTTAGGGTTATTGGGCTTAAGAGGAAGATGTTTGCCCAGATCTTTCAGATTTTCCCCTACTGGCTTTAGAGGGTTCGACTCATTTTAAGGACCATCTGGGCCATGATCTTTCATACTGTTTGCCTTATTGGGTTCAAGAGGACTCTATTCACTTTAAGGAGCATATAGGTGAATGGGTTTAAGAGGATTGGGTGTGCCAATCTTTTTCAGAGGCTGTTAAGGGCCATCCAAGGCACTCTCCCACCTTCACCCACGCCATCACCCTGCTGATCTTGGCCGGGGAGCCCCAGTTTCATGTTCTTGGGGTTTAGGTTTTAGGGTTTAGGAAGGGAGTCTGGCTTGCCTTCAGTCCAGTGGCACAAGGGTTTAGGGTTTCCTCCCTTGCCTTAGGACACCCGCGTTAGCATGGCTTGATGTTGCACCCGCTTGAGTGCGTAGGCTGGCAGGTACCGGGTTCAAAAGGGTTTACTTAGTAGTAGAGTAGATAACCTTTAACCTTTTTGGGTTAATATATTCCCCTTGTAATCCCAAAGGTTAACCTTTAAAACCCATAGGTACTGGACAACTAAGTTTAGGGTTCAGGCTTTCTGGGCAAAAAAAAGAAAGGGTCTAGGGTTTAGGGCACCAAGCTTTGGGCTGCTTCCCTAACCCTAAACCCTAAACCCTAAACCCTAAACCCTAAACCCTAAACCCAAAACCCTAGGGGAAAAGGCTTGCCTTTGTAATACAAAAAGGGCTTTGGGACCTTTCTGTTGGCACATGTTTGGTATTTGTTTCTGAGGGCCGAGTAGACTTGCCCGTGTTCTGTCAAGATGGATCCTGGCATCCTAAACCCTAAACCCTAAACCCTAAACCCTAAACGAGCCCCCGTACATCCCATGTTTCCTGTGCTGAACACGACTCAGTGTCCAATGCCTAGAAGTTTCAGGGCCATATACCGGAGAACTGCTTTGTATGTCTGTTGTGGGAGATGGGCCTTCTTGTCTACTCAGCCCATCAGGAGCATCACGGTCCTTCCTCACATGAAGCAGGGTTTATATTTCTGTTTTTGGTGAGTGTATATAAGGTTCCTTTTAATATTTGTGAGTGTATATACCTGGTGTCCTTTTGGGGGGTACAAGAAATATATACCCTACTTCACATCATGCAGGCTCAGGGTTCAGGTGCGGCTGGAGTAGAACTCTCTCTGGCCTCGGCGCTCCGAACCTACCAAAAGAGCCCAATAGTGCTTAATTAAGGGAATGTACCCTTAAATCATATTAAGGATCCCTATATGATTTAAGGAATATTCCTTAATTAAGCAATATTGGGCTCTTTGGGTAGCGCCCGAACTTCTCAAGACGCTGCCTTTACGAGTCATCGCACATGCATGCTAGTAAGCACATCCTAGAATAACTTTCCATGTCGAAGCCTTTTGCATATGACGAACCTACTGGCAGGCCTACCGTAGGGCTATGGGTGGGCTACCTACTGAATTAGGAGTAAGCCCGGAACTTGCACCACATCTGGGTCATTGTTGAAAATCATTCTACATGTTTAGGAAACCCAATAAAGGAACAAAACTGATGATTTCTAAACAGTACCCCAACAACGGTGCACCGCATCGCATGACACTCCAGGTGAACATGGTCATTCTCGGGGTGGAGGTGGACATTGCTTCGCACCTTCCACCCTACGAGGACAAAGCAGCGTGAGATGTTGTGGAACCCAAATAGACCCCACGCGGCCCAAAATAGTTATGAACATCGTGAAGTAGGTGTCTACATTACACATATATATATATGTATATATATATATATACGTATTTGTACATGTACACATATATATATATATACATACGGACATACATATCTCTTCTTCTACTTCTAGAATTGCGGGGGGTTCCCCCGCACGCCGCGAGCATACAGATCGCTTCACCTTCTTCTACTTGTTCTTCTTCTTCGTCCTTTACGGCTTGAGGACGACTACTCTGAATAAGGTCGCGAAAGGAAGAGCTACGGATTCCTAAGTGAGCGCGATGCAAAATGGCAGGGGCCAAGTCAGAGCTGTTCATGGCCTGAGATTGTTACAGCTGCTGGTATCATCTCCGAAGGGCAAACCCCCACATACCTGGAGATTCATGGGTAGCTGTAAGTAGGGGTTATAAGCACCCTAAACGGATTAGAAGTATAGCTACCATGGAAAAAATCTCTACTGTTAATAATAACCCATGAAACCCACCAGCAGGCGTTTTTTTTTTTACACCACGAGCTGATGGAGTCCTACATGCCACGGCCACATGCCTCCATGCACGGGTGAGGTGTGCGGCGAGTTGAAGACAAACGCTGCATGTGCCTTAGGTTTAAACCAGATTACATAACGAAACGCACCATCCAGTAGCTAGCGAAGCGCACCATGCAGTAGCTAGCCGTAGCCCAATACGAAAGTATAGTAGCTGGAAACTATGTGTAGAGGAGATCGCTGTTGTCAGCTCAGAACAAGAAGCCTAAAGTAGTCCGATATGTATTCGACCAATAAGGGGCATTTAGCTTCCCAGCTTCATCCACAAAGCCTATGTGTCAGGAGCCAAGATGGTTTGGACTCATCAATGTCATCATTGTGGCCTAGCTCAACCCTAGACTCTAAACCTTAGGGTTTAGGGTTTAGGGTTTAGGGTTTAGGGTTTAAGCCTTAAGACCTGCGCCTTTCTAGAAAGGCATGTCCGCAAGTACGGGCACCCTGTATATAGGGAGGCAATCCCCGTTTAAGGGGGATAACTTATCAACTTAAAGCTCCCTCATCAGGAAATTGCCCGGCGATGTAAGAGTCTTTGGCTCTTTCGTCGTCGGTTTTTCTGGCGCCCGAACCATAAACCTTGAGCCTTCTAACCCTGCCATGCAGGAGCGGAGAAGTCCGGAACCCTAACGCCCTAAACCCTCAATCTAAACCCTCAACCCTAAAGCCTAAAGCGGCTTGTAAAAAAAACCTAAACCCTAAACCCTCCCTCCCACAGGTGGCTGTCTTTGTTTTCGAGCTGATCCTGAAGCTGCTCGGGGACATCTTTTTGGGTTTAGGATTTAGGGTTTAGGGTCCAGGGCTGGTTGCCCACGGGACCCCTGCCCGTAGCTTCCGTACCTAGGGGATTGGGTGTTTAGGGCTTGGGGAACCTTAGCCCTATACCCTACATCTTTAAAGTCGACCATGAGTACCGGGAGAGGGGGGGCGATGACTTCTCAGTGCCCGACAGTCTCATAGGCCTGGATGCAAAAAGAGAAGAACAACGAACTTTGATTGTTGGGTCCGGCTTGGCTAGGGGCATAATGACGCTGGAAACCTTGCTTCGTTCTTAATCTTCCCAGGGAGTTGGGTACCTTGCCGCACTCCAAGCAAAGTCTGCAGTCCATGGCTTCAGCCCCTACGCCTTTATCCTAAATCCCTATAACGTTTTTGCAATACAGTAAACCCCCCCAAAAGTTGGAAGCCTTTCTAAAAAATAGTGCTGGGATCCCCTATACTTTTACGCTTAGGGATTGAGGCTATTGAGTTTCCAACTTCTTGGCTTCTACTATACATCCCTATAACGTTTTCCAAATATCAAAAATCCGAAAGCATCCTTTAGCCTTTCAGTGCGTGCCTTTCTGGCCGCAGGGCCTACATCCTAAGCCCAAAGCCCAAAGCCCCAACATATCGTCCCGAAGTGTTACCCTGCGGTGTGACTCGTTCTGCTTATCGCGGGTGGCGAAACAAATGCCTAACCCCTATAAACCCTAAACCCTAAACCCTAAACCCTAAACCCAGGTTCGTGGCCTATGGCTGCAGAGGCTTCGTGCATGGACCGGAGAGGTGGTGGAGCCCTGCCCTGTTGTCGGCTCTGAGAATTTTTCAGCGGTTTAGGGTTTAGGGTTTAGGGTTTAGGGTTTAGGGGTTAGAGACCTCTTTCAAAAGAAAGGTTTTAGGGTTTGGCTTAGGGTTTCGCAAGCTCCAGATGTTGTTGGGCAGGTAGACATGTGGCCCTCCTGGGGCATCAGTGGCCAGAAGCCCTGCAGCCCCAAGATTCCGGTTTAGGGTTTAGGGTTTAGGGTTTAGGGTTTAGGGTTTAGGGTTTAGGGTTTAGGGTTTAGGGTTTAGGGTTTAGGGCCTCCCTGGTGCGTTGTAGGGCTTTGGGTTTAGTCAACCCGGATGCCCCCTCCCCCCCTAAACCCTAAACCCTAACCCTAAACCCTAAACCATAAACCCTAAACCCTAAACCCCACCAAAGCTTCCCGAGCGGGGGCTTCGAGGAACCTCTTCGATGTGGTCATCATCGGGACCTCCGTGCTGGAGACCGTCATGGTGCCCGGGTTTAGGGTTTAGGGTTTAGGGTCTAGGGTTTAGGGTTTAGGGTCTAGGGTTTAGGGTTTCGGGTTTTGGGCAAAAAAGTGAGGTAACCGGAGACCCAGGTACCCGGATCTAAGGAACACACCCTCATTTTCTACTCAGGCTCATGATTCTGAACTGGGGTATATTTCCTTCATGGGGCGGGGTTGTGGAAGATCTGGGTAGCGGTGGGGTTGACAACCCTAAACCCTAAACCCCAAACCCCAAACCCTAAACCCTAAACAAAAACCCTAAACCCTAAACCCTAAACCCTTACCGCGGCACCAAAGGAATTCATCGCCATCACGCTATCGGCAATGCAGATGGACTCGAGCGCCCTTGCTCGCAACTGCTGCTTCACTTGCTGCCCTCTGCGATCTACCCCCTGAATCCCTACCAATTGCTTAAGAACCCTACAAAAAATGACATATTCTTCTTTATCAGGGCGAATAGGGATGATTGCTCTTTAGTTTTGGGTAGTTCAAAACCCCTTTCTAATTAAGGCGTATACCCTAATTGATGCTAAGGACAACTGTCATGAGTTAGGGTATATTCCTTAACTAAGGGGTTTTCGGAAGATCTGGGCACCCCCTGAATCCTCAACAGTGACTAGTATGGTCTTGGGATGGTTCGTGTGTTCCCGTCTTAGGTTTTTGTTTTCAGGAGGTATGAAGGGCCCTAAACCCTAAACCCTAAACCCTAAAGCCTAAACCCTAACCCGCAAACCCAGGTTAAAAAAAAAACAGCAAGCCCCCCCCCCCCCCCCCCCCCCCCCCCAAAAAAAAAAAAAAACAAACCTCGAGCTTTGCAGACACTTTTGTCAGCCTCGTTTAGGGTGCAGGTTCTGGCGTTATGAGTTGTGATCTGCTTTTGCAAGCCAGATCCCCAAACTCTAAACCCCATATTCACCCCAAAAACCCTATAAACCCGAAACCCTAAACCCCAAAAACACACCCTTAACCCCACAAACCCAATAACCCTATCAACCCTATAAACAAAATCAACCCTGCAAACCCTCTGAACCTCAAACCCGAAACCCTAAACCCTAAACCCTAAACCCTAGACCAAGGCCATCTCCGGATCATGCGTTTTGCACGCATTGCGAGGGCGCTCCGGGGCGTGCGCGCGGTGCGCTTCCTCCGATTTGCGTCTTGGCTCTTCCTTGGTAGACCACCTAAACTCTAAGGGGTTTAGGGTTTGGGGTTGGGGTTTGGGGTTTTAGGCTTCATATACCTTAAGTAGGGATTATAGTAGTATAGAGTATGCCACCCCAATTTTGGGGGTTCATGTGGTTTCCAAGCTAATCCCTCAATGCTCTACAGGAGATGAAGGGAAGGAAGGTCGGCCTCAGTGGCTCAAGTTCTGCGCAGAGAGGCAGCGAAGAGTGCGGATCGACAGTGGCTGAAGTGCATGAGCGCTTGCAGGGCAACCGTTAGGGTTTAGGGTTTAGGGTTTAGGGTTTAGGGTTTAGGGTTTAGGGTTTAGGGTTTAGCCCCGAGCGACAGGACCGGGTTGGGGACCGGAGGGCCATGGGAGGTTTTACTTTCCGCTACGTTCCGCAAACCCAAAACTTTGACTGCTGTAGGAAGGTTGCTCATAAACTTTCCCTAAACCCTAAACCCTAAACCCTAAACCCTAAACCCTACAAGGAATTTGAGAACTAGCAGAGATGGCCGACCTTGCGAGCCCCGTCGACCCTGAATGTTGGTACCCCTTTGCTTCGACACTGTTTGGGGAACAATGGGTCAATAGGATTTGGGATATTAGGACATGCCCAAGCCCAGCAAGCCCCTGTTCACAGAACCCAGAAGCACGCGAACTGTGTCAAGGTCAGCGCCCTGCGAACGCTGGTGTTCATGGCTCAGTTTTTTTTTTTTTTTTTGGGGGGGGGGGGGGGGGGGGGGGGGGGGGGGGGGGCGGCTGTCTGAGTGTCCATGGTAATGCTGAGGTTTGGCACTCTCATGGGGTTGGATATCGGCTGTATTGGTCAACCATGGGGGCCTACTAAGGTTCTCCATCCTCAGTACGATGTGGTCTCTGATTTGGACGCTGGTGCTTCTCATTCTTCTTTTTTACTGCGGCTGGGCTGAGAGCAGATGGGTGTGTCGTACAAGTCCCAGTTTCCGCCGCCTGCCTCTAGCTACTGAAGGCAACTACCTTAAACCCTAAACCCTAAACCCTAAACCCTAAACCCACCCAGTTGCTAAACCCACCCAGTTGCTTCTGCCGGGTTACTCCCGTAGTCGGCGATGTTTACGCCCCAAAATCTTCAAGCCCGAAATCCTTCTGACATCCTCATGCAGTTGCTGAGTTGGTGGTGCGCAGCCTTTGTGTGTGCAGCTTGTGGCCCAGTTGAAAACAGGCGCTCGGTTCACTTGTATATGGTAGTCTACTTCCTTGGGATGCTTAGAATCTTATAGAATGTCTGGCGCATCGTAGGCTTCGCGGTGATCTTGACCCAGCTTGTGACGGACCATTGCGGCTTGGCTACGGTGCAGTTTTTTAGGGCCCTGGCTTCGGGCTTTTACAGAAAGCGCAGGGCGGGGCGCTTTTGAGCGCAGCTGTGAACCTCGAAGCCATACTTGTAAACCCTAAACCCTAAACCCTAAACCCTAAACCCTAAACCCTAAACCCTAAACCCTAAACCCTAAACCCTAAACCCTAAACCCTAAACCCTAGGGACCCTAAACCCTAAACCCTAGGGACCCTAAACCCTAAACTGCCTAGTTCGTGCTTGTAACTTGAGCTGGCACTTCTCAGCCATCCCTTCAACGCGGCACAGCTCAGTTGGGTGGCAAGAAAAGTTGACGGGTACGGGGGGGGGCCAGATCTTCCGAAACCCCTGAGTTAGGGAATATACCCTATTTCATAATCATGATCCTTAGTACTGAACTATTTTCATGATTCATGAGCCTTAGTACTGAATTGGGGCATACTCCTTAATTAAGGGGTTTTGGAAGATCTGGGGGGCTATATCACTCACTGCTACGGCTGAGATGTTTGGGGGCGGCTTGTGAAGTTTCCAGTCTGGAATGGCACCCTTGTGGCGATGTATCGAAGCGCCTGCAAATCTCAAACCAAATCTCTGAAGTACCATCCCCCTTAAACCCTAAACCCTAAACCCTAAACCCTAAACCCTGTACCGACTTCTGACACGAGAACACACCCGAAAGGTCGCTACAACTCCGGTGGCCTGGGGACCTGCGCGCCGGACCTACTGAGGCGCCTTAGTGGGGCTTAGGGCTGAGAGCTATGCCTAATCCCGAAACCCGAAACCCTAAACCCTAAACCCTAAACCCCAAGAAGACACGAAGTCCTGCGGAGTCCCAAGGGTCGGCGGCTAGCAGCACTAGTCCGCATTTTGCTTGTCATCGTACTTGCGGGCCGCCCAAAGGCTCGATGGCTTACTACTATTTGCTTACGAACCCCAAAAGAATAAAGAATAAGAAACACCTATATTACCCTTATAAGCAAGAATATATCTTAAGCAATTAGTAGCTTAGGGGTTGCCTTAAGAACCCAAACCTACTTTTTGTAGGTTCTTATTGCAGAGCCCCTCATCGAGTTTTCTTGGAAGCCTACAAAAAAGTAGGTTGCGGGTTCTCAAGGTCGAGTTTTGGCAACCCCTGCCGGCACTTCTGTTTGCCCAACGCTTTTGCCATCTGATGCCCGGAGGTACTGGAACAGTGTGGCGGAGAGCATGTCCCTGGGCGTGGTCGATCAATATCTTCGACTCAACCTTATTGGTCCTACATAAGCCCTACCGTAAACCCCATCTGCGTGGCTCATGGCAAGCAAGTAGAAGCTTTCCTCAAGGGGACAGGACAGGGCTCCATACAGCATGTACGGCTTAAGGGTACGGCAATTGCAAAAGTCTCCTCTGCGGCCTCAGTATCCGTATCATTTTCCCCATGAAGCCGGTATGATTTCATGGGGGGGTGGGGGGGCAGAAAGGCTGGGGTTTAGGGTTTAGGGTTTAGGGTTTAGGGTTTAGGGTTTAGGGTTTAGGGTTTAGGGTTTAGGGTTTAGGGTTTAGGGTTTAGGGTTTAGGGTTTAGGGTTTAGGGTTTAGGGTTTAGGGTTTAGGGTTTAGGGTTTAGGGTTTAGGGTTTAGGGTTCGGTTTTGAAGTAGCGATGCATAGACGCGGAGGAGTCAGGATGGGACGTAAGCGATGGCCCGAATGAGATTTCAGCCGGTGGCTTTAGCATGCTTGAGCCAAGCCATGGTAAACCCTAAGCCCGAAACCCTAAACCCTAAACCCTAAACCCTAAACGAGCCCTTGCCTGCCTTGTGCGAGTGCGAGAGCCGAAACCCTAAACCCTACACCCTAAACCCTAAACCGAAAACCCTAAACCCTAAACCCTAGTGGAGCCAATCCACCTGGTATGAATCTGCTGGACCTGCAAATTTGCCAGAACTTCCAATCAAACTGTGGAATCCCACCCCCACTACCCCACTATGAACCACCTCCCCCCCACCCCCCAAACCAAAAAAAGAGGAAAAGCAAAAAAACAGTCAGATATATAAAGGAAACACACACACTTATAGAACCTACACCGGCTGTATATTGAGGCTTGTGGATATGATGTGGAGGGAGGGGGTCGCATTTTTTTTTGAAACCTTCAAGCCTTGAAATTGACTCCAGGCTCACGCTGTTCATCTCGATCTCCGGCGGCCTCAGCTGGTCTGAAGCGCTTCAGCCATTGCGAGATGTGCCTTTGAGTGCAAGATTGAAGCACCACAATATGAGCTGCTTTCACCTCAAAGAGTTCTGGAAGTCGGGATTCCCACACAAATTTGCAGAGCGAGGTTCGAGGGGTTAAGAAATCCATTGTTGGGCCCCCTTGGGGCTGAGAGGGGCTTGTGGGGTTTAGGGTTTAGGGTTTAGGGCTTAGGGTTTAGGGTTTAGGGTTTGGGGTTTGGGGTTTGGGGTTATGGGCAGTAGGGCTCAAGCTTTGGGTTGGCACGAGTGTCTTGGCGTGGTCATTCATTTGTTTGGGGGTTCGAAGCAGCAGCCCGGTTAAGAAAAGGAACATGGGGCACATCCCCTCAAGTCGTCCTTGTTATGAGTATCGTCATTTTTGAATGTTTGTTTCTGTTTATCATGGTTTGTTTGGCAGCAGAAAGCCCTGGATCCTTAACTAACCATCCAAGACGCTGTAGAGAGGGGGTGCTAACTTAGTTCCAGCTTTCCTGAAATGCCCTTGCTAAATGCACCCGCCCCGGCCAGCCCCGCGCCTCCCCCCCCCCCATAACCTCAAATGAATTGTTGTTTTTGCATTTTTGCACCCACCTGCTGCACTAGCTTAAGCCTTGCGGCAGGTGGCCCAGACAAAACCGTACAATCCTGCAACGCCCGAACTAGAGCTAAGGGTCCCGGACCTAAAAAACCATTCTTAAAGGCATTGCTGAGCAGGTCTCGGAGATCGCCTTTCTCTGCATGGTCGTGTACATTGTGCTCACGGTTCTGGCAATTCTTAACGTGGCAGCGCGTCTTGCACTGGTGACACACCTGAGGATGCTGTTCAACAATGTCTGCTTAGCACGCCGCAGCTTTGTGTACCCACAACGATGCTGTCCGCTCAAGAAGCCATGCAAGGTATAGGGCGGTAGTAGGTGATTGTCTTGTTGCGTGTTGGAGGAAGTCTTGCTTTGGCCTGCTGTGAGACCGGTCGATGTACTATCTGACAGAAAGAGAGACTGAACAAAAACTACCCAGACCGGCTCATGGTTCACACCTTGTCATAAGAACCAGCATGGTTATCATTATGAAGATGATCGTCATTGTTATTGCCCTTCGGAGGCTTGGCTGGGTGTGTTGAGCTGTGGCTTCTGTACGGGATTGAGTGGGCGAGGCCTAGACCATCCCAGAATGCCCAGACGTGGTTCGACACACCTGAGAAGCTTGATGGGCCTTCCTCGCATGCGCCGGTTGCTTTGGGGGCCACAGTTTCGCCGGCTTGCTTGCGGTACGTTATCTCAGCGAGGCAGTTCGGCACACTTAGGCTGGTCTTGCACACAATCCTTTCGCTGCGTCGCGCGGGGCCACGTAGGCTGGGCATGTGCCCGGGCCCCAAGTCCGCGAAACAGCCCTCCGCCAAAAGTATGATCGACTGCCTGAAGGTCAACATATCAGACGAGATTCCTCTGAGGTTGTGTAGTTCTTTCGGATGCTAAATTTTGAGGGTATTGTTTGGCGATGGCAGGCGACACTGCTGAAGAGAAGGTGACAAAGTGTCTGTCCTGTGTTGTTGCCTCATTGCCAATGTGAGGTTGTTGCTTGCTTTTGGAGCTTGCACAATGGCCCTTTGTTTCGGGGGTCGCTCCTTGAGAGATGTTCGCGCTTGTTGGGTCGTTTTGTTGGTCACTTCAGCTCGTTTTGAGGTAGCTTTTGCTAGCTGCCCTCATTGATTTGCTGAAGTATACTCGCATTGTGCGCCTGCATGGGGCAACAGGGAGGCCCTGTCCATCTGGGGCTGCCGGCACCCGAACAAAGTTAGTTAGTTAGCTTGTCTATTGCTGGTTCAGTGCTTCCGCCTGGGCCTAACAAGTCAGGATGGGCTAGGCATTTTCGTAGGGGCATGAAGACTTTTGGGTGGAAAGAAACTTCTTCTTGGAAGTGGTCACACGATGACCTTCAAAGTGAGCTTTCGTTTGGCGTTCACACGCCCCACAAAGAACTCCAGCATGTACGGGCAGTCTTTGCCGGGGCTGCGGCCAGTCCGATGCGTTATCTCAGTATGACTGGCACTGAGCACATGTGCCCTTGGTGTCGTTCGCCTGACGTGGTCCCCAAGAGGGGACCATGTCTGCTGGACATGTGCTATGGCTCCTAAGCCTCAAGATCTTTGCCGAAGTGATGCACTTCAGGCACGCTTGGCGTGTCCCGCAGGAAATCCTCGAAGGAAGAATCAGGATGCAAGGATTGTTGCTTCGATGTCTCTGGTCCGTGAAACTGGGTTTAGGGTTTAGGGTTTGGGGAAACTGTCTTCAGCCAGAGATGATCGACCGCCTGAAGGTCAACCGCCGGGGCGAAACTGCTAAGGGCTATAGGAAAATTTTAGTTGGTTAACTTAAATTGTTAGAGAATGTTTTGACGTCGTCTGCCGACGCGTCATACTATGGATATGTTTTTTAAAGAGGTTTTTGGCAGTGTCAGCCGACACATCTCAAGTGACAGTGACAAAGTGCCTGCCCGGTGTCGCTGCCTCATTGCCAATATGAGGTTGCTTGCTTGCTGTCAGCTTGCAATGCTGGCGTGTTGCCCGGGGGCGATCCCTGTGTGGCATTCGTCATAGTCTAACATTCTTCTCAAGTTAAGGTAACGGGTGCTTGTTGGCCTGTGCTTGCGTTCTGTTGCTTCCTGCCCTTGGCTTGGTGTCATGGGTGGGCGTTTTTGCCGCTTGGTTCCTGTGCTGGGGTTCCTTGCCGGCTTGTTGGTCGTGAGGCGTTGCGTCGCTTGTTGAGTCGTATGTTGGTCACTTCAGCTCGTTTTGAGGTAGCTTTTGCTAGCTGGCCTCAAGGTTTTTTGCTGAAGTACACTCGCCCTGTGCGCCCGCATGGGCCAACAGGGGTGCCCTGTCCATTTGGGGGCTGCCGGCACCCGAACAAAGTTAGTTAGTTAGCTCAAGTTTCTGTCGCTGTCTCTCACTGCCAACATGAGGTCGTATGCTTGTGGATAATTTCTTTACAGGATGTTTTGTGGCAGTGTCAGCCGACACAACTAAAGTGACAGTGACAATGAGCCTGCCCGTGTCGCTGCCTCATTGCCAATATGAGGTTGCTTGCTTGCTGTCAGCTTGCAATGCTGGCGTGTTGCCCGGGGGCGATCCCTGTGTGGCATTCGTCATAGTCTAACATTCTTCTCAAGTTAAGGTAACGGGTGCTTGTTGGCCTGTGCTTGCGTTCTGTTGCTTCCTGCCCTTGGCTTGGTGTCATGGGTGGGCGTTTTTGCCGCTTGGTTCCTGTGCTGGGGTTCCTTGCCGGCTTGTTGGTCGGGTTGCATCGTGGTGCTTGTTGTGTCGTGTGTTGGTCGCTTCAGCTCGTTTTGGGGCAGCTTTTGCTAGCTGACCTCATTGTTGTTGCTGAAGTACACTCGCCCTGTGCGCCCGCATGGGGCAACAGGGGTGCCCTGTCCATTTGGGGGCTGCCGGCACCCGAACAAAGTTAGTTAGTTAGCTCAAGTTAAGGTAACTGGGGTCTTCTGCAACAACGCCATTGAGAGTGCCCGCGCGGACAAGGCACCTGCAGAAGGGGCCCTGTGCACGTTGATTCGCGGTCGTGGCACATTCAATGCTCAGTGCAGAGGATATCGCCATCATGAAGCAGATGCAGAAGCACGCGAAGCAACTCAAATCACTTCGCGGTGTATTCAAGGCCACCTGACTGGGAACCGAGTAATGCATTTGACAATGCACGTTTGTGTAGATGGTCCGGCGCAGGCTTGGTGTAGCTTGCCAGGATGGAGTTCACGCGCAGGGTTGGTTTTCATGAGGTGGAGTTTGACCATCAAGGGCCAACTGCCCGAGGGCACCCTATGTTCTGCAGAGCAATAATATTCTTCCCTTATGGTCCCTTTACACATACACTTTGGGACTTTGGGATGTTCGCCCACTTACAGTCCTTAATGGGGATCACAGTACCCCCCGATTATAATCCCTATTCAGGACTGTTAGTAAGAGGGGGGAACATCCCAAACATGCAAGAATACCTCGCCAAAACACTACTCCAATTAATGAGGCCCCTATATTAAATCATGTTATGCATCCTAGAGAGCAAGCAGTTTCGCTTCGGATCTCGTATATTTTCGGTTACATTCACACAGGTCTTCTTAGGGAAGTCCAGGTGCATTAGCAAGAGAGCCCTTATGCCCCTTAGGTCAAGAAGATACCCTTACAAGTATATTAAGGGATACTGAAAATGTGATTTAAGGTATACATCCTTAATTGCTTCAGGGTTAAAGGGGTATAACAGGCTCGTTGGGTTTGCGGAGCATGGAGAAAGGCCTAGTTATCCCTCTCTAGCCTTAATTATCGGGGGAACCTAGAGGGGGTACTAACCCTAAACCCTAAACCCTAAACCCTAAACCCTAAACCCTTAAGGGTCCAAGACAGAACCTCTAGAAGAAAGGAAATCGACAACGACCAGTCGAACCTTGTGAGTCTCGAGGAGCTGAAGGCGCCCTGAGGGAGAACCATGCTTCCAAAGTCATTGAAGGGTTTAGGGTTTAGGGTTTAGGGTTCAGGGTTGGCCTACGTACCGGCAATTCCAAGCACAGCAGAAGAGCCTGGAGGAGTTCGGGACGCTTATAAGGGACCTTAGGGGTTGTTTGGGGGCTACTGAACCCAATGGTGCAACTACCTGGAGGTTCATGGGTAGATATAAGTAGGGTGAAAGTATGGCAACTATACTTATCACCCTATTCAAGGTCCTTATAACCCTAAACCTAAACCCCTAAACCCTAAACCCTAAACCCTAAACCCTAAACCCTAAACCCTAAACCTAAACCCTACTACGCCCTTTTAATAAGTACCCACGAACCTCCAAGCAGTGGCCGCGCTCGAGGAGGCGCTGAAAGAGAAGAAGCTTGCGAGTTTTCTGGAGTCCATGGACATCTCCACCCAGGACTTGTGCACTGGAGGGTTTAGGGTTTAGTGTTTAGGGTTTAGGGTTTGGGGTTGAGGGCAGTTGTCCGCAGTCCGGTTGCAACATGAAAAAAGGGTTTAGGGCACTGGAGGGCCGTCCTTGTCGTTGCTGCCTCTTATCTCCCTGTGTTCTTGTGGGCAGACCGCGAGCCCAGGACATTTGGACGTTGTTCATGCGCCTTGGCGTGGTTTGCGGTTTAGGGTTCCTCGGGTGTCTTTTTTAATTTATCGAAAACAGTTAATGCTTTTTAATTGCATCAAAAGTTGTTTCATTTCGAGCATATTTTCAAAAAAGAACACACTCCAGGATAAGGATGACCTTGACTCCACGCGTCAATGTTCTAGGAGTCCTGTTCCTGCAGTGCGAGCTTTGCTGAGGGTCATGGACTCAGATGGGAGTGGCGACGTCACCCTGGAGGAGTTTGTGACGGGCTGTATGCAGTTGCAGGCCGGAGTTGCATGCAAGGTTAAGGCTGATGCACCCTAAACACTAAACCCCCAACATAAACCCTATAAACCCTAAACCCTAAACACAGACAAAGGTCGAATGATTGAGCCTAGTTGAAGGTGTCGCGCAGGTGTTTGCGGGGCGTGATTTTGCTTGCTCTCTGCAACTGTAAACCGTCAGGACCCCACAGCAGAGTGGTGCTTAGCTATGGCTGAATACTCCGTCCTTGCCCCTAAACACCAAACCCTAAATTCCGTGCGCAAACACTGAAGCATGAAACGAGAACACACCGCATCCATACCTTCGATGGGTTCGACAGCTATAGCTCTATTGCTGTATTGAACACCCATGGACTGCCTTAAGCTTTCCATGTGGCTGTCTAGCGACATGGCTTCCGAAACCTTTGCGAGCCCTCAATCCACAATGAGCCTCCAACCTTCGTGCCCTACAAAAAATCCGGAACACAAGGCCCTCAATCTCTCTAACTTAAGAAGCGCTTGTCGAAACCAGGGTCCGGCGCAGAGCATCCAGCTGGCGCGGATGAGGCACGAGCACCTCAAGACCCGCAGCGTGCCTTGTCACAGAGTGTCAGGAAGGTTGCACCCAAAGAGCCCAAAATCCCTTAGTTAAGGAGTATACCCTTATAACTTAAATCATTATTAAGGATCCCTATATGGCTTAAGGAATATTCCTTAGGTAGGCAATATTGGGCTCTTAGGGTAAGGGTGACTTAGGACTGGCATGGCAGCCAGGGGGTGAGTTCATGTACTGAGACTTATTGGTAATCACTGTGAGTGTAAACGTAAACACAGGGTGTGTAACATTTTTTTGCGACAAGGGGTTGTGTCAAAGCCGTTGCGCTTGCCGCATGTCCGTACGCGCGCGACAGGCTTTGGTTTCACGACATGCCTCCATATGCACCATCGGAAGGGCGAAGAACTGCGAGAATGCTCCTACCATCATTTGCTGGTTGCCAATTGCTACACTCGAATTTCCCCCAAACTAACTATGTTCCTCGCAACCACGCCATACAGCCAGGGACGTCCAGCAACTTGCCAAGGATCTGCTCCATGTCGGGGCCGAGGTCAAGGCTATTCGAGCGCAGCTTTACGATCTCCTGAGAGGGTGCCCGGAGCTCCGTCTTTGAAGGGTTGCCGCGCTCAGGCGTTACCTGACTCGATTTCCGGTTGCCTTTTGCATGCCCACCCATGATTCTGATCCCTGGCCCAAGTGGGCCACTCTCATGATCCCATGCCGTGTGCAACTTAAGAGGATCCCTGGCACAAAATCCCCTCCACACCCCGGATAATCCCTCATGATCCCCGATGGCACTAGCACTTCTGCAGTGCCCACTCCACGTTGATCCCCGGAGCGCCCCAGCGCCGCCATCCCACATAATATCTGAGGTACCCATGTGCATATACTTCCTTTAGGGTTTAGGGGTTTAGAGGTTTAGGCGTTTAGGGTTTAGGGTTTAAGGGTTTGTTCCCAGATGATCCTCGTTGTGCTCGCCTTCAGGCTGTAGCTGGAAATGCCAACGGCGTGCAAAACTTAAAGCCCAGAAGAGCGCACTGGCAAGTTGCCCCTCTTGAAGTTTAGGGTTTAGGGTTTAGCCTCCATGACTTTTACAACAAGCAGCCGCGTGCAAATTGACGAGAGTTGCACGCGAAAGTCCTACCTCGCATGGTTCATTTCTTTTCCCCGTTGCGTTACGCGAGCTGGAGCTCCAAGCGCAAGGGGCTTCGCGCGAGTTGACATGTTAGCAAGTATCGTGGCTCCAGCGTCTCACAAGCAACAAGGAGCGAACAACGCAGTTTGTTCCTTTCTTTGTTTCACCCCTCTGAGATGCCCAGATTTACTATAGCATTATAGCTGCTTGCAAGGAGGGCACGGCAGTTTATCCGGCGCGCGAAACCATCAGGCTAGCCTCGACACATCAATCTCAATCCTTGGTGTTTAGGGTTCACGGTTTAGGGTTTAGGGTGGTGCAAAGAGCCCAGGGCTCTCGACAGTTAGATCCTGGGCCGAACCTTAAGAAGAAGCCGCAAGCCTGTTCATGGTTTCAGTGCTGTTGCCCGGCTTCGCGAAGCGAGTGAATGCCCTGACGTCTGTCGCGCCGTGAAGGCGAGTATGTCTAGCCATGAGGGCTGCCGTCAGGTGTGACGTTGACCTCCAAGCATACTTGGAGGTTCATGGGTAGTTAGAAGGAGGGTTATATGTAGCCTAAATAAGGTTGCAGGTATAGTTGCCATACTTATAACCCTACATCTAACTACCCATGAACCTCCAAGTAACCCGCATATGGAGCAAGCTTGAAGGGCTTGCAAGCTCATTCAAAGATGGAGTGCTGCAAAAAAGGGGCAAGGAAGTTAGCACGATTCCATGAGTTGAGGCCCTAAACCCTAAACCCTAAACCCTAAACCCTAAACCCTAAACCCTAAACCCTAAACCCTAAACCCTAAACCCTAAACCCTAAACCCTAAACCGAGTTGAGGCAACTCTCACAGAGGCAGCTTTCATTGGTTCCAATCCCCTTCGAGGCCGACAGCGCCTCCTCGCCAGGCAATTGCTAAAAGTGCTCGCTCGCAAGCTTTTTTTTAGGGTTTTAGGGTTTTAGGGTTTAGGGTTTAGGGTTTAGGGTTTAGGGAACAAAGGTTTCCTGCGCAAGGCGCGAGGAGTTTGGGGCCACGCAAGCATGGGAGCATCTTGCACCTTTCAACGCTGAGCCCTGAAACGGAGTTTTTGGGATCTTTTCGAGTTTCCCCTACTTGTTTTTGTCCAAAAACCAGCTTAATTATCAAGTTCAGGACGCGTGCAAGGAACACCCAAAATCGGAATGTATGAGTCCACCCTAGACTCCTAGACCTCAGATGCTACACCATAAGCCTCAAGCAGCCCGCTTGAAGCTGCTTCGCCTTCGGCGCAGGAGATGGACAGCTTGCTCAGGAGCGCGATCTTGGAAGCAAACGCCCTAAGCCTCGTACGAAGAGCATCTGCATCTGGAACCCTCCAGATTTCAGCCTCCAAAGCGTGCCGATGCTTGCTGAACCTTTGCATTTTGTGCTACTCAGATTGATCCTGTATGCTTTAGGGTTTGGGGTTAGGGCTGTCTCAAGGCTGCTCCCGAAGCTCCAGATTTGTTTGCTGGTTGAATCCCATAGATACAGGGCACTAGGCACTGCAGTTCAGGGTTTAAAATGGCTACGGCTCAAGGGTGTTTTGGCTACGAGACTTACATGTTTTTCCCAATTCGGCCGTGTCCTGCTGATACAGCCGCCATGGAAGAGGGCAAGCTAGCTTGTTGCATCGCGTACTGTGCTAGACGGGCTCAGCGAAACAGGTATGAAGTTGTGGCTTGTCAGCTTTGGGAGGCTCTTCTCCTATTGCCTTCACATGACAGCATTCCTCGGAAGTCTCGCAAGGTGTGTCTGTATGATGCTTTGCAACTCGGAAAAGGAGATGAGAGGTCCTTGGTTCCGACTTCAGTCAGATCTGGCCTCAAAGCAACCAGTGAGGTGGAGACGCAAACTTCGCAGAACTTCGCAGGCCGTGTATTCTGAAGAGGAATGTAAAGTGTGGTCTCAGAGGGTGTTTAACAACGTGCTTGCGGACACAATGGCGTCTGTGCGTAAGTTGCAGACCCGCGTGCGTGAACTGGAATGTCAGACTACAGCGACTACTGACGCGCCGCTGGCTGTTAGTAGCTTGTGCGCCGTGCAATTTTCGCCGTCTGCAGGTGGGCGAGGATGTGAATCGTTTCCGTTGGTCGGCAGGGGTTCCAACAATGATTCTTCCATTCACTCGTGCCTCCCAATTCCTTCCCATGGCTCCGTCGATCGCTCGGATGGTAGTGTGGCGTCGCTCCAAGCCTTGAGGGAAGCTCACGCCGAAGCTCGAAAAGCACAGAAGATTCTGAGGCGCCAGGAACGCTTGAGCAGGTTGCAAAGCACGACTGATGATCGCGGTGGCTGGATTCGTAATTAGATATATGCGTGTGACAGAAGTCTCATGCGTCGTTTGTAGGCTTCAAGGGCCTTTTGTAATTCGATACGCGTGACAGACGTCTCATGCGCCGTTTGTAGGTCAAGGGCCTATGCTATAGTGCCGTTCCTTCCTGACGTGATTCGGGGCATAGTCACGAGTGCTAGGTCTTGGATCCCAGACACGCTGTTGCATCTTGCACGAGTGCTCATGAGGGCTGCTTTGCTTGGACAGCCGTGAAACCCGGCAGAGCTCGCGGGGTCAAAAAAGGGTTTAGGGTTTAGGGTTTAGGGTTTAGGGTTTAGGGTTGGAACATGGGTTTAAGGATGACTAGAGCTGGGGTTCCTTTTGGTATACCTTTTGGTCCCATGGTGATAAGGATGTTCCAACCTTTCTGGAGTTGACTCTATAGGACTCCTTCGGGTTTAGGGTTTAGGGTTTAGGGTTTAGGGTTTATTTCCGCTCACTTGTCACTTCACTCTGGCTACATGCTCCGCATGTCTGCCTGCTTCGCTGCCCGACCGGTTACAGACGCATTTATTGCATGGACAGCATGGATCATAATACTTCCGGTTGCCAAGCCTTAAACCCTAAGCCCTAAGCCCTAAACCCTAAACCCTAAAACCCTAACCCTAAACCCCAAACCCTAAACCCTAAACTCGAGGTGGGATTGGGCCCCCCCCAGGAGCCACTGTTTTAGGGTTCTGTTGCTTGGGGTGTGGGCCCCCAACCCTCAGCCCCGCATAGCCACACAGCTCTTCCACACTTTTCAATGGCTCGGCCGACGGCTAACTCCGCGGCTGAGAACGATTTCGAGATCCTTGCCGGCTTGAGTTGGGGCATCCCCCCCCCCACCCTACTGCGAGAACACCATGCAACCGACATATTTGGTATAGAAGCATGTTTTTTTGATATTTTTATGTCACGAGTTGATGAGCGAGAGCCCTGGTGCAAGGGGCTTTAGCGAGATCTTTTCAAGGTCGTAGGGCAGCCTGCCATGTGCTGAAGGAGAGGAGACTTCGAGAGTTTGCCCTTCTTGGGTGGTTCTTCGAAGGCTTTGGGTTCAGGGGTAGGAACCCTAAACCCTAACCCTAAACCCTAAACCCTAAACCCTAAACCCTAAACCCTAAACCCTAAACCCTAAACCTAAACCTACACCCTGAACCCGAGATTTTAGGGAAGTGCAGTGCGTCAGGGTTGTCCCCTCCCAGTCAAGGGACCAATCGAAGTTCAGTTTCGTAACCCTATGGGCCTATGGGGGCGGGGGGGGAGTTCCCAAAATAGGGCTCCTCTCTTGCCCCTTGTTCGGGAAAAGTCCATAGGGCGCCCAGGACCAAACCTGAACCCCTAAATTAACACGAAACTCGACACTCTTGGAATTGGAAGCTGCAACACGCAAAGCAGCTACTGCCCAAAAAAGCCGCCGAGACCCTGGTGCCATCCGTCGCCCGTAGGCAGGCGGAGCAAACAAAAACCATCAGCACCTTCATAGCCGCTAGACGACCCTGTGCAACCACATGACCCGCAATTGAATCCTGCAGCCAGGCCCTGAATCTACTCCCCAAACCCTACTTGGAGGTCGTGGGTAGCAAGAAGTAGTGTTCTAAGTATGGCAGCTATACTTGGTAATACTACTTAGGCTACTTAGAACCCTACTTATAAGTACCCCTGAACCTCCAAGTAAGCGACCGAAACACGACCTCAGCCCAAAACCCTAAACCCTAAACCCTAAACCCTAAACCCTAAACCCTAAACCCTAAACCCAGGTCGCCACAGGTGAGCCCTCTTGTGCAGCCTGGGCATCTGCTCTCATGCGAGGAGCCAGAAGTGTGACTGGTCTCCAGGTCAGGCGGCACCCCTAAATTGCACATGCGTTTACGCATTAGCTCAGGCCCGTGGGCACTCTGCAAGGTACCTCTTCTTTAAAGTAACCCTGACAAGAAAGACCCTAAACCCTCAACCGTTTAGCCTAAACCCCAAACCCTAAACCCTAAACCCTTAACCACAAATCCTCGTTTGAGAGTCGGAGGGGTTGAGGTCCACCCCCGGGGATGTTGCGTGCTTCAGCGCCCCGAAATCTAACCCTCAAGCCCCAAGCCCTGTCATTCTGGACATGCTGAGGGCTTCTACAAATTTCTACAGGTGCCAGGTTTCACCTTCTGTAAGGCCACGGTGCCAGCTGAGTATTTCACAGAGTGGCCCACTACCCACCTTCTGGGGCTCCCTCCTCACTGACGCGAATGAAGGGTAGGTGGGTTGATGGAGAGGGTACCTTGCTGGGGCGGTGCTGATGGATCCTGTGAGTATTGAAGTCTGTGGACGCTGGATGTTGGGTTAAAACGAGCCTTCTTTTCGGGTTAACCCCTGGGCCCCTGCCTCAAGAGAGTGTGATGCGCTGGGATTCAAGTTTAGGGTTCAAATACAGTACCCGGAGCCTGCCAGCCACAGATCACCAAAAGCACCTGTACAGAGCCCAGGCAGCTGTTCATTTCCTCGTGCTCTCTTTGCCCCTCTCTCTTTCTGCCTAGCTCTCTCTCTCTCTCTCTCTCTGTCTCTGTCTCTCTCTCTCGCTCTCTCTCGCTCGGCGTGCGTGCGTGCGTGCGTGCCCCTGTCTAACTCTGCTTCTCTGTGCTTTTGCCTGTGCTCTAAACACGAGACCTTGAACTGACAATACTCCATACTGAACAGAACATCTGTGTCTGAGGCCAACTGCCGAGCAGGACCTCCACAAAGAATTGGTCGTCACAGGGGCGGAGGGCAGGGTCGCGGTAGTTCGGTTTGTTGGTCTAGTACGGCCTGTCATTGTAGTCCGCGCTTTTGTCCGGCTTACAAGTAATCCTTGTTGTGATTGAGACAAGGTCTTTCAGCTTGCACATGGCAGGTTCTTGTGCAGCACCCACTTGGTGACCAACTTTGTCAGGAGAGCCAGACGACTGAGTTCGATTTTACTCTTCGACTGTGTGACATGTGCGAGATGCTTTCGCGCCAGCACAAAGAAGCGTACCAGCTCATGGTACAACAGCACACAGAAGACACTCGGCGAATTAGGTTGGAGTTCAGGGGTGCAGAGAGTTGACGAGAGTTGAAGTTATGCCTTGTTGAATGCATGGCGTGACAGCTGGAGGCGCAAAAGCTGCACCCGAGAGGCAACTTTACGTGTAACGGATATCTACATATGCTTTTGCAGCTACCAGACATGCGCATCAGCAAACTTTCCGATCGTGACATTCGTGACGTTTCAGATAGTCCACTGATAGGGAGGGGGGTGCAACACGCCAGCAGTTGACAGCCCGTCTTATATGTATATCTATACATGTATATATATATATACATATATATATATGCTATATAAACAAACAACGTCTTGTATATATATATATATATATAAATGCTACACACCCATTTATATATGTATACATGTCCCAACGCAAGGTGATGGAGCAGCTGTGCACCCAAAGCGAGATGCTAAGCCACGTGCAGCAGCAGGAAAAGCGGGTCTCCATTTCGTTGCCTCTTGCCTGCCGTCAGGTCGCACAATTTCTTGCTTAGCTGGGGTGTAAGTAAGGTTAGGGTTTAGGGCCTTAGGGTCTAGGGCCTTTAGGGTTTAGGGTTTAGGGTAAAAAAGGGCTAGGGACGGGGCGGTTGACAGGATAGGCACCAGGCCATAGAGGTGTTTTTAGTGCTGTCGCAAACGCCTCCGGACCCATGGCACCTCATCTCCACCACTTCCAAAGGGAGGGGTAATCAAGGAATATACCTTGCAATAGATAGGGATCCTAATATGATCCAAGGCTCGTCGGGTATCTTCCTTAATTTAAGGGATACGGGGTTCTTGGGGTACCCTAAACTCGAAACCCTAGTCGATAGACTACAGTATAGGAGGCTGTGAGCATGCCCCTGAAACACCCTAGGCCCCAAGCCCTAAGCCCTGAGCCCTGAGCCCGAAACCCCATTCCTCCGGGGCGGGGTGGGGGGGCGGGGGGCAACAAAGGAATCCCAAAGAGCCCAATATTGCTTAATTAAGAATATTCCTTAAATCATATAGGGATCCTTAATATGATTTAAGGTATATTCCTTAATTAAGCAATATTGGGCTCTTTGGGATCGTGTAGTTGCCAGATGTCGGAGAAAAGCGGTCAGCGACCTGAGTCGATTACTCAGACAGAGTTGTGCTGAAAGCCTAAGCCCTAACCCCTAAACCCCTAAACCCCTACCCCTAAACCCCTAAACCCCTAAACCCCTGAACCCCTGAACCCCTGAACCCCTAAACCCCTGAACCCCTAAACCCCTGAACCCCTGAACCCTAAACCCTAAACCCTAAACCCTAAAGGAAAGCTAAGGCGTCGAAAGGATTCTGATGGCAACGCAAGCGGATCCGCGTGCTACTCCGGGTCTCCGCAGGCGTCAGCATCACGGATGGCCCTCTAAACCCTAAACCCTAAACCCTAAACCCTAAACCCTAAACCCTAAACCCTAAACCCTAAACCCTAAACCCTAAACCCTAAACCCTAAACCCATGCCATCTGGGTGGCAAAGAAACCATCAAGAGACTTGGGACTCCGAGCTTTCTGACATTGAAGAGCCCTAAACCGTTAGGGCTCTTTACGCTACTGCAACCTTAGATCCTTAGCCCTTTGCAACCTTTTTTTGGGTCTAGGGTTTGGGAAGAAGGTGTGGTGCAATTTCATTTGCATTGAACTGCAGGTTTTTTTTGAAGAGAACCTGTAGTTTACATTCTCTAGCTTCGTTTGCGGATTGATGTTGGGTTCATTCATGTCTTGTTTTGTTGTTCAATTCCAAAAAAGCCCAACACCAGATCGAAAGAATGTGCCCTCACCCAACGATGGCACCTATCAGGGAGCGAGATCCCTTGGTTCCCACATAGATCAAAACGCGCAGGACCCTAAACCCTAAACCCTTACGGCCAAGAATGTGCCCTGCAGTGCGTCCTTGCGTCAACATGAAGCCGACCCTTGAAGCCCACACCACCCAAGCCCCGCCAGGAGGTTTAGGGTTTAGGGTTTAGGGTTTAGGGTTTAGGGTTTAGGGTTTAGGGTTTAGGGTTTAGGGTTAGGGTTTAGGGGGGCTTGAACATAATCTTTAAGTTTGTTTCCCTTAATCCCATCCTTGTCAAGCCATAAAAAGTTACTTGTTCTAGGGCCCCCAAACCTCCTCCCCCCCCCCTACCCGCCCTTAATACTGATTACACCGAGACATCATCCTGAAAGGTCATGGTGTCAAGCGAGGACGTGGCGTCCATGGTCCGATACAAGACGCTTTGGCCCAGTTCGTGCAGGGGTTGGGGGTTTAGGGTTTAGGGTTTAGGGTTTTTGGCACTCAACATCCCACACACAAGCCTGTGGAAGTCAATGAGGCCTTAATAGCAGACACGGTTTAGGAGGACTGTTTGTTGGGGTTCCGTGGCCGCTTTTCCGAGCCCGGCTGAAGCCACAAGCTCGACCCCAGCATTCAGATGTTGAGCACCCCTGCGGGGAAGACCTCAAAGGGATCCTAAGGTCATTGCGCTGTATACAGAGGGTCAGGTTCCAGAATCGCGAGCAACCAACCACGAGATATCCAGTTGTTTGCAAGTCTACTAGTGGTTAAGAACCCTTGGCAAGATGGAAAGGAAATTTCTGCCCTTATCAGAAAGAATATTTCGTTTTATTTCTGTTTTTTTTGGGAGGGGGGGGGGGCTTCTTAAGCAAATAGTAGCCCTAAACCCTAAACCCTAAACCCCCAAACCCCAAACCCCAAACCCTAAACCCTAAGCCCTAAACCCTTTCATTGTTTTGGGGGGTGGGGCAAATTGGCGTAGAAGTCGGCCCAGGCAGCGGGCGGCCTCCGACGAGGTGAGCGTGAGCACCCACTCGGACGGCCTTCGGCCGGCTTCCCGCTCGGGCTCCCCTGAGGCTGGGGTTTAGGGTTTAGGGTTTAGGGTTTAGGGTTTAGGGTTTAGGGTTTAGGGTTTAGGGTGTAGGGTTTAGGGTTTAGGGTTTAGGGTTAGGATCATAGGGCTCTACCTCGGACCCTCAAGGTTGCGGCTCCTGGGCCCAAAGAGCCCAATATCCTCCTTAATTCAGGAATAGAGCTTGGATCATACTAAGGTTCCCAAAAGAGACTTACGGCTTTTTGTTCTTTAATTAAGGGGGTATCTCTGTGGGACTCTACCTCGGACCCTTAAGGTTGTGACCCTTGGGCTTGGGGGACCCCTTTTTTTTTGAGATTTTCGAAGGGAGTGCAATGGCCATATCAGGAGGGTTTAGGGTTTAGGGTTTAGGGTTTAGGGTTTAGGGTTTAGGGTTTAGGGGGCAAGAGGGGCACAACCTTAGGGGTCCGAGTATGACTCCCTTGAAGGGGCTCACCGAGAACGGCACCGTGCCGGATTTCGAAGAAGGGGGGGCCAAAGGAACCTTAAAGTTTGGGGTCATATACCCTCCCAAAGAGCCCAATATTGCTTAATTAAGGAATATTCCTCAAATCATATAGGGATCCTTAATATGATTTCAGGTATATTGCTCAATTAAGCTATATTGGGCTCTTTGGGCTATGCTACGATGAGAATCCCGTTTAGGGTTTGTGAACCCTCAACCCTTACAGACTTCCAGGGTTCATTCTGGTCCAACGACCAGGGACCGGATAGGCATCATCTAAAAGAAAAGTAGCTAAGACTTCTAAAGCCGTGTAGACATAGGTCTGTGCAGATTCAAGTATTTGCTTTTCTAGGCAAGAACACATATACCAATACATAAACACCTATATATGTATGTGTGAATATGTTACGTAGTATGTTACCACATGCACCCTAAGCAATATCACCAGGCACCCTCAGACCCTGAAAAATGTCTGGGGTCCAACCCTAAGCTCGTCTCTGAATCCTAAGCCGCCGAGGTTTAGGGCTTAGGATTTAGGTTTAGGATTTAGGGTTTAGTTTAGGGTTTAGGGTTAGGGTTTAGGGTTTAGGGATTAGGGATTATAGGGTTTAGGGTTGAGGGTTTAGGGTGCCAAAGCGGACAAGCCCACAGGACAGAACATGTTGCGACCAGGTGCTCGGGAACAGCGGGGATGTGGTGCCTATGGAGTGCCTCGACTGAAGAGTCGCAGAGTCTACGATCTCACTTAAAGTTGGTTCGGGACGCTTCCTGCACATGTTTCCGAGACAGCTGGCACTCTTGCGCCTTGCCGCTTTTTGTTGTTTGAACCGTGCTCGTGCTGGTTGCTGCACACGAGTTGGCTTACGTAATGCTTGCCCGTAAAATTCATGTGATCGGGCCGAAGGATTCCCAAGTTACCCAACCGCGAGTACTTCGTGACCCCGCGTGCCCAACCATTGCCTACATACGCCTATACACACAGCTTGAACCCTGCCTCCCCCCAGCGTACGACACTCTAAGCCCTAAGCTCTAAGCCCTAAACCCTAAGCCCTAAGCCCTAAACCCTAAACCCTAAACCCTAAACCCTTTGTTTTGTGTCAAAGCCCCGTTCGGACTCGTTGCATGAAGCGCTGCCAACCGCTGAGGCCCATCGTGGAGGTGACGCCAGAGTTGACGAATGACCCGGCGCCTTAGACGGTGTCTCCATATGTACATCTATATACGTATATGTGTATAGAATACACACATACATACATACACACACATATATATATGTATATATATACATATATTATTATTGTTATTATTATTATTATTATTTGCATCATACAACGTGGGAAGCTTCACGTGTGCTTACAGGTGTTGGTGGAAGGCCTGGGGTTCGAGTGGCAGTGAGGCGCTTTCGTTCGAGCTGAAGGGTTCCGAGAGCATGACTCCTCCAAGAGCCGAAGCTCACGGGTTTAGGGTTTAGGGTTTAGGGTTTAGGGTTTAGGGTTTAGGGTTTAGGGTTTAGGGCCCGGATGCAAGACCTCGCTTGGTTTGATAAACCCTGTAAGCCCCCCATACATGGTACCGACAAGACCCTGACAAGCCTGGGCCCTACTCAAGGCTCAACAGTTGGCGGAGAAGCCTGGTCTGGTGACTTGGTAGCCCAGTGGTACCCTTTTCCTTTTTTTGGGGGTTCAAGGTTCCCTTTTTAAAGTAACCAACCCAAAAAAGGGTACCGTTATTATGATACTGGGCTACTAAGGTGAGGACTCTCACCTCCGCCGTTGGTCGGAAAGCAACTCGAGCCGCACATGAGGCAGAAGACTTGGGATGTTCCCCCTTATGCGAAGAGTCTGTAAAAGGGATTATAGTAGGGGGTACTAGAATCCCCAGAAAATAGGGATTATAATAGGGGTACTAGAATCCCTAGCAACTACTGTTAATATCAGGGGGAGCATCCCAACATAAGACTATGGAGTTGAGATTTGTCTACGCGGCCCTTGGAGGTGTGAAAACAATCACAATTGAATCTGGCTAGTCCTCAAGCCCAGTTGCAAAAAGGGTTCTCAAGCACAAGGTTTTTGCTGACAAAGCCACGAACCACTGACAAGCACGAGTCGAGACAGAACGCCGGAGAAAAACAACCACGTTTCCGTATGGTTCGCAAGCAGAAGCGGGGCCCGAAATTTTGCTTGCCTTCCATGGCGTCGAGGGATCCGCTTGGCAACAACAACAACAACAACAGCTGCAGCAATGGCGCCAGCGGCAGCAGCAGCACGAACGACGATGCGTGATCATAAACCCTAAACCCTAAACACTAAACCCTAAACCCTATAACGCTATAATCCTTCACAATCAGAACAAAGCTGTTGTTGTAATCGTCGTCGTCGATAGTAGGTAACTAGTAGGTAGCAGGTAGTGGTGGCATGGCCCGCTACCAACTACTAAATTGCGAAACAGCATCCGCGACGGCTGCTAGTAGTAGAGGTGGTGGTAGTGGTGGTAGTAGTAGTAGTAGTTGTTGTTGTAGTAGTAGTCGTCGTCGTGGTCGTGGTAGTAGCAGTAGTGGTAGGAGCAGTGCTGGTGCTGGTGCTGGTGCTGGTGCTGGTGGTGGTGGTGGTGGTGGTGGTGGTGGTAGTAGCAATAGTAGTAGTGGTGGTACTGGTGGTAGTGGTGGTGGTAGTAGTAGTAGTAGTAGTAGTAGTAGTAGGAGTAGTAGCAGTAGCATCAGCAGTAGCAGTAGCAGTAGCAGTAACCCTAAACCCTGTCGTCCGATCTGAAGATTTCGAGGCCCCGAACAAGCCACCGCGACCGACATTTACGCCCCAGCTGTTCAAGCGCCTTGTTGGAAGTCTGGGGTGCCTCCATACCCTAAGGGTCCAATTTCCTAATCATTATATACTTGGGCCCCAAAGTCCCTCTATAGCAAGTACTTCAAGGCCCGAGTATTCCCTATTTAGGTACATGGACCCTTAGGGCACTGTGGTGAAGTCTGTTGCCGATTGTGAGGTCATGAGAAGTCTGATGGCCAGATTTAAGAGGGACAGGTGACGTGGGGTTCAGGTTTGGGAACGGCCCGCGACAGCTGGCCTGGACCTCATGTCAGGCCAAGAATAATTCAGGTCTTGGAATGTTAGTGTTGCAGGGACGCGGGTTGCTTGCGAATGTGTGTTTGCCGGTAGATCGTTACTTTTACCTTTTTTTCGCTGCTCATGTGCCTTGTTTGTGGCTTCCGAAGCTTAGAGATTTGTTTGTGGTTTGTTTCGCAAAACCTGTCCCTTTGGACACCCCTCAACCCAAGTTTTAAATCATAGCGTCAGATGCACTACAGTGCCTAAGCCTCTTACTCCTCGAAACCCTCTAGAATTCTTGAATCCCTGAAGAACTGGGTGTGGGGCCAACAGCACGGCCTTTTGTTGAATTTTTTGCGACAAGGGTGGTAGAATCCAAGCCTTACTTTGTTTTGCGGTTGGGGGTTTGCTGCATGCACAATAACTGTTCTTTGGCCTTTCCGGGGTCGTGCGGGGTGGTGGACGGTATGTTAGGCCATGTTAGGCCCCAATTCCTAGGCGCGTTCAGAGGCCGAACTCCAGAGGGGGAAGCATGCAGGGTTTAGGGTTTAGGGTTTAGGGTTCAGGGTTTAGGGTTTAGGTTTAGGGTTTAGGGTTTAGGGTGAAGCTTTCGGGCCCCAGGACTTTCTCGCAAGCGGAGCTGAAACTCAAGCGCGACGCGCAGAAAGAGTCCAAGCGGCACTCAATGACGACGAGGCAGCAGGGGGGTTTAGGGTTTAGGGTTTAGGGTTTAGGGTTTAGGGGTCCCAGGGTTTCGAGGTTATTAATGGACTTAAGTGACTAGAGAGGGACACTTACCAAGAATCTTAGGGGAAATGTAGGGGCTACTTAGGTATGTAGGGTGTGTGTATATATGTATACATATATATGATATATATATATATATATATGTATATATATATATATATAATGGGCATTTTCCAAAAATAGGGGTGCCCCTTTTGTACCCCAAATAGAATAAAAGTAACCCCTTAAAGGGATCCTCCAAAGTCACCCCCCTAGTTTGCAGGATTCCCAAAAAGGACCCCAATTGAGAGAGCCCTGATGTTTACGGCTTAACTTATCTTGGGGCCCTTAAGGCCTTCTAACGGAGGAGTCCAGGCTTGCAGCCCCAAACCCCAAAATCTAGTTTCGAGCCACCTCTCTGTAACCCAGTGGCAGATTCTCTGATGTTCGCAATTTCTGGGCTGGCCGAAGAAAACATGTGAACCCAAAAGTCTAAACCGACGGTTTAGAGGGTTTGGCACCCCGAAACCCTAAACCCTAAACCCTAAACCCTAAACCCCAAACCCCAAACCCCAACCCCAAACCCCAAACCCCAAACCAAGCCAGCCGGCTGCCCAAACAGACTTGATTCGTTGCGTGGAACTGTCGTGCCAACATGCACTCCCTAAACGCCAGAAAGCCCAACAGCCCGTTATCCGTTTGTGGGATCAACACCAAACCCTCAGGGTTTAGGGTTCAGGGTTCAGGGTTTAGGGTTTAGGGTTTAGGGTTTAGGGTTTAGCCCGGACACCCCTGTGCAGGTCTGGGAGCATGGCCGATCCCGGGGAGCGTCCCATGGCCCAAAAAAAAGTGCCCTCGGAAGTTCATCTTGGCAGCCCAGTACCTTTTTTTTTTTTTGAAACCCTAAACCCCAAACCCTAAACCCCAAAAAGGGTGCCCTTATCATGATATGGTTACTGGGCTACCATGTCATGGGGTAGTGAGAAGTAGGGTTAGAAGTATGCCAACCTAGAACCTAGGTAGCCCCTCGGGACATTTTATACTTTCCCTTGTTGTGTTTAAGAGGCTCATCTCAAGGAATGTTTTGTTCAGAGGGTTCTAAGGGCCATCATAACTATACTTAGAACCCTATTTAGGGTACTTCTAACCCTACTTATACTACGAAAAACTACCCATGAGCCTCCAAGTAAACCCTAAACGGCTCGCCTGTAAAGCTGGGCCCTAAAGCGTCGGCTCCCTGTAGACGCTAGCAGGAGAGGTAGCAAAAAATGATTTGAGCGCCCTCACGGGAAGTGACACCGACTTGAAGCCATTCCCTCTGCTTCTCCAATGTGGTCTATTGCTACTATTTGTTTGCTAAAGAATCACCCAAAAATGAAGAGGATATTCCTCCGGGTTGAGGAGGCCAGGGGCTTGCAACCGCTGTGGGTTCGGGTTGATGTGGGTTTGGGGTTTAGTGTTCAGGTTTTAGGGTTTAGGGTATTAGGGTGCAGGGGTTGCCCAGAGTTTGAGGGTTTGAGGCGTTTGGGTGTAGGGCTCCAGTTCTAAGTTCAAAGAAGGATGAGACTTGCACTCGTAGGGTTTACGGCTTAGGGTTCAGGATTTCGGGAGGCGGTTGGTATGGGTTGAAGGCTAATGGGGTTTGCGATTTTGCGTTCTGGGTCTAGACTTTTTTTTCTGGTTTAGGGTTTAGGGTTTAGGGTGTAGGGTTTAGGGTTTAGGGTTTAGGGCTTCTGACTTGTTAGTTTCAAGCTTCTGGCTTTCAAGGGCTGCAGCGGATTGAGACTCGTACCCTGAAGGTTGTGCCGCTTAAGGTTGTCCTGAATATACTCCTAAGAGGGCCCTTGTATGGTTTAGGGTTTAGGGTTTAGGGTTTAGGGTTTAGGGTTTGTCCCTAAGCCCAAGCGTGCAACCCTAGCGCTCGTTTGGCTTCGGGATGGATTGAAAATCCCCCTCAACCCTTAACCCTAAAGTGTCTAGATTTCTGGTTCTTTGCGGCACGCGAAAGTTAATCTAGCTCTGCTGCTCTCCTTTCTTTCAGCATTTTGGACATCTGGCAAGCCTAGCACAAGTAAATTGATCCAAAGCATCTTTGCCCAACGCCCAAACAAAGCAATCAAACAAAACATTCGCCCAAAACCCGCCCAAAACTTTGGCTCAGACTGTCTCCCAAGGCCCAAAACCCTCCCCAACACTTTGGCTCAAGACCTTCGCCCAAAACCACCCCCAAAAACTCCAGACACGAACCCTATACAATTTCTATCAGCCCGCCCGCCACCCTATTTCATATCAAGTTCGTTTAAACACCTTGCATCAAGAGTACATGTTGCCTTATAGAAAAACAAAAGGCCTTAGCTCCATGAGAGTTGCAAATGGGGGTCTTGTGGTGGGTAGGTCTGCAGACACGACTGCGCGCTCACGAAGCGCGCTTGCTTCCGCTTGGCACCCCCTTGAACCCGAAACCCTAAAACCCTAAAACCCTAAACCCTAAACCCTAGACCCTAGACCCTAAACCCTAAGCCCAAAAACACCCTAAACCCGAAACCTTGGGGAAGCAGGACTTGCCATCGAGATTTTGACTTGAAATCAAGACTTGTTCCGGTCCTGTGAACCCTAAGCCCTAAACGCTAAACCCTAAACCCTAAACCCTACATTGTCTCAGAAGCCGGGGGACCCTGAACCCAGGCATCCCAACATACCCTCCCTTGTCAACCCACTTTAACGCACAAAAGAGAGGGTTTAAAATCGCACCCTACACCCTCAAAACCCTCTTGTAGGGTTTAGGGTTCAAAGCTCAGGGTCCATGTTCCCCAGAAAGCGGTTCAAACGATCCTTGCGCTTCCCCCCCAAGCCAATGGTAGCCTACCCCCTGAACCCTACGCGAGCAGTATATTTTATCATATATATAGATATATATGAGATAGAGCAGGTATAATTTTGAAACAGTATAGGTTTGGATACGAAGAACTCCCGAATCGTTTTTTCAAACTGGGGCTAAGGCGGCTTACCGGCATTCGTGAAGGCGCCGGCGTTCGACGTCTTCTTTACATGTGTAGCTACTGGGCCCTAATGGCGTGGGGTGGGGGTGTGCAAGGTTTGTCTTGTGGGTGTTGAGCACCTGCGCTACGGGACTTTGGCACCCGCAAGGGATGACTAGATTACGGCTAGTTTAGGGTTCCTGGCGAAGTTCCTGGTTTTCACTGCTTTGCCCAGCACTGGCCCAGGTCATTGTCAACTCGATCTTCATTGGCTTCATGCCAGCACTGTTTGGTTTGCCAGGTTCTGGAATGTGCAGCATGTGGGCAGGTGAACTGGTGCGCTCCCTTTGTACTGAAAAAATGGGCGGTCGTAAGAGCACAATGCAGGCGTATCCATATTGAATACATGTGCTTGTTCGTCGTGTGAGCAATGCAAATACTGCAAACTAACATGTCGTGTGCAGCCACATAGGGCTGCGTAAGTGCACTGTGTCCGGTACAAGGCGTGTGCTGTAACAATGATCTACAGGGCCACTCCCATCCCCATTCATAGCTTAAGTTTTAAGTCCCGTACATAAGTACTTAAATATGTAAGGATAGATCTAAACAATCAACATATCAACTTGAATACGTATATATGCACACACACACATATCTATCAATATGCACATATATATATATGTATCCAAAACCCAAACCCTAAACGGTTTGCCGAGGAGTGGAGCTCCAAGTCTCTCTGTCCAGTCCAGATGGAACTCCAGTCGCTCCGGCTTCCATTTGTCTGGGACCCTTTGGGTGTCTAGACTCCCCTTAGAACCTTAATGAAGATAATAATTATTTCTTAATATCCTCTTGGGTTTATATGAACAAAAACACAAAACAATTCCCAAGTTAAGGGGGATATAGGTGTGTTTGTCTTCTTCACCCCACAGGTTCACTTACCTAGTTTGACTAGGTTAGACGACTTGCTCCCAGTGTCTCTGATTGTCTGTGTCCCTGGAGCGTCACAAGCAAACAAGCGGCCATTCAGAAAAGATGGGGGGTGTCTCTTCATATGGTTTGAGGCATATAATTTGGGACGTTCCCCCTTATACTAACAGTCCTTACACAGGATAGTACCCCCCCCCCCCCCCCTTTTATAATCCCTACTAAGGACTGGTAGTATAGGGGGGGAAACATCCCAACTTGCAATTTGCTGATGGGAATGGACGCCTTTCCTTCCTCAAAGGCATGGTGAGGCTGTAGGTTTTCGGGTCGAGGGTTCAGGGTTACACTTTGAGGCCTCCCCCATCGGCGAGGGTTCAAGGGTAGGGGCACGGGAAAGGGCCAGGGCTAGGTTAGATTAATAATTTTATGTCGGAGTAACGGAGACTTAAAGTAGTTTACTTAAGGGTTTAGGGTTTAGGGTTTAGGGTTTAGATTTCTTTGACCCCGCAGGGTTCCTGGTATTGCTTGGGGCACTTCTCAGGAGGTCGGCTTTCTCAGATGCTTGCAAGGCAGGTCTACGCCGACTCTGCATAATGAATCCCTTCCCCTTCATAAATGTATAACCCACCCCCCCCCCCCTCACCCCTTTAGGGTTTAGGGTTTAGGGTTCAGGGTTTAGGGTTTAGGTGTAACCCCCCAAACCCCCAATATCAACTACAATCTAACCACCGTGGGAGAGTTGCGGGGTAGGGGGGGGGGGGGAGGAATTTTAGGGGAGAGGATTAGGGTTTAGGGTTTAGGGTTCAGGGTTTAGGGTTCAGGGTTCAGGGCTTAGGGTGTGAGTTTTGGGACCCAGTTTGGAAGATTCCCGGTGTAGGGTGTTAGGGTGAAGGGTATATGAAAGTCTGGACGCCGCGGAGGTTCCCATCGCTGTCATCCAGTACATCTTCACCTTCTTGCTCCTGGATGCGTTAGAACAACCCTCACCCCAAACTTTAAACCCTAAAACCCAGAAGAACCTAAGCTCCGGAACTGAATTTCGGGTTTTGGGGTTCGAGTGCAGGGTCGCGCCAGTGACGGTGCAACTGATACGTACATCCAAGGTTTGACACCCTGTAGTTCAGTCAGGTTGAGGGAGCTACTGAAAGAGCGCACGGCGTTAGGAAATATCAAGAATCACCCTAAGTCCTAAACCCTAAACCCGAAACCCTAAACCCTAAACCCTAAACCCTAAACCCTAAACCCTAAACCCTAAACCCTAAACCCCAAACCAACGAACGGGTTAAGATGGAGAGTTCGGGGATGTGGTGCGCCATCCCCCATTTGAACCTACGAAGAACACTAGGAACCCAGAGTAGGCCCTTAGTCCCCCTTGTAAGCCCTTTAAAACAAAACAAGGGTAGGATTCCTAGCCCTAAATCCCTAAACCCAGAGGCCCTTTTCCCCCCTAGAAGCCCTTTAAGCAAAAACAGGGGTGCGATTCCTAGCCCTAAACCCTGAACCCTCTTTAGTTTAAAGGGGCGCCCTTGTCATTCCTAGGTGTACTCTTTGGTCTAGACCAGCGCAGCACCTAAACCCTAAACCCTAAACCCTAAACCCTAAAACCTAAACCCTAAACCCTAATCCCCAAGAAGACCAGCAAAGCCAAGGTTCCTCATGGAGCTGATTCTGCGCTGGGCGGCTGCAGGATTCAAGAGGTTTCTCTGTGGCGAGGACACCGTTGAACAGTGCAGCTTGGGAAGGGTTCTGGGTTCGGGGTTTAGGGTTTAGGGTTTAGGGTTTAGGGTAACTTGATGCCTTGCAACGGTGAGGTATGTAATGGTTAAGGCATGCTGCCCGGCCATAAGGGCACATTAATCGAGGTCTAGAAGGCTCACAAGGAGCTAGAGTGACCGCAGAGGAAGGCCCCAGAAGTTCAAAGAGCTGTAGAACCATAGTGAGATACAAGAGGTAAGAAGATATTCATCATGTTACTTTATCAGTGTCGTATTTCCTTCTGACCTTCTATCTGATGTGACATGACCGAACCAGAGAGCGAAGTAAGATAAGTGAACTCACATTCTCTCGCACAATTGTTCGCACATGATGGCTATAGTTCATTTGGCATGTTTTTGGGTTTCTCATTGCTATCTATGAGACGTGAAGGTGAGAGAAGGAAGGGGTGTGTGTGTGTGTGTGACACCCACATGAAACTAACAATCGGAGTGGTTCTTTTATTTGCTGGATGGGGCCTATTAGCGCCTGGTGTCTTGTACCGAATCGTTGCTGCCCCAAAGACCCTGGAATCCATCTCACCCGCCAGTCCTGCCGATGTACTTGGAGGTTCGTGGGTAGTTATGCGTGGGGTTATAAGTATGGTATCTAGACTCATAATACGTGGAACCCTACTTGAGCCTCCAGGTATCCTTTCTCTAATCGCTCTTTCTGGATTCACCGTTCGCACCCTTCGGATACCATCGCCGGTCATTGGCCCATGACTCATCTTCCTACACACGTGAGATAGTTGCAGTGCGTCGTTTAGCCAACTGGGGGGGGGGGGGGGGGGGGGGGGGGGGGGGGGGGGGGGAAACCCTAAACCCTAAACCCTAAGATGGTGAAGGACTGGCTCTGGGGCTGGCTCGACCTGATGCTCGGTTTGAGAGGCTTTCACGCTCTGCCGGAGCAATCTGTGCTAAAAGTTGCCCCCTAGATTTTCTGTAATCCCCTTAGGCATTATTTGTTTTTACATTTTTTTATTTTATTTTGTTTTAAATGTTTTTTGTTTTAGTATTGTTGTTTTTCTATTCATAAAACCCTAGCGAAATTGCGGACCATCATTAGGTCAAGGTTCAGAGGGCTTACCAAGCTTCATAAAGCCAAACGAGTGCCGCGCAACCAAGGATTATCGTGCTCACTTCACTTTGGGAGGTTGGCTTTGAGGTGGCCTTCTGGATACAAGGACTGGCCCATGTTCAGGGTTTAGGGTTTAGAGTTTAGGGTTCAGATTGCGCCAGCTTCAGTCCTGGTCGGAAAAAAGGGTCCGCCTCTTCTATGACCATGCACCCGCTTAGCTCGCTGTTCGGGTCATTCGTCAAGTTTTTTTGCTGATGGCTGCTCTGATGCCTGGGATCCTAACCCTAAACCCCAAACCCTAAACCCTTGCCAAAATCTGAGAGCGAGGATATGGGAGAATACTCCCTAAACGTCTGGGTCCCAACGCACGGTAGACTAGCAGAGTCCGGTGTTTTACGGATCCGAGGCTCCCCGCCTCATGACACGCACTTTAGCGTCGAGCCTAATTGTACTCAGGTAATCAGTGGGTGAAAGGCATAACAGTTCTTCTACTTCGGTTTTTTGCAGTGGATTTCACCATTCGGTGGGGGGGGCGCTTCGACAGGTCCTTCGTTGGCTCGGTCTAGCTCTTGCGATAGTCTCGTTTACCACATGTGCATTCCTGAAGCTGAATCCTAAATCTGCAGGAACTTCGGGCGATGGCGGCGGGCTGAGTAGCCTGACGAGTCTGAAGGTACTGCGCATTGTTCGCATCACGCGGATTGTGAAGGCCAGTCCACTGGCCGGTCCTAGATCGGTTTTGAGGTTTAGGGCCTAGGGTTATTAACTAAGGTTTAGATTTAGCGGCAAAAATCTCTATCTAAGTGGTCGCGCGGGGCGTCTTTCTACTCAGTTATCGGGAAAGCTGGGTGAAACCAGTGACAAGTCACTTCTCGCCACCCGTAAGGTTTCTTAAAACCTTAGTTGTAGAGTAGGTAACCTTTAACCTTTTTGGGTAATAGAATCCCCTTATAATCCCAAAGGTTAACCTTTAGTTTCCCCTAGGTACTGGACAACTAGGAAAGAACATGCAAAGCCTAAGCGCTCATCCGATGCTTCAGGAGCAAGCACAGGCGTTTTAGCCCTTAACCCAAATCAAAGTACTTACGGTCTTGGGGGCCAAAGGGGCTTCCTTACATCTGTTTTGAAAACCCACTGATTTCAAGGCTACGTAGGGAATCTTCCTTATTAGATCATACTGGGTGAGGAGTATTCCCTACTTGAGGTACATAAGTCTTTGGGCAACTTGCTCATGGAAGGGACTTTCTCACTTTCTATTTGGGGGGAAAAAAAAAGGGCACCCCTATTTTGGGAAGTCCCCATATGCTTTAGACTTCCGATAGCATTTATGAAGGTCTCATGCACCACGCTACAAAGCTTCAACGGTTTCCTTGGAGCAGGTCCAACTCAGCAGATGCGCAACCCTACTTGGAGGTTCATGGATACTTATAAGTAGGGCTATTAGTAGGAACCCTAAACCCCAAACCCTAAACCCTAAACCTTCCGCAAACCCTACACCATCACCTTACTTAGGGCTCTTAGAACCCTACTTAGACATGCCCATGAACCTCCCGTAACATCCCAACAGGCCGCCCGGCTGATCCGAATCTTCCGGTTCGTCATGGCCTTCCGGCTTCTTATTGCCTCGCACCTCGGGCGAAGCAAGTTTAGGGTTTAGGGTTTAGGGTTTAGGGTTTAGGTCTAGGCGAATGTGGTTTGAGACCATGGAACAGTTGAAGTCTCTCAGTGCCTTTCCTTTTCGGCAGAATGTTGTGTTTAACAGCGGCATTGGCTTGGACAAATCCTGTTTTATTCTGTTCCCCACCTGTTCTCAGAGTCCCTGTCCGCGGGGCAACATGTATTCCGTATTCCTGATAGTTTTTTTTGAACCTGCTGGAGCACATGCGCGCCAAGTAGCTCCGACGGGCATTCAAGATGAGCGTTGCTTTGGCGTGACGTTCTCCCGATGTTTAGCAACAACAAGCGGCAGAACGCAACATTCTCCTCGGACGTGATGTGTCCACAAAACGCTCTGGTCCGTGGTCTGCATATATAATTTCTTGTTAGAGGCTGCGAGTTTGGCATGCGTGGTTGCTGCAGGAGTGGTCTCTCTCACGTTCCGGGCTTTGTAGTATGGCAAGGCCTCAAACTCTACCGCTTGCATTTGGAGCGTTGGAGAGTGTGCACAAGCGGCAGTTGCTGCGCCGCCGGCGCAGTTGCAAGTCTTAGCCGCCTAAGCCTGAAAAAGCTTTCGAGCTAAGCCTCAGTGACACATCCCGAATCCCGATTTTGCGGCCCTAAACCCTAAACCCTAAACCCTAAACCGCGGATCCCGAGGATCATCGCAACCCTGAAGTCGCTGCTGTGGGCGCTGATGCTGCTGGCACTGATCATCTACGTCTTTGCCATCCTGCCACCTGGAATGGTTTAGGGTGTAGGGTTTAAGCTACGCTTCCCTAAAGTTGCCTAGGTACCTAGTGTTGCAGGAGGGTTGCACCCTAAACCCTAAACCCTAAACCGCCCCAAAGCCTGGCATGATGCCGCATCGCAGCAGTACTCCTGTTACTGAAGCTCTCGCAAGCGTGAACAACGCAGAACTCAAGAGGGTGCCCCCTCCGCGTGGAGGTTGATGTGGGTACTCTTAGGGTTTAGGGGTTTAGGGTGTGGGGTCATAAGTAGGGTTATAAGAACCCTAAATCGGGTTATGAAGAATAGAGTTACCATACCTATCACTTGGGATGTTCTGCCTTATACTAACAGTCCTTCATAGCGGGTAGTACTATAATCCTTATTAAGGACTGTAAGCATAAGGGGGAACATCCCAACCTATTACCCTAAGTATAACTACCCACAAACCCAGACCTTCCAATTCCCCTTAATTAAGGAGTATACCCTAATTCGTAGCAATGATCCTTAGTATAGCTTAGGGTATATTCCAAAAGAAAGGAATATACCTTAATTCAAAAGGGTATTTTCCGAGGGCTTTCGGATTATCCAGAAAACTCCAAGAAGAGTCCAAGAAAGCTGCATAAGAAGGCAGCCTCGGGAGTTCGGAGTCGAGGTCTCCAGTTTTTACGAGAATTAGAAGGGTTTAGTGTTTGGGGTTTAGGGTTTGGGGTTTAGGGTTTGGGGTTTAGGGTTTGGGGTTTGGGGTTTAGGGTTTGAGGTTTGGTTGAGGGTTTATGGCCTGAGATCTCCCGCTCTACGTTCTAGACGCCTTGATGGCGGCCCTAACGCCCAGGGCGTCGGAGTCATGTTTTCACAGGGTGTGTTCTGGCACCCCTACACCCCAAACCCCAAACCCTAAACCCTAAACCCTAAACCCTAAACCCTAAACTAAGTGAGGGGTCGCTTCCGTCGAGCGACAGACCCCGAACGCTCGGCCGAGGGCCTTACAGCCCGAGCGCCCAAGCGAAAAGAGAAACGGAAAGGTGAGGGTTAAGCCTCACCGTCTGTCCTGGACAGGCCAACGGACATCGGCCTTTTTTACGACAACGTCAGTACTCGGCTAAGGGATGGCCGGCACCCAGACCACCTTTAGCGTAGCTAAAGTATAACCCCAAATCGTAAACCTTGGCCTCTGGAGGTCGGTTCAGGGTTTTGGGTTCAGGGTTTGCCGGCCCCCCCCCCGGGGGCCCCCTGGCCCCTGGTGGCTGGATTCCTGGACCAGGAGGCTGGCGAGGGGGTCCAGGCAGGCTGGTTGCTCAATTTCGTGATTTTGGGCTTTGGATGGATTTTGCGCCCTCTCCCGGGCCAAGGGCCTCCCGGGCCAAGGGCCTCCCGGGCCAAGGGCCCCCCGGGCCAAGGGCCCCCCGGGCCAAGGGCCCCCGGGCCAAGGCCCCCCGGGCCAAGGGCCCGGGCCAAGGGCCCCCGGGCCAAGGACCCAGGGCCTCCGGGCCAAGAGGCCCCGGCCAAGGGCCCCCCCCGGGCCAAGGGCCCCCCGGGCCAAGGGAAGGGCCCCCCGGGCCAAGGGCCCCCGGGCCAAGGGCCCCCAGGCCAAGCTGCTGTGAGCCCTCTGGCGTCTGCGTCGTGCATACATGCTTCGGCGCGAGATGGAGCCATTTTCCAAGGGCCCCCCGGGCCAAGGGCCCCCCGGGCCAAGGGCCCCGGGTTAAGGGGCCCCCGGGCCAAGGGTTTTTCGGGCCAAGGTTCGGCCCCGGGCCAAGGGCCCCCCGGGCCAAGGGCCCCCCGGGCCAAGGGCTTCCGGGCCAAGCCCCCCGGGCCAAGGGCCCCCCGGGGCCAAGGGCTTCCCGGGCCATTCCGGCTCAGACCCGCAGGCAGGGCCAAGGGCGCCCCGGGCCAGGGGCCCCAGGCCCAGGGCCAGGGCGCTCCACAACCGGGCCCCCCAAGGGCGGCCCTCCAAGGGTGGCCCGCCCACACCAAGAGCGAGGCTCTGAACCAGGGCGGCCAAGGTTTGCGCGCCAAGCGCGGCCCCAACCAGGCGGCCCGCCCCACCGGGTGAAGGGCACGGGCCAAGGGCCCTTGCCGGGCCGAGCCGGGACCGACCCGCCCCGGAACTCCAATCGCGCACCCAGCTTTTAAGAGGCGCCAAGAGCCACCAAAAGGCTTCAAAAGCTTCAAAAGGCCCACTAAAATAAAAGAAGGGGGACCACAGGATTTGTCCGTGCCCACAATGAAAAATGCGATTTTTCAATATTGAAAACGATGGTTTTAGGCACCCCTGCCCGCAATGAAAACTGCTTTTTTTTAGTACTGAAATCGAGGCTCCCCCCAAATCAGCAAGGACCTCTACGGGCCCTGACGTGCCGAAGGCCCGAAAAGGACCGAGGCTACCCCGAACCCCAAAGTAAATAAGGGCCTCTACGGGCCCTAACGTGCCGAAGGCCCGAAAAGGGCCGAGGCTACCCCGAACCCCAGCTTAAACCCTAACACCGCAAAACCCTGCGAAGGCCTTCAAGTAAATAAGGGCCTCTACGGGCCCTAACGTGCCGAAGGCCCGAAAAGGGCCGAGGCTACCCCGAACCCGAGCTTAAACCCTAGCGATTGAAATACTCATTGGCGAAAAACTCATGAATAGGTTCCCTGACCTTTAAATGAATAAAACCTCTGACACGCCGAAGGTCCGAACAAGGCCCCGAGCGACCCCAAGAGCCACCAAAATGCTTCAAAAGGCTTCAAAAGGCCCCCTAAAAGAAGGGGGACCCCAGGATGCCCGTACCCGCAATGAAAAATGAGATTTTTTGATAGTGAAATCGATGCTTAATTGAGGCCCTTAAAGAAGGGGAATCCAGGAGCAGACACAAAGGGTTCCCTGACCTTCAAATAAATAAGGGCCTCTACGGGCCCTGACACGCCGAAGGCCCGAAAAGGGCCGAGGCTACCCCCAACCCCAGCTTAAACCCTAATAGCGCAATTTTAAAAACATCAAAGCAAGCATCAGAGCACAAGAAAGTAAATTCCATAAACCCTAAACCCTAATAGAGTATAGTTTGGGTGGCCGGGGTGGGTTGACGGGCAACGCGAGCGCGCGGCCCGGGGTGTTTCACACCCGAGCGCGCGCCCTCCCCTGACACACCCTAAACCCTAAACCCTAAACCCTAAACCCTAAACCCTAAACCCTAAACCCTAAACCCTAAACCCTAAACCCTGCCCTTTTGTCGACAAGGCTGACGCAGGCTGTGCACACCTACATCTCGGATCCGGACTGTGTGGCCCAGCTGAGTGTGTTTGGGTACGGGATGCAGACTTCCCTCATGTCCTGTGCCAAACCTAAACCCTGAACCCTGAACCCTGAACCCTAAACCCTAGACCCTAAACCCTAAACCCTAAACCCTAAACCCAACTCAGTCGACCCACAGTTGAGTTGTTTGGGGCTCGGGGAAATTGGGGAGTCAATGGCATGAACTCCTGAACTGTCCGGCTGATACGTGCGGTATCGCGAAACCCGACACCCCGAACCATGTGGGGTTCGGATCTCGGGCCCCCAGGGTGGGCCTCAAATTCTCCCAGATCTTCCAAAACCCCTTAATTCAGGAAGATACCCTAATTCATAGTTTGTGATTTAGGGTTTAGGGTTTAGGGTTTAGGGTTTAGGGTTTAGGGTCCTTGGTATAAAGTTGGGTATATTCCTTAAGGGGTTTTGGAAGATCCAAGCCCTCAACTCCCTAGGAGAGCACGAGAAGAAAGCCCACCAAAAAAGGGAAAAACAACTGGCTGCCTGGTAAACCCGAAGCTCTACTTGCAGGTTCGTGGGGTAGCTATAAGTAACCCGAATTAGGGCTACAAGTAGGCTAAATGGGATTATCAGTACCCTAAGTAGGGTGTACTCTAAGTAGGGTTACAAGTACCCTAAACAGGGTCATAAGGAACCTAAAAAAGGTTAGAAGCATAGTTACCATGCTTGTAACCCTACCTCTAACTACACACCCATGAGCCTCCAAGTAAACCCCCCACAGGTAGAGTTTGTGTGTCGGCGCCGTAGGGTTAGTAGGGTTTATAGGGTTTAGGGTTAGGGCTTAGGGTCGATTTCTGGCGACTCCATCCACCGAGGATTTGGAGCCAGCAGCAGCTGGGCAAACTTCAGCAATATCATCAGGGTGTGTGCGTGGGTGGGGGGGGTATAATGTGCGCTTGACCCCTTAGTAGTTTTACACTTCTGGTTTACCTGATCCGTATGTTTGGTGCATTGTTGTTGCATCTTCTTAACTCCCGTGTCTATTGTTACATGCAGGATTCGGTCCTCATGCTTTTCCTGAGGCTCTCAGAGGCTTTCCCAGAATATTCGTTCTGAGGATGGGGTGAAAGGCTCCGACAAAGGAAATGCTTGCAGCCGCGCTTGGCCAGCAACAGGCTTATCAATCTCCGACCCCCTCCCTGAACCCTCAACCCTTGGCCCCTGTGCAAGGATGCCACGCAGAAATCGAAAAGTGTAACAATCAAAAGCCACTCAACCCTAAACGACGCCAAGCCGGGCAGTCCGTCGAAGCTCAAGCTACAAGGCAAAAACAGACGAATCTCCGTGCTGAGGCACCCATCCACATCAGAACCCGAAGTTTGAGCTTCCTCTCTCTCTCTATCCCCTTTCTTTGGGGTTTAGGCTTTCGGGTTTGAATGGACTTCAGAGGCTTGGATGTAAACATGTCTGAGTTTCCGGCAGCTGCGCAGTCCTGGTTGCCAAAATGTCCGAGCTCCGTGAACCCAACCCTAAACCCTAAACCCTAAACCCTAAACCCTAAACCCTAAACCCTAAACCCTAAACCCTAAACCCTAAACCCTAAACCCTAAACCCTAAACCCTAAACCCCAAACCCTAAACCCTAAACCCTAAACCCTAACCCTAAACCCTAAACCCTAAGCAAAGGAGCTCCAGGCAAGCCACCAATACTTTGGCTCACTGGGGCAAACGATGCTCAGTCGCTTGGGGGCAGATGTGTTGGAGCGATGCCTAAAGCTTGCACCCATATACACATACATCATAGGGTTTAGGGTTTAGGGTTCTAGGTTTTGGGTTTTGGGCTGAAGGAGAGAGTTGGGGTCAGAGGTTTTGAGTTGTTCTTGGAAGTCATGTGGGGATTTTGCAGTGACTTTGGCTCATACAGACTCGGGTGTTTATAGGGTACAGCCTGCTGCCGAAGTTGCCCCAGCAAAACAGAGAGAGAAAGGCATTATGAATATTGCTTCGGGTAGTAAGAATAAGAAGCATGTAGGGGCTACTTAGGTACATAGCGACTTTATAAGGTATATCTGAGGGTTATATAGGGAAATAAGATTAAGGGTCCCTTCTAGGGGTCCCTCCTTATGCCCTAAACCCAAACCCTAAACCCTAAACCCTAAACCCTAAACCCTAGGCGGGTGGCAAAAAAAAACCCTAAACCCTTAACCCTTAACCCTTAACCCTTAAACCTTAACCCTTAACCCTTAACAAGCCCGGCTGCTGAATCCTAGGCCTCTTCATGAGCATCGCCGGCGGTGTGAGCTGGGAGCAGGTCGTGTGGCCGCTAAGAGTGCCACAGCTGAGTTCAACGTTTAGGGTTTCGGGTTAGGGTTTAGGGTTTAGGGGTTTAGGGGTTTAGGGTTTAGGGTTTAGGGTTTAGGGTTTAGGGTTTAGGGTTTCGGGTTTCGGGTTTCGGGTTTCGAGTTAGGGGCCATAAGCATTTCGGGCTGAGGGTTAGGAGATTTGGGGTAATTCCCTGCAATCCCTTCCCAGTCCCTGAAAGCGCCAGCACAAAAAGTAGGCTTGAGAGCCCCTTACACCCTGAACCCTAAAACCCTGAACCCTAAAACCCTGAGCAACCCTCGAAAGGGTAGGGCTTCAGCTGGGCCCAGCCTGCTGGCTCTGGGTGGGGAATTGAGGGATTTTGATACCTTACATCCTCCCAAAGAAGCTCTTGAAGGGATGATATAGGGCCCTATATCCCGCCATATTATATACCCATTAAGGGATTATAGGGGACCCTAATATCCCCCTAATATATACCCTTTAAGACACCCTGGAATTCATATTCATTCCCTGCTTAAGAATCCCCATAGTGCCCTGATGAGGAAGACAATTGTCATTTTCCGGGGTGGTTCTACAGCAAATAGTAGACTAATACCCTAAGCCCTACATCCTAAGCCCTAAACAAAACCTGCAAAGCTGAACCCTGAAACTTGCACCCTAAACCCTAAACCCTAGGCCCTACTCCCTGAGTATCTCTCACCCGGAGTGTAGCAGTAGAAGTAGTGTATCACATAGGGCATGCAAGACTCTGAGACAACTCCTATCTTGTCCGAGTGTGAGCCCTGCCCAAACCCTAAACCCTAAACCTGAAACCCTAAACCCGAAACCCTAAACCCCGAAACCCTAAACCCTAAACCCTAAACCCTAAACCCAATCGAGAAGTGTACCAAGACAAAAAAACCGTAAACCCTACACCCTAAACCCGAAGCCCTGAACCCTAAACCCTAAACCCTAAACCCTAAACCCTAAACCCTAAACCCTAAACCCTAAACCCTAAACCCTAAACCCTAAACCCTAAACCCTAAACCTTACATACCGAAAGTTTCAGGTTTGGAAGGCATCCGATGGACTCATGAGGCTAAGCGCGCTGATCCTTTAGCTGGTTGGTTCGTCTTCGGGGTTCGACCGGAGGTCCGAGGCACTTGTAAGGTTTAGGGTTTCCAAAAAATGGTTTAGGGTTTAGGGTTTAGGGTTTAGGGTTTAGGGTTTAGGGGCACTTCTGAGTGTGCGTCTGCTCACATGTTTGCGTGCCCTTCCATGACCACGCAAACTGGCCCGGAGGGCTCCAGGCGCCAAGTCTCTGGCTCTGGGGCCGTGCCTCAAGCCCTCAATCCTAAACCCTAAAAAGGGCAAACCGGTCTTTGACTTTGCTCTGTCTCACCCTCACCACCTTGCAACCCGGTGAACCTGCACCTTTCCAAGGCCATGTCCGAAGCGTGGATTTGGGTCTTCCTCTTCTACATCTCCTTCACGTACTTTGCAGTGCATCCCGGCGGCAGCCTGGGCTACGAAGCTTCGGGATGTGTGTCGAGTTCAAGTTTCAGAAAATGCAAGACCCGACAAGATGAGCAAGAAAAGGAAGCGAGAGAGAGAGAGAGAGAGTGAAAGAGCGAGAGAGCGAGATAGAGAGAGAGAGAGAGGAAAGAAAAAACACATAAGAGACGAGGAGAGCACGGAGCTCACGAGAAGAAAGGCTGCCATCTGCCGCCTTTTTGCTACTTCAGACACTGCCGTTTTGCACGGCCAGCGTCTTCAGATGCAAGACAACCTGGCATCCGCATGATGCTGTAGCATATTCCGTACAGGCCATATACAGACAGAACCGTGGAACAACCTTCAGTGTGGCTTTCCATGATGCTTTCTTCCTTGTCGTTTTAAACATCCAGGTAAATTCCTTCTAGTTTGCAAGCAGGGTGCCATGAAAAGGCGCGTGGAGTTCACGTCAGCTTCCTCAAATCAGGGAGGCCTTCCGAAGCGTCCCCAAAGTTCCTAGGTAGGCATAAATCTAGGGCTCCTGTGCTGCACTCAGGTTGAACGTCGTGACTTGGCAATTGGAAAATTGTGCAAATTTCGGTTTGGGGGGAGGTGGGGCGAGCAAAGGTTCTGTGTCAGTTGCTTGTGTGGCCAGTTCGCAGCGCAGTGAGATTGTTGCACTTGCTTGCTTTGCAAGGTTGTTTTGTGCAGACTCATGAGGGGGTTTCCTGATAGGGGTACCCCTTTTTACCCCCAAACATAGTAGAATCCCCTTAAAAAGGACCCCTAGGAGGGTACCCCTATTATCGTAAAGCCCCCCGAATCAAATCAACCCTAAACCCTAAACACCCTAAACCGCAAGTGTCGGGACGCAGAGTTTCTGCTGCTGGCATTGCTTCGCTGACTGAGTCAGTAGCAATGAGTCCAAACGGTGTCTGTGTACTTGGGGCTGGCACTAAAGCAAGCCCCTATGTATATTATATATATATATACACATATACAATTAAAAGTAAATAAGTATATATATATATATATATGTACACATGCTGGAGAAGCAAGGTTCAGAGGGGGCGGGTTTAAGATGCATGAAGCCTTTCAGGTTTCTTCACTCCAGACCGTTGAGGCATTCACATTCTTGTGTCTAAGGCGCAATCAGTCTGGTCACATATGCCTTCCTACTTAAGATTGGTTGGTTGGAAAACGATGCGGCAAATTTAGACACCCCCGCTCCCCACCCACCATTTCAGCCCCTCACATGCCCATGTGCGGTGTACTGTGTTGGAGATGCAGATTTCATCTGGTTGGGTTGGTTGTCACCTTCTCCCGCTGGTCAACTTCTCGGTGGTCTACAGCATTCTACGAGCCGGCTCTTGCGAACCGATGTTTTCGTCTGTTGCTGTAGTGTAGTTGCCCTTGCTTCCTGCACTGTTGCCCTCACCTGAGCTAGTTAGTTACTGGGCATGTGATTCTTCCCGTGCTCAAGGTCGTATGCTTGTGGATAATTTCTTTACAGGATGTTTTGTGGCAGTGTCAGCCGACACAACTAAAGTGACAGTGACAATGAGCCTGCCCGTGTCGCTGCCTCATCGCCAATATGAGGTTGCTTGCTTGCTGTCAGCTTGCAATGCTGGCGTGTTGCCCGGGGGCGATCCCCTGTGTGGCATTCGTCATAGTCTACGTCTTCTCTGGTGTGCTGTCCATTCGGGGGCTGCCGCACCATAACAAAGTTAGTTAGTTCCCGTGCTCAGGTGACGGCAGTTTTCTGTCAAAGTGCGATTGATGGAGCTCAAAACGATCACGCCTCGAAAGTGCACGCCATCCTCGCCAACAAAGAGGCAAGGAGCTGTGCCATACCATGTGCCACATGCCATTGCTGCAGGCGGCCCCCACCAGTAAGAACCAAGCCCAAATAAAACATTGTCGCAGTGCCTTCTTCTGAGCACTTGAGCCGTTCAACTGCAACTTGGGCAGCCAGCAGCCACTGCCTTGGAGCCTCTACTCTCACACTTACTTGTTCACACAAGCAGATATGGTGCACACTACATCCTGTCCCTAGCAATCCTGATCTTTCTTTTCAGGCGCATCTCGGCAAGATCAACACCCTGTTCGCGAAATTTGGTGCTGATGACGGTGCTTCGGCAGCGGAAATCTCAAGAAGCGTGCAGCTAAACCCTATGCATCTTAAACGTGGTCTTGGAATGCTCTTGAAGCGTCCTTACACTGTGTAGGTTGGGATGTTCCCCCTTCCCAGCCTTGTACTAGCAGTCCTTAACTTAGGGCTTTAATCCCTATGAAGGACTGTTAGCATAAGGCGGGAACATCCCAATGGGCAGGGTCTACACCGGCATGATTTTATGGGTGTTCGGACTGTTGGACTCCCAGACAGTTGCGGAAGTGAACCCCGAGGCGTCATCACTTTCAAAATGTTCCAGGACAAGATCAACTCAGTGGAAGTACGTGCCTATGGCTGTCACACGGGGCTCCAAACCCCTTCTAACCCCATGAACCTCCTGCCAAAACTAAAGCACGTGACTCCAGCTAAAGCCCACCCGATACCTCCCTAAACCCTGTCCCCCATGCGCCTTACACACTGCTCAGGGCCTGAACTGAGATCAGGGAGGGGTTGAATAATGCCAGGCACGTTCCCTAGCCTACTGTTTGCTTAAGAACCCCCCCAAAAAATATCAGCGCTCCTCCTTAGACGTGTAACAGATCGGGAATATGATCTTTCATCTTGGGGGGCTCTTAAGCACATAGTAGTTCTTAGAACTCCCAGTTCGGAAGCCGGTGGTGGCTCACTTAGATCTTAGGGTTTAGGGTTTAGGGTTTAGGGTTTAGGGTTTAGGGTGGCAGTCATCAAGTCCGGATTCAAAAGGGTTTAGGGTTTAGGATCTTGCAGATTTGGGGTTTCGCGCTCAGGCGAATACTTCCAGACGCTGGGGCTCGACGTTTGGGATGCCTGGTCCTTCTTCAAGAGCCCTGCCAGCAATGAAGAGATGCCCCTAAACCCTAAACCCTAAACCCTAAACCCTAAACCCTAAACCCTAAACCCTAAACCCTAAACCCTAAAACTTGGTGCTTGGCAACCTGGACCCAAAACCCCTTGACGGCACATCAGACGTTCAACCTCCAGTGCTGATCTGGAGGCCCAGGACTGTGCCACGCACGCTTGGAGGTTTAGGCTTTAGTGTTTAGGGTTAGAAAGGGCTGCTGGGGAATAAGGGCGAGGCGGGCAGTGGTGAGCAGTCGCAAACCCCGGCTGTAGCAGGGTTTGCCCCCGGAAGAAGCTTATGTTTGTGAGGTTCTGGTGACTTCTTGTCTTCAGAACAGTCCCTAACCAGCTAAGCCCTGTTTCGGGTGCAAACTAGAATCGTTTTAAATCTTCATCTTCAGTCCACAATCATATCCCTAAACCCTAAACCCTAAACCCTAAACCCTAAACCCTAAACCCTAAACGTGCTTTGATGCTGGCAGCTTGCATCCAGGTTGTTGGACAAAGATGCGGGTGGCGCCGTGGAGATCGAAGAGTCACCCGGCACGATTGAGGTTTGTTGGGCCCTGAAACCTAACCGAAATCCTAAAGCCTAATGCCCTACCCTAAGCCCTATATAAACCCTAAACCCTAGCGCCACTTGAGGCGGCGCCTCGATGTAGGACGCGGGCAGGTCCATGAAAGCAGTGGCGCACTTGGGGGGAAGGTGGGGGCCAATCTGCAGCCAGGTCATCCGAACCCAAGCTGCGGCTTAGGCGTGTTACAGCAACGCTGTGGAACCTAGAGGCTGATGAGCGGCACACTCCAAAATGCTCTAATTAATTAATTAATTTGTTAGTTTTTCTTGATTGTGGGACCCTTGCAGGCTACCATATCATCATTCTGACCACTCGATTACGCTGTTTTGGGAAACCCCTGCCTAAACCCTAAACCCTAAACCCTAAACGGCATAAATTGGGGAGCTGAGGTTCCTTATGGGCTGCTTGCGGCTACGTGGGCAGGCCACAGCAATGGATGTCGGAAAGATGCCTTGCAGAAATGTGCAGAAGGGTTCAGGGTTTAGGGTTTTGGGATTAGGGTTTAGGGTTTTGGGGATGCAGCACTTCCGTTCCAGAACGGAGAAAGGTAAGTACACACGGGTAGACATACACACATGCTTTTTCAACCTTTCCGTATGCCCCGCCCACGCACTGTTCGCGTCCCTGGATCCCTAGTTGTTTTTTTTGTCCATCCCTTGCGCGTTGGGGTTCAGGGATGGAGACGGTGCTACTAACCCTGTCCTTCCTTAGGTTACTAGCGTCCCTAAGGACCCCATACTTGGATGGTCTGATTGTCTGCAGGGGTGCTTCGAATTCTCAAGTCTTGCATGCGACTGGCACCCTGGGGCATCGTGCAGCGTTTGGTAGGACCAATCCGGAAGGGCAAGGGCCTAAACCCTAACTAAGCCCTAAACCCTAAACCCTAAACCTCGACCCAGGATCATCAATGACCAGCAGTGGCTGATGAAGACGCAGGGCAAGTTCAATGCCCTTCGGCCCAGCTTAGGGGTTCAAGCCCATCCTTCCAACCAGAAACACACACACACACACACAGGGTTTAGGGTTTAGGGTTTCGGGTTTAGGGTTTAGGGTTTACGGATAGTCAAATTCAGAGAGAGACCCTATATCAAGATATCAAGAGGCTTTCAAGCCCAACGCCCACCCCGAAACCTTATAGAGGCAGATCCTGTTTAGGATCGCAAAGAAAGGGTTTAGGGTTTAGGGTTTGGGCTTTGGGGTTTGGGGTTTAGGGTTTAGGGTTTAGGGCTCCAAGGCCTACATGGAAGTCGAGCTGAAGCAGATCAAGGCCGAGTAGGGGCCAGGATTCGGTGATCTCAATTTCCTAGTGGAGCCGGAGAGGGTTTAGGGTTTAGGGTTTAGGGTTTAGGGTTTCATGCAGGACCAACCCGAAGCCTGGGTAGCCCAGGCATACCCTTTTGCCCCCCTGTTTGGTGGGGTTCTAGGTTCCCTTACAAAGTGTTGTAGCCAATTCGGATGTTTAGGATTTAGGGTTTGGGGTTTAGGGTTATAGGGTTCAGGGTTTTAAACAAGTTCCCCCTTATGCGCGCAGTCCTTAGTAGGGATTATAGTACAGAACCCCTCATCCCTTTTCAGGACTGTTCGTATAAGGGAGAACATCCCAAGTAACCAACCCCAAGATTGGTACCCTATTATCATGTGGCTATCTCAGCTCTCTGAGCCCGAAAAAGCTTCAGTGCGAAGCTTCAGTGCGTCGCAAGTTCAAGCCTAACAACAGAGCACCCAAAACTCGAAGAATCATTCAGCATACCCCAAACCCGTACCCCCTTTACCTATAAAGGAGAATTTAAGGAAGCATTTTTCCACACCCCTGAATTTCGTTTAAGGGGTCTGCCCAAGGGGTATGTATGTTGAATTCCACCCTGCACACCAACAACTGCGCAGCGAATCTTTGTGGGGGCGAAAAGGTAGGGTTCTTAAGGAGTTAATGCAGCAAACTGCAGTGCCAATTATTCTGAAGAGCTTCCTTTTTAGACCCTAAACCCTAAACCGGTTCTCACGGACGTGTGCTTCCCTTTCCCAGCCGCAGGATCACTTGACGATTCTTACTGGCATCAACTGCAGCTCTGATGATCACATCGGTTGGATCTTTGAGTCCCACAACCTCGGCGTCTGTGGCAGCGTTTAGGCTTTAGGGTTTAGGGTTTAGGGTTTAGGGTTTTTGGTTTAGGGTTTAGGGTTTAGGGTTTAGGGTTTAGGGTTTAGGGTTTAGGGTTTAGGGTTCAGGGTTCAGGGTTCAGGGTTCAGGGTTCAGGGTTCAGGGTTCAGGGTTCAGGGTTCAGGGTTCAGGGTTCAGGGTTCAGGGTTTCGTTTAGGTTGTTTCTTCTGTGTTTTACGCTGCTGCGTCTAGCATGGGCATGTGAACATTCGAAGGGGTGGCTTGCTGCATCGCCAACGTTAAAATGGTCACCTTGTGCCACCTAGGCTCATCAGAGCAAGGTTCCCTAATACCCCCCACTACTCCCTATCAGGGTTTAGGGTTTAGGATTTAGGGTTTAGGGCTCCCTTACTCCCTAAGCTTCCCTAAATTTCCATTGGTACCTACCCCTCATGAACCCTCCCCCTCCCTCAGCGAGCCTCAAGCGGAGTTCACAGAGAAACGTCGTCCCCGCCCCCTTGCCTGCCCAAAAATCAACCTAAACCCTAAACCCAAAAAGCCCCGAACATACCCTAAACACGAAACTCCAAAAGCCCAAAAGGGTTTCCCAACTCTGCAACGGCTCTGACACTAGAACGCCCCAAGCGCCCAGAATGCTGTGACCCAGAGAGCTCAATACCCCTTAGTCAAGCAAGAAACCTTGAACATTTGGGGGGTTCCGAAAATAGGGGTACCCTTTCTGGGCTTCCTATACTGAGTAGTATAGTATTTTGGGGTATATTCGGGTCCCCCAATTATTTGGGAAATGCCCATATGGAGTCCTTAATATGACTTAAGGTCTTTTCCTTGATCAAGGAGTCTTGGGCTCTTTGGTGACCCATTCCCCGAAATGGCCCAGGTCGTTTTCTGCATAATGCATTCCACTTGTTCGGCTTTGGCGCCGAAAACAATCGCCACCTAAATGAACAGGCAATCTTCAACCTTGAAAATATGGGGGACTGTGGAGCTCTGCAGCAACGCAAGGAGAGCAAGAATTGGATACTGCTTCTGACGCTTCATGCGCGTAGAAATGCACGGAGAGCGTCAAGTTCACAGAAGATGTTCGTGCGCCTTGCAACGCACTCACTCACTCACCATGGGTCTCAACCCTAAACCCTAAACCCTAAACCCTAAACCCTAAACCCTAAACCGTAAGCTGTCCTACCAGGAACTGCGACGTGTATCCCAGATCCCCACATCAGCAGCTAAGAGTCCTCAAGCACGTTGCCATGTTACACGACTCCAGGACTAGGAGCATCTGCAGGAATACTTTTCAGAGGGTTTTTCTAAGGGCCCTCCTAGATTAAATGCTTGACACTGGCTTGTAGTTGAAGGCATGTGCCTTGGTTTAGGGTTTAGGGTTTCGGGTTTAGGGTTGGGACATGTAGGCTCTATGTTCTGCTGAATGCGACGCGCCTCCTGCAGAGATGGGAGGCAGAGCTCAAGTAGCGCAGAACATGTGTGACACTTGTTCTAAACTTGGGGGCCTTGAAGAGATCCGAGAAAAAGGGGTAGCTAAGTTTAGGGTTTAGGGCCCGGGTTTAGGGTTTAGGGTTTAGGGTATCACAAGAAGGTACCAAAAATGGGGACCCTTGCTTAGAACAAGCCCCAAGCGGAGATGCTGGGATGCAGGGGACGGGACCATACCAACCCCTAAACCCTAAACCCTAAACCCTAAACCCTAAACCCTAAACCCTAAACCCTAAACCCTAAACCCTAAACCCTAAACCCTAAACCCTACACTTTAAACCCTAAACCCTAAACCCTAAACTCTACCCCTAACCCAAACCCTAAACTGGGTTCTTGCTAAGGGATGTATATGAAGCTACCCTGACAAGTGTGCTAAGTAAGTGTACTACACTGTTTATTTGGATGAACCATATCTAGGTAAACCCCTTTGGGACATTTGACATGTTCCCTTCTTGGGTGTAGGAGGACTAAACCCTAAACCCTAAACCTGAAACCCTAAACCCTAAACCCTAAACCCTAAACCCGGGGGGGTTTAAGGGTCATTCTGGAAGAGGAAGAGCTACAGGCAGGCAGGGCACTGGAAGCGTCTGCACTAGCGCTTGCAGCTTTGTCCTGTGTGTGTGGGTTTTGGGTTTAGGGTTTAGGGTTTAGGGTTTAGGGTTTAGAGTTCCGAAGCTGGCTAGGGTTTGGGGGTAATTAGTGTTTAGGGTTGCTCCGGCTCAGCAGTCCTAAACCCTAAACCCTAAATTCAGAGCGGTTTACTAGCAAGGGGTTCGCTGTAGTGAGTCGAAGGTACATGTTCAGGCTGAACGTCTTGCTCTAAACGGTTGCACTATACAGATGCCTCTGCAGCCTTGCGACTTGTAGAACCCTCTAAACCTTGGTGCCTCAAACCTGGATAAAAGCTTCCACGGGTTTAGGACTTAGGGACAAAGAGTTTAGGGTTTTGGGGGGTGCAGGGTTTAGGCTTCAGTTCTCAGCTTTCTTCGCCTCTTACGCCTAAACCCTAAACCCTAAACCCTAAACCCTATCCAGTTGCGAGAAGTTGCCGGGCCATTTGGGGGCCGCCTATTAAAACAGTGAGATATAGCGGCAGACCACCAAGACCACGCCAAAGGACGCCAACCTGCACCCGAAGCCCGAAACCCTGAACCCTAAACCCCCGGAAGCACCAGCATCGTTGGCCCATGAGGGCCGCAGGAGATACAGAGTTGAGCCGCGCAGTGGCATGACGCATACATACATATGTAACACAATATAAGAACAATAATAGATACATATATATATATATGTATGTATGTATGTATGTATGTATGTATTTGCACAGCTCATTTTCAGAACAATGATGAGGATCTTGGCGCTGAAGCCCGAATGCGCTCAACCCTGAACCCATGACCGCCGCGAGTGTGAGAGCGCCAGGCAATGCTTGCAGGGTTTGACCCTAAACCCTAAACCCCTAAACCTTAAGCCCTAACCCTACACCCTAAACCCTAAACCTTAATGGCGCAGCTCACGAGAGCCTGGGGGCTCCCATGTTCCGCTATGTGGCATGTTTCTGAAAGCTGCGACCAGGTAAAGAGTCAAAACCGGTCCCATGTTCCACCGGTGGCATCGAGGTCTGGAACTGGAGCATCCAAGACGTGCAGCTTAAGATCTTTGCCTGTCTGTGATTCCAGGTTTGCAATTATGCTAGAGTATAGTTTATTTGATCTATGGCATACATACACACACACAAATCTATGTGTATATATATATATATATGTATTCTACATAGACGCATACCATGTAGACTAACTACTTTGCACATTAGGCGCCTTTATGAATACAATAAGTTATATAATAGTGCTGAGAACAACAACAAGGTGAACAAACATAGTACTATAGTAAAAAAAGGTTCAATAATAACAACAGCCACAATGTGCAAGCCTTCGTAAACTAGAACCTGTGTCAGTTTTACTTTCAAACAAGCATATGTATATGCACATGTACAGGCACTCATGTGGGTGGTTGTCAAAATCATGGTCCCTTTTGGGATCCCTATTATAATACGGCACCTCAAAAAAAGGATCAATCTTGACAACCACCCATGTATATATATATATACATACGATTCCCCGAAGGTGCAAGAAAAGGAATGTCCACGAAGCAGGACGTCTAAAGCAGAGTTTCGGGGACTCTGGCTGGAGTCTGCTGTAATCCTTTTGGGGTTTAGGGTTAGGGTGTAACCCTTCGGCTGTTTAGGGTTTTTTAACGTTAAAAAACCATTTAGGGCTTAGGGTTTTTAACGTTAAAAAACCCTTCGGCTGTTCAGTCTGGATGTTTTACAGGGCCTTTTTTTAAAGTTTTACAGACTCGAAGACCGAGCGTAAAAAGTTTCAGTTTCACCGACCATTCGCCGACCATCCTGATTTGGAGAACCCCACGGTACGGCTCATCTCTATACCTCAGCCGTTGGGTTTAGGGTTTAGGGTTTTGGGTTAAGGGTTTAGCGTTTAGGGTTTAGGGTTAGGGTTTAGGGTTTAGGGTTAGGGTTTAGGTTTAGGGTTGAGGTTCTTATTATTCCAGGTGAAGGCTTTTGGAATGGTGTGGAACACGCCTGTAAGGGCACCCTGTGTCAAGTGAGTGGCCTGAAGGAAACCTGGGCCGCTTGCAACGCGCCGTCGTCAGACAAAAAGAACTGAGTGTCAAGGGCCAAAAGGAGGGACCCTTATAAGGGACCGTAGGGGTTTAGGGTTTACGGTTTACGGTTTAGGGTTTAGTGGCTTCTCTCGGTTCTGTCACCAGTGCAGCGACTTGAGCGACATCAGGGGTGGGTTCCTGGCGTGACTTTGCAAGCCAGTTGCAAAAGGGGCTTCTATCAGGGACCTTAGCGCCTTAGGGGTTGTGTGGGTGGGGGGGTGTTTAGGGGCTACTTAGGTATGGGTTATATAGGGGAATAAGATTGGAGGTCCCTTCTAGGGGTCCCTCCTTATGCGCCGTAAGAGTGTGAGCCTGCGCCTTTGCCTTTGTTGCCTTTGTCAGGAGCAGCCTTCCGCACAAGAGTTGTCAGAAGCCCATTCGGCAGGGTACGCTCGTGAAGCTTGTTTGTGCGGAGCAACCAAAATGCCACCGCACCCACACCCATACCCACACCCACACCCACAACCACAACCACAACCTCAACCACATCCACACACACACACACACGCACACCCACACACACACACACACACACACACTCACACTCACACTCACACTCACACTCACACTCACACTCACACTCACACTCACACTCACACTCACACTCACACTCACACTCACACTCACACTCACACTCACACTCACTCACTCACTCACACTCACACTCACGGGTACGCCGACGCACAGAGTCTGGCGCGCCAGGACCTTGGTGACCTCAGAGAGCTGGGCTGAGTGCTGGTGCTTCCATGTCTTTTGGAATGGTAAATTACCTTGGGGACCAGATGAACCCTAAACGGATCCTAGGAGTGTTATGGTTCACAAACACCCTACTAGGGAGTATAGTAGTTTGGGGCATATGACCCCATTTTTGGGGTCCAGTTGTTTCCCGAAATATGCAGAAACCAGTACAAGCCCTAAGAAAGGCGACAGCTTGGCACGGAAGCTGGGCTGCTGCACAAGGTGCCTCCCCTGGCTCGCGAAGCTTCGTGGAGAATTCTGGGCGGGTGGCGATGAAAAGAAGTCGTGCGAGCATCGAAGGTCCTTTGCCCTAAACCCTATAACCCTATAACCCTAAACTAAATTAAACCCTAAACCCTACACCCTCTCGGGTTTCAAAAGGATACCTTTTGTTTTTCCCTAGCCTCCACTTTGGTCTAGACTGTACTCTGACTGGGCTTAGATTCGGTGCCTGCGCTGATGCAACTAAGCCAGCGAAACCTAGGAGGTCAAGACTATTCTTCCCTGTACGGGCACGATGGGGATTGCGATCTTTCATTTTTGGGTGGGTTCTTACTACGAGTTGCTTAAGAACCCCGAAAAATATAACAAATATTCTTCCTCCTTAAGGGTAGTACAGGGACTGCTATGTTTCATTCTTTTGGGGGTTCTTAAGCAAATAGTAAACTAAGCCAAGAGTAGTTTAGGGCTCTTCGGACAGAGGGTCAGGGAAGACAAGCCGGGTAGAGTAAAGCGCCAATGCCCCACAGGCTGTTGGGTGATAGCTGAGGAACCCAGCACTTCATACTTACTTGTAAGTAGGGCTATCAGTACCCTAAGTAAGGTTGTAACCATGGACTTATAACCCTACTTCTAAGATCCTAAGTGCCCATGAACCTCCAAGCAACTGGAGTTGAGGGTTTAGGGATTCGCGCGGTTCCAGTGGTGTGCTCCTGATCCCAGCTAGCGCAAGAGCCTGGGCTCAACAAGGGTTTAGGGTTTAGGGTTTAGGGTTTAGGGTTGGCTTAGTAAAGAGTCAAATTGTCTTCTTGTTCAGGTGGACATGGAACCGAAACAGGCCCTGCCTGTGCCAGAGCTGACAGGGTAGGAACCAAAAGCTTTCGGAATGTCTCGAGGCAGCTTCTGCTTTTCTACATGCAGCCCAGAGAGTCCTCAGAAACAAACAACAAATCCCTGGACCACACAAAAGCCCGAAGATACCCATCCAAAAGACCACTGTAAGCTGGGATGTTCCCCCCGTATACTAACAGTCCGAATAGGGATTTGAAATACCCCCTATGAGAATCTCTATTCAGGACTCTTATAGTATACAGCCCTAAACCCTAAACCCTAAACCCTAAACCCTAAACCCTAAACCCTAAACCCTAAACCCTAAACCCTAAACCCTTAGAAGGGGGAACATCCCAAGCCAGCAGCGGTGCCAGATGCCCAGGCGTTTGCCTGGCCTCGCCCAGGGCCACCCAGACGTCGCGCATCTCTTGTGGATGGCATAGGCCACCTTTGATATCGGGCTCCAGGTCTTACCTAGAATCTACTAGGACCGGGAGTAGGCACTTTGTTCCTTTTTTAGGGTTGGGGTTCCCTTATCATCCCCTTAAAACCAAAAAGGGTACCCTTTTTTATTCCCAGGTTACTCCCGGGTCGAATCTAGAACGCTCAAGTACCCTACAGCAGTGCCAAGGCCGGTTGTACCTTAAAGAATTGCTGCTTTCGCACCCTAAACCCTAAACCCTAAACCCTAAACCCTAAACCCTAAACCCCTTAGTCCCTCCACGTCTGGCGTGAGCCCATGGACTGGTTCTGGCATTGAGGGCTAAGGCGCTGACTCATGGACCCACCCCTAAACCCTAAACCCTAAACCCTAAACCCTTAGAGAAGTTGTGATGTTTTTTGGGGCAGATGGGGCGAACACATCATTCAACTGCGGGCTCGCAAGCCTATTGTGTCCGAGTTGTGCCATAATCTGGGGGGTGTTTTGAATTTAGGGCTTGCGTTTTTCTTGTGGAGGCAACCCCGCCGAGCGCCCTGTGGCCAGGATGCAAAGACAGCGGGCTGAAGCGAGTGCCGGGGATTAACGCTAGTTTTGGTTTATGCAAAGCAACCTGAAACAGAGACCTTCATTTCTGAAAGTGTGTACTCAGCTAGTCATACCGTCGCAGTGACCAATGGTTAAAACCACAAAAATGAGAACAGTGGTTCGCAGATTTCCGTAGTCAACAGTGCAAAAATACTCTACTGGCAGGGCTTCCTAGTGCCGTTTATCGGTGCAGGGGTCTTGAGGTCCGCGGTTTTCATGTTGGAGCTTGGGTTTAGGGTTTACGGTTGAACTTGTTGGGCTACCAGATTGTCATCTGTCTCTCCGTCTGTCTGCGTGTGTGTTTGTCTCCATTGCACGTGTGGGGTGGGGCGAGTCTGAACTTTTTTTCTGATCTCTTGAGAGACTGGCTAATAAAGGGGCCAAGATGAACAGCTTTTTCGGATTTCGGGGTTATTATAGCATATTTACATAGGGACCAGAAGGGAATGCTAGCAGAAATATTATTCCGACCCCTATATTACCCACGGCAGCGATTGTAGGTGTAAGCTCGGGAGGGTCACGTAAGGACGTGACAGTCGACCTCTTCGTGCGGACCTATCACGGAAAGAGTGGCTCGGATGCACGGCAGATGGCAGATGGCTCCTATAGTACTCCTTCAACTCCACCCTTCTGGGCCTCACTCCCTTTAAACCCCCTGTATGCCATAACAGCTACCCTAGGCCCTAAGCCGAAGATGTCGCACGGTAGACCACACAGTGCCGTGGCTAGTCGGGTGGCGAAAAAAAGACCTAAACCCTAAACCCGAAACCCGAAACCCTAAACCCTAAACCCTAAACCCCAAACCCCAAACCCCAAACCCTAAAGGAAAGGAGCTGGAGTTGCTCCTGGAGTCGGTGGAGGTGCCACAGGGGGCCTTCGAAACCCGGGTTTAGGGTTCAGGGTTTTGGGTTTAGGGTTTAGGGTTTAGGGTTCAGGGTTTAGGGTTTAGGGTTCAGGGTTCAGGGTTTAAGGTGTAGGGGTTCCGGGATGAAAAACACACAAAAGAAACAACAAGATGTTCTTGCTTATACGGGCAGTATAGGGTTGCTTCTTATTTTACGAATCCCCCCCCCCCCCCCCCGAATATTAAACCCTACCCCCTACCCCCTAATATCAAATACCGCCCAGAATTGCCACATTGTAGCAAAAAAAGGGGGTGGGGTGGTATTTAATATTAGGGGGTTGGGGGGTTATATTTGGGGGGAGAAGATTGCTTTCTTAAGAACACCCAAAAGAAGCCGAAAGCATGTTCTTCCTTACAAGGGCACCATATAGGGATTAGTGTTTTGTGTTTTTCGTGGGGGGGTTCTCAAGCAAGTAGTAGTAATTCTATGAGTAGATCTCCAAGTTAGGGGTCCTGTTTTCGGTCCTGGTTGTTAAGGGTGCCGAACTATATGTAGGACCCTAATCAAAAGGAGCCCTGGTTCAGAGAACTACCCTTTTTCCGCCAACTATAGCATAGCCCCTCAAAAAGGTTTCAAATGAATTGGTGCCCTAATCTTGGGAAGCACCCACATGTCGTTTGGCTCAGGGCTCTCCTGAGTGTTGAGAGGTTGCTAGTTTGCACAGCACGACAACTAGCAGCAGGACCAAGGTCAGCCTCGTTCCGGTGAATATTCTCTCCCTGAGTATGCCGATGTCATGCGCCGACCTGCATTGGTTGTTGTATACGCCGCGTGCAAATGCCCCGCAGCCGACTGAGCCCAAGGCTGCAAGCCCGTACGCCAACCCTGAACCCCAATTTACCCTAAACCCTAAACCCTTCACCCCAAAACCCTAAAACCCTAAACCCTAAACCACCCATGAACACACGGAATCCCTCCCACACCCTAAACCCTAAACCACAAACCCTAAACCCTAAACCCCAAACCCCAAACCCCAGACCTCAAGTCAAAGGCTTACCAAACCCTAAACCCTAAACCCTAAGGCCCTAAACCCTACTTAAACCCTAAACCCTAAACCCTAAACCCTAAACCCTTAACTTGCTTCCGGCCTTGTCGACCCGATGGCAGCTCCCGGCACCTGCATCTCCAGCCATGTCACAGGCTGGAACAGAGTGAGGGTTTAGGGTTTAGGGTTTAGGATTTAGGGTTTAGGGTTTAGGATGGTTTAGGGTTTAGGGTTTAGGGTTTAGGGTATTTAGGGTTTAGGGTGTAGGGTATTTAGGGTTTAGGGTTTAGGGTTTAGGGATTAGGGTTTAGGGTTTTTAAGTTGGGATGTTCCCCCTTGTACTAACCGTTCTCAATAGGGATTATAGTGTTCCCCCCTATTTTGATCCCTATTAAGGACTGTTAGTATAATTTTTGCTGTCGGCACCGGGTTTCACGTGCTGTTATAATATTCTGAGGACTCTCCTCGCTACGATTTGGCTTGTTTTTTCATAGATGGTGGCGGGTATCAGGGAATCAGCGTATACCCTAAACATCCCTAAACCCTGAATCCTAACCCCTAAAGCCTACCATGACGTATCATGACGTCTAGGATAAAATCCCATGCGAGCTTTTGCAGCTTTTGATTTCAAGGCTTGGGTCGGGACGGGAGGTTCCCGCCCTGTTAGAGGTAGCATATTCCCAGAAATGGGAAGGATCCAACAAGTAGATCCCCTTAAAGGTCCTAACAATGACCCAATAGTATGGGGTACTATTTGGGGGCTCCCACCCCTCCCCCCCGGCCCCCTCCCCCTCCCCCGGTACACACACATACATGTTTGATGCATGTGTTTGTGTTGCACTCTATGAATGTATGCAGTCATGTTGCCTCCCTCTCTATGTAGAATGTATACATATATATATACATACATATATACATATGTATGTATACATACAGTTCATATGAACCCTACATCTTACAAACCTGAAAGGAAGCCTCTAAGCAGTCGGGCCGATGCCCTGAAGAACTCCGCCTTCTCCCTGCGCGCGCCAGGCGCAGCTGCAGAGCACAGACGAGGGCTTTGGCCCTCTGCAAGGCCCGGCGACCGCGCTGGCGGTTGCCTCAGCGGTTTGGGGTGCGGGTTCTAAGGGTACAAAGCGGAGGGCTCCCGGGCACCATTGTAATGGTTCACTTGGTCACTTGGTAGCCCAGTACCCTTATCTTGGTTCAAAGTTCCCAGATATAATCACTGGGGTACCAAGTTGTATGGGCTGCCCATACCGCTAAAACCTACGCCAAGGACCACCCGCAGCAATCCTACAATAAGGACCCCGCCACCCCTGAAAGCTTCTTAAGTGTTGTGGTCAGAGGTTTGTCTTTGACAGGAGGTTTCTGAGATGAAAGAGATGTGCCAGGTCGTCTTCCTACACGGGCGGGGCGACACCGGCCACAACATGTTGCCCGTTGCCCGGAACCCGGTTGGTCATGCCCGCCAGTGATGCTTGGAGGTTCATGGGTACGTATAAGCAGATGTGTAAGTAGGGTAACCATGGTTATAGCCTTACTTAGAGTACTGCGTACTGATGACCCTACTTATAAGTACCTATGAAAAGTCCTAGTATGGATGTGATGGCGCCGAGCCTCGCGTGGCGTGCCTGAGTTGTTTAGCAACCGAACCCCAGATCAACCGTTGCTTTTCAGGTCTCGGCCCTAGCTTCGGCGGTACCAACGGCACGCTTCTGGCTGCCCACAGCGCCTCGAAACCAGCTCCTCGCCGCAGGGGCTTCAGGGGTTTCATCAGGGTTGCTATCAGGGTGTTATCAGCTTTGATCAGGGTTTAATTGGGGTTTTGAAGGGTTGGCTCAGGGTTTATGACTCGGGGTTGTCTAGAACAGTCACAGGATGAGATGTTCCAGGTGAGGGCCTCTGCAGACCTGCGGCAAACGGTGTTATTTAGGAGCTGTATGGATCCTTTTTTTTGTTACCAACCCTGCCCTCAGATGTTTTCTGGGTGTTGAATCATCTAGGCCTAGGCATCTTAAGATCACTGAAGCGCGAACAACTACACGGACACACACAAACCCGAAACCTGCTAGCTGGTTCTTTCTTCAAGAACTACGCAGCACTTCCCCGCGTTTCGCAGGCAGGGCCGCACCTCCTGGTACGAGACAGACGGTGCAGGATCCATCTTCCGGCATTTTAGGGGTTATAGGGTTTAGGCCAGATGCAATGCAAAAGTGTCTAGGGTTTAGGGAAAGTTCATGCGAGGTTGCCCATCTCCTTTGCATCCTACCGGAGCAGGATACAGTTTGCCCAGCCCATCTAAGCCCTGAGAAGATAGAGTAGCACGAGCGCCCAAACCCTAAACCCTAAACCCTAAACCCTAAACCCTAAACCCTAAACCCTAAACCCTAAACCGCAGAGACAGCGCCGATTAAACCCTAAACCGCACCTTTCTCACAGTTGCCTTGCGCGAACATGCAGACACCCACTCTCGGAAGTTGCAAGAGACGCTGCTTCCTAAATGATATGGATCCCCCCAATACTAGGATTCCCTTATAACAAGGGCCCCACCCAAGAAGGTACTCGCTGATTTCGTAAACTCCCAACCCTAAACCCTAAACCCTAAACCCTAAACCCTAAACCCTAAACCCTAAACCCTAAACCCTAAACCCTAAACCCTAACCCCCCCAAAAAACGGGCTTAGCTCGGACTCTTAGAAGTCAAGGCCTCTTTGGTGCTTTTACTCTTGCAGCATGAGATGCCAGCTCGGTTGCTGGGGTTAATAGATCGGTAGAGATCGGTAGATATATCCCATGATTATACATAAATAAATAAATAAATATAAATATATATATATATGTGTATATATATATATACATATATGTATCTAGTGTATGTATGAATGTACGTATGTATGTATGTATGTACGTATGTATGTACGTGTGCATTTACGTGTGCGTGTTTGTAGTCGAAAGCTGCCTGAAGGGCAGTTTGACCAGCGCATCTACGAGCTCCGCCATCAGCTCCTGTCGCGGGTCCAGCGCCTCGAGTCCCAACCGCCCTGTTTTTGCCGAAGCAAAGCTTAGGGTTTAGGGTTTAGGGTTTAGGGTTTAGGGTTTAGGGTTTAGGGTTTAGAGTTTCGGGTTTAGGGCTTTCAGTCAGCAGTGCTGAGTTGTGGGTTGTCCTGGGCAGCTGGGGAACAAGGGCGAGGCAGGCAGTGGTTATCACGTTGCAAAAGGGTTTTCATGGGGCTCTTCCTTGGGCCCCTGCTTGCGGTTATAGCCTTGGGTTTGGGGACCCTTTTTGAGGTGGGAGTTTTAATATAATTGGCCATATTCTAGGGGGTATCTTGAGGGACACCTTGCTTAAGGGGTACAACCTTTGGGGTACGAGCCTTAATCGGCGAGGGTTCGCCTCAGACCTGTAAACTCTGAACTGTAGAGCTTACAAAAAGGTTTAGGGTTTAGGGTTTAGGGTCTAGGTATCGCATGTCATGCCCTCTTATGCTCGGCCTGTGATGCGCGCTGCTGGCTTTGCTTTTGGTGTGGAAGCTTAGGGTTTTAGGGTTTAGGGTTTTTTGGGCTTCGCACGGGTCAGTTTCGAAGCCAGCGACGTGATGGCAAGTAGAAGAATTATCGTATTTTTGGGGTAGGTACATGGGTGCCCTGTTTTGGGGCAAGCCTCTCTCTTGCGTTAGGAAGGTTGCAGGCTGAGGTAACCCTCCTCAAGGCTTTTCTGTCTCCTGGTGGTCAGGGCGTCTGTCCGGGGTGGGGCTCCCGAACCCTACACATAAACCTTACTTCGGGTCCGGACACGCACTGAGGACGGAGTGCCAGAAGCTTGGTCTGCCGATGTCGCAGGCCTTTGGGAGTTCAACAGGAGTGAGGAATGAAGCAGTTGTGCCAGGTTTGTGCGCAAAGCTCGAGCCCACACGTAGCTACTGTACCATGTCGGTACCTAAAAGCCGGCTTGAGCTGCAGAGCCAGACCAACGGCGGGCAACTGCTCCCCTTCTTAGTTTGTACACTCACTACCCTCAACCCTAAAACCCTAAAACCCTAAACCCTAAACCCGCAACCCTAAACCCTAAACCTTGCGAAAGGTTGCCTTTGCTGGCTTCTCCCAGGGCTCCATGATCGCCGCCCTGGCGGGGCTCGAGGCATGCGGACTGCAAGCTTCCCTAAGCATGAAGAGCCAAAACCTCGTGTGTGCGCAATCTAGATACACGGTTTAGGGTTTAGGGTTTAGGGTTTTACAAGATATTAGGGTTTTACAAGATTCTACCGTTCCCACACAAGAATATGCCTTGTGCAAAAGTAGGCAGGATCACGCCGACAGAAGCATCGTAACACTCAGTGCCAGCAGCAGGCAGCAAATTGCTGTTGTGGTCGTCCTTGCCCGTTGCTGGTGGCTCTGTGGGTTTTTCTGTTTGACCCTAAGCCCTAAACTTTCCCTAAACACCCCTGAAACCTAGCTGTTAATGAGATTTATGATAAAGATCCTTAGATTCCGACTAGACAAGCCTTCCCAGGCAGCCAGCCCTTGCGCGGGCATTGGGGTGCTTTGCGGCCACTTGGGCCAGGTTGAGGTTAGGGAACGCACCCTGAGCATAGCGAAGGTAACGCACCCCTTGGTTCAGGAATCAAGGAATGGACCTGAAATCGCATTAAGGGTCCCCACACCATGTCAGTAATTATACTCATTACATGGAGGGGTGTATTCATTAAATTACGGGTTGTTGGGGTCTCTGGGAAAACAAAGGAGCATGCTGTGCCCAGCTGAGGTGGGGTACCCTGGGACCTCCAGCTCACAGATGCGATGCGTGATGTCCCGATTCTCTTCGTGGCCGGGGGATGCGACAGGACAGTCTCGGCTGAGTGTAACCGTAAGGGTCCATGTACCTAGTAGGGAATACTTGGGCCTCACAGTACTTGCTACATAGGGACTTTGGGGCCCAAGTATAGAATAATTAGGTGCTTGGACCCTTAGGGTAATACCGTAACGGCCAGGGTGTGTAGTGGCAGGGTGTGTAGAGTTCAGGGGTTGGGAATGGGGCAATCGCGACAATAAGTGTATGTTCTGAACGAACAACCCTAAGCCCGAAACCCTAAAAAGGCAGGGCCAAGGGAGGGATATGGAGGGATTCATCCTCGGTGGGTTGGCGAAGTCCTATTCCAGGGTTGAGGGTATAGAGTTTTGGGTGCAGAGTTTATAGGGTTTATGACATCAAGGCTGGCGAAGTCTCTTGGAAAAGGGTTTAGGGTTTTAGGAAGGCAAAGCTGTTCTAAGCACCTACGGCGCCCAAACGCGAAGAAATGCTTGCGAATGCATTGCCAGGACGGTCACAGCTGAAACAACCCGCGTGGCCAAGGATGGCAGATTGAAGACTTCCCACTCGGGTTTAATTGACTACTATGTGCTTATGAACCCCAAAAGAATAAAAAGTGTAATGCCTATATTACCCTTAATAAGGAAGAATATTTTTCGGGGTTCTTGAGCAAGTAATAGTTTTATGTAGGGCATCAGGGTTTTGTATGGGGCTTGTATACAATATCGAGGTCCTTGGATTTATTACCGGGACCTTAAGGGTAGTTCTGTTAGTTTAAGTGTTTGCTACTCATCGTGTACAAAGGGGTTACAGATGGATTTAGGGTTATGTGTGTATTGGTGTATGGGTTGGGGGTACGTCTCATGGAATTCTTCGGCATGGGTTGACCATCGGGCACTCAACCCGACCGTGCTGTCTTTGTCTAGTATGTATCGAATAAGGGACGTGCGGAATCCTTCAAGCGGATGCGTAGGTGGATATAAACCTACTTCAGTAAGCCAAGCGGCAGGAGAGACTTCTTGAGCTGGGCATGCGACGACTGCGCTACACGGAGTACCTTGACGTACTGGTTGGCACTTGGCCCTGGGCAGCTGTGGAATCTTCACTTACCTTGAATTCCTGTCAAGTCAAATCCCGGCAGAAGTAGCCTGACAGAAGAGTCGAGAAATGTCGCTCGCGTCGTTTTTTGGAGGGGCTGGAAAGTTGACGTGCCCATAACTCACAGCCTCGGAAGAAGGAACGGTCCTTCGGTCTCGCTCCAGAACTCCTTGTTTGTGCTTTTCTCATGTAGGGATGTTCTGGACAGGCAGCACACCCAGCACTATATACGCCGCGAAAGAAGAAGAGCCAACACAAATCAAAACCTTAAACCCTAAACCCTAAACCCCAAAAACCCTAAACCCCTAAACCCCTAAACCCGAAATCAAGTTCCATTCGATGCCTCTCGAGGCGCAGAGCTGCGATGATGGTGTTCCATTTCAGGTTTGTTTAGGGAATAGGGTTTAGGGTTTAAGGTTTAGGGTTTAGGGTTTAGGGCACTTCCCAAAGAGCCCTGAATACCCTTTAGTTAAGCAACATGCCTGAAACTATACAGGGGTTCTTAGTATGATTTAAGGTCTATGTTATTAATTCAGGGGTATTGGGCTCTCTGGGTTTGTGCATGTTGCAACCCGCCTTATCCCTTGGGATGTTCCCCCTTATACTAACAGGGATTATAGTACCCCCCCCCCCCCTACTATAATCCCTAGACCCTAAACCCTAAACCCTTATCCCTCTTAAGGACTGTTAGTATAAGGGGAACATCCCGCCTTATCCCTGAAATGCCTGATGGGGTATCTGCTGTCTGCTGGCTGGGGGGCCTGCTCAGGCTCCCCGAGCTGTCGCACGAGATTTCCGGCGAGGTGCTTTGACACCCTCAACACCAGAAAAGAAAGATCCCAATACCCGTTCATGAAGGAAACTGCCCTAAATCTTACAAAGGATCCCCAAATGATTCAAGGTACACTCCTGAGTTGAAGGGGTATTGGGCTCCCTGGGCCAAAGTGTGAGGGTGCAGGCGGTGATTCGCGTGTCACGTAGACGCAGGCGGAGGGCCGCGACCTCTCAGTCCTGGTGCGTAGTCGAGTTCCTTCCGCTTTTGAGGGGTTGCAAGTTGGTGGGTTTCTTGTCTTGCAGCCCTACTGGTACCTACCAATCGTCTGGACCACATGAACCCTATCACGGTTTATGGTTCATATGCCCTAATAGGGTATGGGGCCCCAATCTTATATACATCTGATCCCCAAGGCAGTTTGCCAAGTGTCTGAAATCACGCATGTAAGCCTTCAACCGCAGCTCGCCAAAGCAGCAAAGGTAATCGAGCTCATGAAAGAGTTCCTTACCGCCTGTCTGCCAAGTCCACAAGCTCAGGCCGTTGACCCCCCCCCCCCCCCCCAAAGGTTTAGGGTTTAGGGTTTAGGGTTGTAGAGGCGGAGCCGGCCTTTTGGGCCCTGGTCCGTCCTTGCTACGCGTGTCTGGGGCCGGCACCCCCATAGAAAGATTGGGGAGTAGCGAGCCCATGGTGTAGGGCTTAGGGTTTAGGGTTTAGGGTTTAGGGTTCAGGGTTTAGGGTGTGAATCCCTTCCCGTGCAAGGGTTAAAGGACTTGAGACGGCCTGAGGTTGGCACCTCAGGGGGGAGGCAGTTCAGGCCAAGGCACCAGTAGTTGTCCCGTGGGGTCCAAGTCCAACACTCAACATTGTTACCCTAAATCCTAAACCCTAAACCCTGAACCCTGGGGGGGATTCATCTTTTGGCAGCGTCGAGCAGGGGAGGAGGTTGAGAACATCTTTTGATCGGGCGAATGCCCCCTGTGATGGCTGTAGGGAGGCTACCAGAAGCCCCACACTGCCCAATTATTATCCCAAACTGGAACCCGACTGTAGATTCTGCAGATTCCCTCTCACCCCCAAACGCATTCTTCCTGGTGGTTTCCTTGCCCACGTACATGAAAAGAACGCCCCGGCCTCCCAAGGTTTAGGGTTTAGGGTTTAGGGTTTAGGGTTTAGGGTTTAGGGTTTAGGGTTTAGGGCCCCCACCACCAAGTTGCAAAAAGGGCCCCCACCACCGACAGTTGCTCTTCAGGCAGGCCAAATGCACATTCCTGAAGGGATGCAGGCGGGGCGAGGAGCTGCCTCCATGAATGTATGGGGGGTGAGAATAGATACCAATAGTGTTCTCTTATTGGGTTTAGGGTTGTTTTGGGTCTTGAGTTTAGGGCCTATAATCCCTTTACCATTATACTAGAATAACCCCGCCAAAACCCTTTTCTAATTCTTCAGGCCCCTCCATTATGCGGCTTGCGGCAGCCCCTTGACAGCTGGTCCTCGACACTTCTCTCTGGTATATTGATACCTACGGCCCAATATTATGTTGTTTTACGGGCCGTTGGTATTAATATATAGTATATACATGTGTATATATATATATGTATATATGTATGGGCCAGGCAATGATCTTTAGTACTTGTGTGAGCCTACCGGCTCGGAATTCGTGCTCCTTTGTGCTGCACGGGAGGTCTTCCTCCTCGATGCGCCCGACGGCACTGACAACCGCGGGGTGGTCGAGCCTTGTCCTGCGATTTTAGGGTTTAGGGTTTGTTTCGGGTTTAGGGGTTAGGGTTTAGGGTTCAGGGTTCAGGGTTTAGGGTTTGTTTTGGGTTTAGGGTTTGGTCCAAGCCAGCTGCTGGTGACCGGGAATTTGGTGTCGTTACTGTGTAAGCAAAGCTTCTTTGGATCTCCGCCATTCAAGGCTCGTATGTAGTACAAGCTGTCTGCGCATGTGTGCAGTAGTTGGGAGGTCTTCATCAGTCGGGGTGTTCGGAACCCGTGGTCCCCAACACAAGGGCATGCGTGGGCTATATTACATTCTACATACATGGTGCGTACACGTGCTTGCATATTGCTCACTGAGTGCTTATCGTCCTTACATGATGCGTACATAGTACTCACACGGTGCTCACATGACGTTTTGCCTCTTATCACGTGGTGCTTACATGGTGCTTTATACCCTGCTTACATGGTGCTTTCATGGTGCTTACATCGTGCTTACATCGTGCTTACATAGTATCCCGATGCTGTGCAACTTGCGTGGTACTTCCGAGGCACTTACAAGTGATTCCCATATCGGGACTTACGCCAGAAATTACAACACGAATCTGTAGAAGTCTCTGCGTGCAGCAGTCTGACCTTACATCATGACCTCCAGTTCTGCTCCTTACAGCCTGCTTATATGCATGTCTAAGCAGAGGCTACCCTAAACCCTAAGCCCTAAGCCCTAAGCCCTAAGCCCTAAACCCGAAACCCAAAGCAGGAAGTAGCGCCTTGCTCGTGGAGCGTCTGCTCCCTCACATATGAACGACACCACTTTACGATTCACCTGCATCCTCCTCTTCTATTTGCCTACTAGTAGAGTAGGTAACCTTACCCTAAACCCTAAACCCTAAACCCTAAACCCTAAACCCTAAACCCTAAACCCTAAACCCTAAACCCCCAAGACTCTTTTTGGGGTCGAAGGCGCACCCCAAGTTCTAGCTCAAACCCAGAGACTCCACTGCCCCTGTGCTAAAGGTTTGCGTAGCCTAATCCCCTTAGAATCCCCTTATAGTAGTAGAGTAGGTAACCTTTAACCTTTTTGGGGTAGTCTAATCCCCTTATAATCCCAAAGGTTCACAGGTTACTGGACAACTAGGTTTGGGGAATCGCTCGGCGCATTACCTACCGACTTGATCTTCCTTTGGGACGGTTTATACTAGGACCCAGGGTGGGCCGCTTATTGCTTGTTTTAGGGTTCAGGTCCCTTGGAAGACCAAAAAAGAGCACCCTTTGCGTTCCCAGGTTTACTCCTTGGGTCTAGCATACTTTCCTGTATTGCGTTTAAGAGGATTGCATTAGGCCACTTCTCAAAATCATGGTTTTCTTTTGGGTGCCGTAAATATTCGGGGCCCCCTGAGAGTACTAATCCCACAAGGACATCCTAGCTTAAGACCCCTGCACCCTAAACCCTAAACACCCTGTAAGCAGGATGACATCAGGTGGTGAGGGACAACCATCTACTAGTAGCGTCCTGTGCTTCCCTCGGTTCGGCTGTTTGGGTGGAAGTGATCGCAGTATACTGTTCGTAATTCTGCTTGTGGTTGTGAAGCTTGGGAGGTTCTGGTAGCCTTGTTCATGACCAATGCCTTGTGCTTCTCACTTGACCGAAACTTCTTGACCCTAAACCCTAAACCCTAAACCCTAGTTGTGAGAGTCGAAACCCCATGCAAGCTGAAGCAGTCCCTTCCATCCAAGGAGGGCTTCGAGGAAGGCGCCGAAAGGTACTGGATTCGGACCGCTTGCTGGGACGTAGCCACACACAAGGGTTTAGGGTTTAGGGTTCAGGGTTTAGGGTTTAGGGTTTAGGGTTTAGGGTGTGTGTGTGTGTGTGTTTGGTATTATGTGTCGGCATCTACATACATCATACGTCTTATTTGTACTTGTTGTTCTGTATTGGGGGTGGGGGGGGGGGGGGCTTTTGGCACTTTTCAGGGCATGCTTAGTCATTGTCGTGGCTTGGAGGCCCCCCCAGGCTCCTAAACCTAGTACAGGGGAGCTGAGTTTGCGCGTGGGAGCTTGGGATGTTCCCCCTTATACGAAAAGTCCTTACTAGGGAGTATAGTACCCCCTAAACCCTAAACCCCCAGTCCTTACTAGGGAGTATAGTACCCCCTAAACCCTAAACCCCTAAACTACTATAATGCCTAGTAAGGACTGTTAGGTAAACGGGGGAACATCCCAAAGGCTGGACCATGATGTGAGTTCGTCTTTTGCTCCGTGTGTGGCCCAGGGTTTCGGGATTAGGGGTTTAGGGTTTAAGGTTTAGGGTTTAGGGTTTAGGGTTTAGGGTTTAGGGTTTAGAAAAGGGGTTTAGGGTTTAGGGTTTAGGGCCAAACAGGAAACATGTAGTGCCCTGCGATGGTTTTTGTGTGCGTGAGAGAGCGCGTTAGAAGGCTTTAACATCCCGTATTGCTTGAATCTTGCTGGGGGTTTAGGGTTTAGAGTTTAGGGTTTAGGGTGTAGGGAGCTGGCCAACATCATGAGGATGCTTGGCGGCGAACGAAGGCTGCTCCCCGCTTCGGACTTCGTCCAGAGAGCTCTGGCAGCATGAGTTACCTACTTCATGGGGGGGGGGGGGGGGGGGGGGGGTAGTAGTAGTAGTAGTAGTAGTAGTAGTAGTAGTAGTAGTAGTAGTAGTAGTAGTAGTAGCAGTAGTAGTAGCAGTAGGAGCAGTACAAGGCTCAAGGTGAGTGCATCTAGGATACTTCGGAGCTCCACTTCGCATCTGCCGGGGTACCGAGCCACGTCTACTTGCTCATCATGGAGGCCGCGACCGGCCGCTTGCTCTCCGAGCCAGTCCAGGACCAAGACACCAAGTACGTGCCGATGGTCATCTCCGAGAACATAGAGGAGGAGCTTCATCGCCGGGGCGCTTCCTCCGACACGATCGATAACCTCAAAGAGGATGACGAGATGACGCATCTGCCGATGCCGTCGATGTCGCTCGACGGATCAATTCGTCCCTATGCTTTGCGCTGCATTTCCCACCTGCTTCGGGCGTATACTTCGGATCAGGGCATGTGGTTTCACGCGGCCCTGCTTCTTGATCGCTTCGCAGCAAGCAACAGCTTTCGCTTGGAACAGCTGCCGCTGACTTGCGTGAGCTCAGCGAGCCTTGCCTTGAAGTGCTCATCCGCGAGGCCCTTTGCAAGCCAAGGCTCGCGTTGGATGATCTTGATCAAGGACTTTGCCGAGTGGTTGGAGTCCACCCAGAACTGCGTGACTTCTGAAGTGTCCAGCGAGGCACTCGCGCTGCACGAGAGGACGGTTCTTGAGGCGCTCGCTTGGCATGTGGGAGCCGCCTGTGTTGAGCAGTGGTACGTTGCTTACTTCACTCGCTTTGAATGCATGGTGGGTCAGGAGTTCCAAGCTCCTATCCTGCAGATGCGAGCCACGTTTAGGCTGTTCGCGCGCACTGTGGTGTTGTGCTTCCCAGCGTCTCCAATGCTTAGCCCTGGCAAGCTGGCCACAGGACTGTTCAGCCTGAGCTTTGTGTATGTGGGCCTGCTGCCAATGGCCAGCCTCAAGCCGCCGACCATGTGTGCAGCAGAGTGGGGCGCGCTTTTTGCGGCGACTCCTCCAGGCCAGCAGCCTCCATGCTCTTGTCTGCAGGCTGAGACAATGAGGCTTATGGACGTGCTCTGCCTGGTCGTCAAGGAAGAGCCGGATGACATCCGCGCCTGGTCAAGGCATGCACTGGAAGCCTTGGGCGAAAGTTTTCGGCAACTTAGCATCTTCCAAGTTGAGGGGGGGGGGGGGGCAATAGCTAGATTCCTCGCTCGATATTCAAAGTGGGGTGGAAGGCTGCAACAATTGCATGTTTGGGTCTTGCGAAGCAGATACTTTGGTTGGTTTCAGTCGCATCTTGAGGAATATGGGGTAGCTTGTCCCTCCTCAGTCTTGCAATGTTTTGGTGAACTCTTGAGTATTGTGAGCGTTGGACGGCTTCAGAATCTCAGCTGTTGCAGAGCACGAAACACAGTGCTCAGCAAGAAGCTTCAGATCCTGGTGTGTAGCTCAGACAGACCAGATGGTGGGGCCCCGAAGCGTTTGGAAACCGACCACCAGGCCCAGGAAATCCCAGAATTGCTTTGCTTGAGAGATCTAGAACCACCATCTGGATCACGGAAGCCCCGGAGAGTGTGCGGCTTGGGACTTCGACCACACTCGCCAAGCAAGGATTGCGTGACGGCCCAATTTGGTTTCAAGTTTTATGCTCGGATGATAAGCCATATCATAAGCCCTGAGTAATTAGTTGCCAGCGCTGATCTGCGAGACTTGCTGCTGGGCATGTATCTTTGATTTCGCAAGATGAGGCACAAGTGCCTCCTTCAGTTTCAGCAGCACTCCGCACGGAGCGTTCGCACCACCTAGGAGATGTCTGCATTCCGAATCCACAGCGGCTTCGCGATTTTTTGTGATTCTGTCCCCTACTCGATTGGTCAGGTCATATGATGATGCTGCTATGCTCTCTGCTGTTGCTTTGCATACCTGAAGATCGAGGTTCGCTCATTCACGCGGATTCACGTAGAACGTCTGGTTCATTTGTAGTAGTTGCCAGCTTTGCATTGCCGGCGGCACCTCAGCTGGATTCTATGCAACTGCTATGCAACTTCTGAACTCTTTGTGCTTGTGATGGCCAATGCCCAGGTCTTAGTCCAGAACGCGCAGGGGCAATCTGCGGCGTCACTTGCAACTGCGTTGTGTCAAAGATTTTCTTGGGTCTGTACCCTGTGAACCTGCAGTGCGTCCGAAAGAGGTCAGCTAGGCGGGTGGCGAAACCAATCGCGCAGGAGCAGTGAGAAAAACAGACCGCAGGAGTGCAAGCATGGTCGAGATTCCGTGCACGATGTTCTTCTCAAGGGACTAAAGGAGGGACCCTTATAACTTCTTAGGGACCCTTTAGGGGTTATTCAGGGGCTACTTAGTTATATATATATATATAGATATACATATACACACACACATATATATATATATACAGATATACATGGGATTATATAAAGGTACAAAAGATGGGGGTTATATAGGGGAATAAGATTAAGGGTCGCCTTCTAGGGTTCCCTCCTTGTACCCCTTAATCTTCTGCACTTATAGATTGGAATGCTCCCCTTATACGAATAGTCCTTGATAGGGATTAAAGTACGCCCTAAATAGGGATTATAGTACCCCCTAGTAGAATCCCCATTAAGGCCTGTTAGTATAGGGGGGAACATCCCAACTTACACCTTAAACCCTGAACCCTGAACCCTAAACCCGTGCAAGCTGCTTCGCAAGGTCTGCAGGTGCAATTGCTCCAAGCTGGCTTCGGCGAGAGTCCAGGCGAGGCGAGAGGAAACTACCCTGAGTTTAGGGTTTAGGGTTGAGGGTTGAGGGTTGAGGGTTTAGGGAATATAAGGGTTGGAAAGCAAGTATCCCCCTATGGTTTCTAGGGAATAACACTACAATAGCCCCCAAAACCCCGTTCTAAATCTTAAGACCCTTATGTCGCCCTAGACGACCTGATGCCCTGAATCTTGTATGTGTCCCACAGTTCCGAGCCTAACAGTGGCAGTTAGAATGTAGGTAAAAAGGCCTAAACCCTGAACCCCAAAAGGTAGCAAGAGGAACAAGTCAATTTTTTTTTAAGGAGAAGTAGTAATACCCATTAGCAAGAAATAATACGACTATGCAAGACGAGATTAGACATCGAAGACGCCCCAAGATCTCCGGTTTGCTGTGGCTTGGAGGCCAGCGCCCAAAAAACGAACCCTAAACCCTAAACCCTGATTGAGCGTGCGCTTTGGGCAGCTCCTGATTGCAACATGTTAAGGTTTAAGGGCATGCGGCAGTACATGGGGGTTTCCGAAAATAGGGGTTTAAGGTTGTCCCTTTAAGGGGATTTCGGGTTTAGGACTTAGGGTTTCTATTCCATTTGGGGTATAAAAGGCGTACAACTGTTTTCGGAAATACCCACATTGCCCTGGACAGCATCGTAGAAGTTACAGAGCCGCTAGGTTTTGCTCCGAAACCAGAAGCCCTAAACCATGACTCAGGGTTTAGCGTTTGTAGGGTTTGGGGTGTAGGGATCCCCGAAACCTCCTAAGAGTAATTACATGCTCCATGAATATGGCCCTTTAGGTTCACAGTTGTTTAGAATATAAAGGCTGTAACCCTAAACCCTAAAAGGGCTCCAACATCAGGGCCCATACTAAGGGACCATGTAGCTACCCCAAGAAACCTTGGTATGTTGAGGGTCAGCATCTCCTAGGTAGGAGAAGGGGGACCCTTAAAAGGGAACCCTGCTGAACGCTCTTCAAGCTCTGTTTCCTTATTCCCTAAACCCTAAACCCTCAGCTCTCAACCGTCAGCCCTCAGCCCTCAACCCTCAACGCTCAACCCTAAACCCTAAACCCTAAACCCTATAGCCCCAAGGGTCCCCCTAACCCTGTCCCCCTAGCACCAGGCGAGTCGGCCAGCCTGGTTGGCCTGGAGCTTGGAGCGGATGGCGCAGCCGGTGCAACTTGAATACAGTGGGGTGTCAGGGTCTGCCTTCTGGACTTGTCTTGCCCTAAACCCTAAACCCTAAACCCCAAACCCCAAACCCCAAACCCTAAACCCTGGCCTAAACCCTAAACCCTAAACCCTAAACCCTAAACCCTAAACCCTAAACCCTAAACCCTAAACCCTAAACCCTAAACCCTAAACCCTAAACCCTAAACCCTAAACCCTAACCCTAAACCTTCTTCAAAACATGCCAGGGAAACATGTAAAAGCGGTCGGAGGCGCTCCGCCCGTCGGGTTGCTTCGGCTCAGAATTTGGGAGGCCTAAACCCTCTAAACCCTAAATCCCTAAAGGGTTTAGGGTTTAGGGTTTAGGGGTTTAGGGTTTAGGGGTTTAGGGGTTTAGGGGTTTAGGGGTTTAGGGGTTTAGGGGTTTAGGGTTTAGGGCCAGTTTCAAAGGGCTCGGGTAGGTTTTCCGGTCCGGGCAGCGGCTTGCGCAGTTTCTTGGTAGTTATGAGGCACCTAGTATGCCCCTATGTCGCCTGTTTAAGGGACGACACGGGGTACCTACCTCCCCAGTCGCCTACTAAGAGGCAGAATGGTTTGCAAATGCAGCCTTGGAAACGCCGGGGCGACTGGGGACGGAAACCCCCTAAACCCTAAACCCGAAACCCTAAACCCTAAACCCTAAACCCCCCTAAACCCTAGTGCACGGCCCCTGACTGTGAACACATGTACGACTGGAGGGCCAGACTTCGCTGCGAAAGCAAGCGGCCCAAAAGGTGTTTGCCTTAACTGACATTTTGGAGTACTGTACTTTAATAATACTTTTTTGGGTTCTGGGTTCCTATTGTAGCTACGTATACCTAAAAAGTATATACTTTTTTTCCAGGGTCTACTCCAAAGGTAGGTTAAAGACCTTAGAAGAGAGGAGTTGGATGTTGAGACTCTTTCCACAGGCATCTCTTCTAAAAATGCTCCGCTGCCTCCCCTACTGTCAGGCCCCGGTTTAGGGTTTAGGGTTTAGGGTTTAAGGCATTTGTCCCTTTCTAAGGGTTAGGTACATGGGCGGCCCTTCATCTGGGCCCTTAATTGTGTACAGGGTATCTAAGGGGTAAATTGTTAGGGGCCCGTACTAAGGGACCATGTAACTACCCTTAGACCCTCAAGCAGACCCTGGACAGCGCTGTCCAAGCCAAGGCATACCTCGTGCGAGAGCTCGTGCCTCAGTGTTTGGGCCTCTATGGCAGCTGACCCCTCTTATTCGTCTTTGTTTCTGTTCCATGTAAGGGGATCCTGTCACACAACCATAAACCCTAAGACCTAAGCTCTTTCAAGGCTTTGCGGCTTGGCAAAACTGACCTCGACCAAAGTCTTCAGTAGAACCGCAGCCCAAAGAGCCCAACACCCCCTAGCAATCGGGTTTAGGGTTTAGGGTTTAGGGTTTAGGGTTTGGGGTTTAGGGTTTAGGGTTTAGGGTTTAGGGTTTGATACCTTGAATTTATGTAGGGATCCTTCATATGACAGGGGTCTTGGGGAGCCTACGTCAGCCTGAAACACCCGCAGAGGAAGCGGCGCCGCCTCTCGCGAGCAGGGCAGATTGGGGTTGAATAGAGGTTTTGGGTTTAGGGTTTAGGGTTCAGGGTTTAGGGTTCAGGGTTCAGGGTTTAGGGTTTAGGGTTTAGGGCCTCAACCCTAAACCCTAAAGGGCCGCTGAAGGGGCAAGAAAAAAGGGATTCCAGGGACAGCGTAGAGATCTGTGGACTTGTGCCCAAGTGACCCGAAACCCTACGTAAACCCTAATCAAGCCGCCCCTTATTCTTCCTAAGCCCGAACAAAACCCCAATTTAAACCCCAGTTCAACCCTAATTCAACCACCCGAAACCCAAACTGCACCCCAAAAAAGACCAATCACACCCTAGTTACACCCTACTTGATCAAACCGAAGTAAAACTTCGAAACACCCAGTTAAACCCGAGCTAAACCCCAGTTAACCCCAATTAAGCCCCAATCAAACCCGAATGACCCGACTCAAACCTTATTTAAACCCTAATTAACCCTAATCAAGCCCTAACCCGAAGTAAACCCTCGTAAAGCCGGAATTAATCTGAATTACACCGACATCAAACCCTCATTAAACCCCAATGAAGCCCTAGTTAAGCCCTAGGTAAACTCCTAAAACTTCGTGGCAGGTGCTCCCAGCATGCTACAGAGGATGGACCTGTACTGCGCGTGAGTCCCCACAGGCCGGGGCCTTTGCTTCAGCGGTCTGACCGCTCTCATACCCCTTAATCAAGGATAAAAACACCTCAAATCATGTCAGGGATCCCGAGAAAATTTAAAGATCCTTAAGGCAGGAGTAGTGGGCTCTCTGGGCAGTCTGATGACTCATGCGTTCTTTACATCAGGGCCCCTTCTTAAGGCCCCTTTTTGACTACGCGTCTAAGAAGCCCTTCGTAGGAGAACGACCCCACTGTGATTCAGATACCACTAGTGGACTCGAAACATTTCATGCGGCCACTTGGGTAGAGGGGTATTGCTTCAAAACTGCGCGTTCTCGATGACATGTTTTATGGTTATAGGGTTTGGGCTTGTAAGATTGGGATGAATTAGGGTTGACTAAACTTAGGGTTTAGGGTTCCATCAACGGGGTTTCGCATCAACAGTAGAGGTCCTTGGCGCCGTAACTCGAAGGTCGGAATCGCACCCTGGGATCTTTTCTTGGAGGTTCATGCGTACTGGTAAGTAGGGTTAGAAGTGCTGTAGGGGAACTATGGTTCTAACCCTATGTCGATTTCGTACTTATACCCCTACCGTGAACCTCCAAGTAGAATACCTTAACTTACCTACCATGAACCTCCAAGTATATAGCAAATCATACCTTACCCAAAGAGCCCAATATTGCTTAATTAAGGAATATGCCTTAAATCATATAGGGATCCTTAATATGATTTAAGGTATATTCCTTAATTACGCAATATTGGGCTCTTTGGGTAACTTATGCATTTGCAAGTTATGGCCTTTCAGGTCCCTGGAGGGGGTTTCCTTGGGTTTGCCAGCACGCTGCCTGTCTGAGGGTCGTCATTCAGAGGCCTTGCGTGGGGTAGAGGCCACTTAGGGCCGAGCCCGCCTACATGATTCTTGACATCCCTAAACCCTAAACCCTAAACCCTGAATCCTGAACCCTCAACCCTGAACCCTGAACCCTAGACCGAGGGTGCTGCTGCCGGTGGGCTGCATTGTCCGCCTCGGTGGTCTGGATGCAGGCCTTGACGGGCATAGGCGGTTTTCAGACGCAGTTGCATGGAGGCCTGCATGAACTCCTCTTCTCCACACACTTGACAGAATTATTGCACCACTCTAACTATTATTGTTGCTGCTACTGCTGCTGCTACTACTACTACTACTACTACTGCTACTACTCCTACTACTACTCCTACTCCTACTGCTACTACTGCTACTACCACTACCACTACCACTACTACTACTACTCCTCCTCCTCCTCCTCCTCCTCCTCCTGCTCCTCCTGCTGCTGCTGCTGCTACGACTACGACTATGACTATTACTACTAGTAGTAGTACTACTACTACTACTACTACTACTACCACTACCACTACTACTACTACTACTACTACTACTACTACTACTCCTACTCCTACTCCTACTCCTACTCCTACTCCTACTCCTCCTCCTCCTCCTCCTCCTCCTCCTCCTCCTCCTCCTGCTGCTGCTGCTGCTGCTGCTGCTGCCACTCCTGCTGCAACTGCTGCTGCTACGGCTACGGCTACTGCTACGGCTACTGTTACTGCTACTGCTACTGCGACTAGGACTGGTACTAGTACATTGGAAACTATGACTTCCGAAATCGCTATCAACGTCTAATTTTCTAATTACGGCTGCGTTCACTCTTCCTCTTCTCTTGCTATTGCTATTTCTTATTGTTATTTCCAGTACTAGCAGCAAAAAGCGTGCTATTGCTGGAATTAGTTAATCAGGTACCACTATTACAACTATGACGACTGCTGTTACGATTCCTTTCTAAACTACAATACAGCGTTCCAAGGCATTCTGAAACCAACCTTGGCAAGAGGCACCTTAGTCAGAATGTTCAGAGTGTCTCAGCCTTGGCATCACACACTTACAAGCCTGTTCACCAGACGACAGCTGGATTCCGCACACTCCTTGGCAGACAACAAACTCAGAACGGCTTACTCTTGCCTAGTGGCTAGTCACCTTCTACGATTTACTAACCATGATATTAGTAGGTAGAGTATTCCTGCGGGTACCGTTATTTTTGCTTTGGCTATTTATGTTATTATATGGGGCAATTGTCGTTTTTGTTTCTATGCCAACTATTTTCTACTCTTGTTACTGTGACTGTTCAGTTAGCATATTTCGAGTACGATTGCTATCAGTATTGTTGCTCTTAAGCACTGGCTGCTTCTGACCCCGTATTGAAGTAACTCTCTCGATTGTTATGCCAGTACTATGCGTATGACTATTGCGATTATTACCTATGATTATTACTGCTGCCACGATTTCTACCCACCGCGACGATTACCAAAATCCTCCACCTGCTCCTCCTCGTCCTGTACCAGTACAGTTTCAACAGGGGAGTGCAAGCAGGGGCCTCGCTTAAATACCCTAAGCCCGAATCAGAGCGACCTAATTCGTGCAGAGGAACCATTTTTGGTAGTGGAGTCATCTTGCGGTGGTCTTGGGAGGGTCTTGGGTTGCTGTCGGAGTGTTTTTTTGGAATCTTAGAGCATCTTATGCGCCTTAAGGTGGTCTTCCGCTGTTTAATTAGGGCCGATGTAATTCCCCACCCTCGGTGTGGGGTTGTTAGATGTTAAACTCAACTCTTCTCCTCGCCCGGAACGTCTTCTCCTCGCCCGGTCTACTGCTCGCTGATCCCTTGGAGTGCCCACCCCAAGTGTGCCTGGAGTGCCCAACCCCAGAGTCTCCCTGAAGTGCCCAACCCCAGAGTGCCCAGCCCCAGTCCCTGGAGTGCCCAACCCCGGAGTCTCCCTCGAGTGCCCAACTGAAGTGCCCAACCCCAGAGTCTACATGGAGTGCTTAACCCCAGAGTCTAAGTGTCCCTGGACTGCCGCCCAAACTCCAGAGTCTCCCAGAGTGTCCCGGAGTGTCCAGTTTCAGAGTCTCCAGTGCCCAATCTCAGAGTCTTTCTGGAGTGCCACCCCAGGTGTTCCCGGAGTCCCCAGCCCCAGAGTGTCCCTGGAGTTCCCAACCCCAGAGTATCTCTACCAAGAGAGGGTGGGGATGTTCGAAGTATTGTTTTTCTTTTTTTTGTCGCGGAGTGGTGCTGGTTTAGGCGATGGATGCTTTGGGCAGTGGTAGTAGCTTAGGATGTTCCCCTTTATACGAAGAGTCCTTTAGAGGGATTACAGTACCCCCTCGTATGATCCCTTCTAAGGACTGTTCGAAAAAGAGAAAAATCACAGGCAGTGATGCTGGTCGACCCGCGCGCGCCAGGACCTGCGAGGCTACGGCCCATGGCCGGGCGGAGGGCCTCCCTGCGCGGAGGGCTAGCAGATGGCCGCCGTCTGCTGGTGGGAATGGGAGGGGGTGGGGACCCAGAGAGCCCAATGCCCCTAAATGAAGGAATAGAGATACATTACAACAAGGGATCCTTAATCTGATTTAAGGGCAAATTCTTTAATTAAGGTGTATTGGGCTCTTGGCGGAGGGCAGTTTTCTGAGTTCAGCATGTGGCAAAAAGCAGCCTGGTGAACGTGCGACCCAGGGTTGTGAGAACCTCCATGTCTCTACGTCGCAGCCAAACAGAAGCGTGTGTGACTCCTCATAGGTTGTAGTTCCTTGCTTTGGTGCATGTATTGTTTGAGGGTGTGCACGTCTTGCATCTACGGGTAAAATGCGAAATTTGGCCGAAGCCTTATTAGTGCGTAGACCGTGTAGCGATCATCAAGCCCACCTGCTGGCATAGCTTGTCGGGGCGCTGCAGAAAGCAGTTGCGCTGTCAAATTATACTTAGCGGCCTGATGGCGTTGGAGCTTGAGTATCGTGGGACTTTCATCGACGTCCACGAGGACCCGTTTGAGCTGGCAGGTTCACTTGTGCGATCCGCCTCTGCTCCGGCCACGTACAGGAGGACGTTGGAGTGCGACGCCGAGTTCGAGGAGCGACAGCTGAAAGGCTATGTCGACAAGCTGTCCCAGAGTTTGGAGGAGCTCTCGCAAGAGATCAGCCAAAAAGGTGCACAAAGCAATGAAGCCCAGCCGGCTGCAACTGAAGGTGACGAGGTTCAGCCTGAAGTGCCAGCCGTGGCCCCCCAAAATGAAGTGCAGCCTCTTCTTCCAGGTTCCTTCAGCGAAGGGGGTGTAGGGCATCCCGAGGTGTGCCGCCGACCATGCGTGTACTTCAACAGGGGCTTCTGTCAGAGTGGTGCTACATGCACCTACTGCCACTACCCGCACCCCGACCGCGAGCCCAAGTTGGACAAGAAGCAGCGCTCCACGCTGGACGAGATCACCAAGGCGCAGCTCCTTACACTGGTGTTGCACTTCCTGCGTGAGCGTGCTGTGGTCACCGGCGTGGCGGACGAGGCTGCCGGCGTTCTTGCCATCTTTGAAGAAGAGCTGCGCTTCTGGTGCGGGGGCGCAGACGTTGCTGAGCTGGATGAATCAGCCATGGACAGCAAGACTCGCAAGCTCGCCAAAGTGATGGGGAGGATGTCCTTTGGAGCCTTACTCAGCTTGGCCTCTCATCGGTTGGACCGAAACCAGTTCCAACGTCACCTTAGCCAGGCGCTGGAAACGCTGCGTCGGTCTGTGTGAGCTTGTCGGGATTAGCCGGGTAATCCACAGCATGCGTCCCAGCTGCATGCGTGCGCCTCTTCCGAATTCAGCCGTGATACATAGCCGTGGGTAAAAGCTCAAGGAAGCTTCAGATTTTTCAAGTTAGCCACAGACTACGCTGACACGGCTCGATCCGCCTTAAGAGCTATAAGCCCGAGTCTCGGCCCGAGTCCAACTACCAAAGTCAGAATGGTTTGAATTTAGGGGTGTCAGGCGGCAGCCCACGAGCCGCTTCACACTTGCCTGCGACAGATGTCAGGCTTGTGTGCAAGGTCTGGCGTGATGCAGGCGGCCTTGTATCCTTGTATCGGGGTCAGCAAGACCCACACAACGTGCAACAACTCGCACAGTATGCAGACACTCGCATGGCGACAGCGTGCTTGTACCATGAGCATCATTCGGGTCCCATCCTGCGCAGGAGAGGCAAGGCACGCTCGATCGTAGTATTCTTACAAGGTTGGAGGTTCATGTGTAGTTGCAAGTAGGGTTAGAAGTATGGTAACTCTACTTGTAACCCTGTTTAGGGTACTTCTAACCCTACTTATATCTACCCACGAACCTCCAAGCAGGGTCGACTATCCCGGATCACTCAACTCGAAAGGTAATCACGTGCTTGAATGGAACTGCTGCGCAGGCCTTTTTGTCGCAAGCTCGCGGCATTTCAGGAAGCGGCGCTCCTCCAAAGCCCACCAGTCTCGTAATCGAGGGTCCCTTGAATCGAATCTCAACGAACCTCAAAGGCGTTCAGCCTTGAACCGTTCCGAGTCCTTCTATGGGTAGAAGTAGTAGTAGGGGGTTATAAGCGTAGCTCCCATACTTATAACCCTACTGAAAACTAACCTTGTACCCCAAGTAGCCCTAAAGCCCTAAAGCCCGAAAGCCCTAAAGCCCTAAAGCCCTAAAGCCCTAAAGCCCTAAAGCCCTAAAGCCCTAAAGCCCTAAAGCCCTAAAGCCCTAAAGCCCTAAGCCCTACACCCTAAACCCTATAAACCCTAAAACCCTAAACCCCCTAAACCCTAAACCCTAAATCGACTTCACTGCTGGAGCCGTCAGGACTTGGGGGGGGAGGACATTTTCGCTTCCTGGGCGAGATTTTGGGGACCTCAGACGCCTTCTGCGACAGTGCTCCAGGGCTTTGATTGGCCTTGCGTTGTGGGTTTAGGGTTTAGGGTTTAGGGTTTAGGGTTTAGGGTTTAGGGTTTAGGGTTTAGGGGTAATTTGCAGAATTAGGGTTCACGGTTTAGGGTCTAGGGGCTGGGGGTTATTTGCATAATAGGGTTTAGAGCTTAGGGGTCAAAGGGTGTACAGGGCTCAGCAGCATGCGAGAATTTCGATCGGTGTCCCTGTCGTCTTGGAGGTCGTTATTGGCATTTGCGAGATGCCGTTGGGGGGTCAGCGTGCTCTTTTTTCTCAGGTCCTTGACAGTTGACGGGTGCAGTTTTTGACGGCAGAGCACATAGCTGTCCCCCCCTTCGATCTCAAATGGAGGTTTCCGAAATTCGGGGTACCTTATTGGGTCCGGATTATAAGGGAACCTTACTATTGGGGGGTCTATTATAGAGGTCCCCTATTTTCGTAAACTCCCAGATGTGCAAGCGCCTGGAATTCGATGGCCATGTCTGCAAGCGTTTAGCTGCTGAGGGCCTGAGGCCTCCCGGGCCAACACGCCCTCGGCAGAAGACATGACAACGAGAGTGAAGAGAGATGGGGGGACGGAAGAGATAATTTTTGATGTCTGCTCCATCCTGCTCCCCCTTGGAGACCGCGGATGACATCCCCTGCAGGCCTTCAGGTGCGAGAGTCTGCATGCGTCACAAAGGGGGGCCCCTTTTTTTGCAGCCGATGCTGTGGCGACCCCTGGAGAGCACGAGCTATCGGGCTTAGGGCTTAGGGCTTACGGTTTAGGGTTTAGGGTTTAGAGTTTAGAGGGCCAGGGCCCACCGTCGACTTTTTTGGACCTCTCCTGCAGATACTGTCTTGGCCAAGTGCGATGTGCACCGGAGACACTCAGCAAGTTGAGTGGCAAGATTGCTTCTGGAGGGGAGCGCGGTCTGTGATAGAAGCTTTCCATGTTGTCCCACCGGCTTGCCTCTGAGTTTCGACGCAGGCTTGACCTGAAACCCGTTTGAACTCTAAACCTTAAAACCCTAAACCTTGGAACGTTCCCTGTGGAACTAACAGTCCTTAATCGGAAATTTTTGTAGCCCCTACTAGAATCCCTCTTAAGGACTGGTAGCACAAGGGGGAACATCCGAACCTAAACCCCCTAAACCCTAAACCCTAAACCCTAAACCCTAAACTCCAGCTGGAAGGGACCTGGGAGCTTCGAGCTACAGCAGCTGGCGCTTCCCTCCTGGCCGTAGTAGGCTTATGGCCTTTGCGCAGGGGGCCTCCAAATTGATTGAAGGACATGGGCCATCCTGGGGTACCCTCAACCCTAAACCCTCTCTGACTATGTATATTTAAACCCTAATGCCCTTCGTCGGCATATTGTTTTTTTCTTTCCCCCTGGTGGGCCTAAACTTTTGAAACCCTGACGCCCTGCGTCGGCATATTGTTTTTTTTCCCCCTGGTGGGCCCTAAACCCTGACGCCCTTCGTCGGCATATTGTTTTTTTTCCCCCTGGTGGGCCCTAAACCCTGACGCCCTTCGTCGGCATATTGTTTTTGGCCCGCCCCCACCCCCCCACCTACCCCCCCAAACCCCTCCACACCCACCCCCCCCCACCCCCACCCCCCCCACCCCCCCATCCCCCCCCCCACCCCCCCCCCCCCCCCCCCCCCCCCACCCCCCCACCCCCCAACCCTCCCTATTCCCATCCATCAAGTGAGGAGGTTTGAGAGTTAGATTTCGGGTTTTGGGTTAACTGGACCTTGAGCTTTAAGCCTACTGGGAATGTATTGAGTGAACTTTGTATTTTCTCAATGTTATGGGTTTCTTGGGTGGGTGGGGTTTTATTCCAACGCTTGACAAGCTGCTTGACTAGTGAATGCTCGGACTTGAGATGCTGAACCCTAAACCCTAAACCCTAAACCCTAAACCCTACACCCTACACCCTACACCCTAAACCCTAAACCCTAAACCCGAACAACCCAAAACAACGAGCCTTCCTGGTGGCCTCTCCCCTGCCGGCCTTCGATGGAGCACCCGACTCCACAGACTCCCGTGACTCCCGCGTTCCGGGTAGACGGCCCTCTCTGCTGCAAGAAACTCAGCTAGGGTTTTTGTGGGTTTTTCAGGGCTTTTTGGGGGTTTTAGGGTTTGTAGGGTTTAGGGTTTGGGGTTTAGGGTCTGTGTACTATACGGTTTTTTGGGTTTTTAGGGTTTTGGGTCTAGGGTTTCGGGGGTTCAGGGTCTATGGGGTTTAGGCCCTCGGGGCATTTTGTGCTTGCCCTTGTTTGGTTTTAAGAGAATCATATTCAGTAATATTTTCAAAGGGTTTAAGGGGCCATCCTAGTCAATCCCCGAGTACATCGTGTGGTGTTTGGCCCCCCCTCAGCCCTCCCTAAACCCTAAATTCTAAACCCTAAACCTTAAAGCAAGAGTCCTGATAAAGCCCTGGAAGGAGACTTCTATTTTCTGAGGATTCTTGGTCGTACTTAGAGGTTCATGAGCAGCTAGTCGTAGGGTTATGAGTACCCCAATAGAGTTACAAGTATAGTTACCGTACTTATAGCGCTACTTACAACTACCGAAAAGTAGCCAGGGGAGGAGACGGACACGCTGCAGAGACCCCCACCTGGCGCCGTCACCGCGAGCAGCACGGGCTTTAAGGCTGCAGATGGTCACTGACGAAGCTTCGTGTCACAGAACACGCGCCAGACCCTAACCCTAAACCCTAAACCCTAACCCTCGAACCCCTAAACCCCTAAACCCGACGTCCTATCAGACTGGCAGTGTCAGTTTGCCATCTGCAGCCGCAGCCCTCCCATGTTTGAAGTTGGCACCATGCCCCTTCGGGCAGCTACATCTGTAGCTACTGCTTGGGGCGTTCTATATCCCCCTTGGGAATTACTTTCTTGTTTTTGTAAAGCCCAAGAGGATGTTAAACCCTAAGCCCTAAACCCTAAACATCTTGCTTTCTTGTTAAGGTTCTAAGTATAAAACCCAAGAGGATATTAACAATATGATTTTTGTTAAGGTTCCAAAAGGGGAGTATAACCCTAAAGATATTATTAAGGTTCTAAGGGGGAGTATACCCTAAAGATACCGTTTTTATTAAGGTCCCAAAGGGGAGTATAGTGTTACACTGCATGGCATCATTGAACAGCGATGGGTACCCATGGGCCCTGAGAGAATCCCATGGCCTGCGGCGCGGAGAATCTCCTTGAGAGATTGAGGGCTAGGGTTTAGGGTTTAGGGTTGAGGGTTTAGGGTTTAGGGTTTAGGGTTTAGGGTTTAGGGTTTAGGGTTTAGGGTAGAGCTTCAGGGTGGTTGAGTCCCAAAAACTCCTTAGTCAAGGAATACATGATACCCTAATCTATACTAAGGACCTTACATCAAGGAACATACCCTAAGTTCTTACTTAAGGATCACTATTATGAATAAGGATGTATTCCTCAATTAAGGGGTTTTGCTAGAGAGATGCTGCGCCGACTTGGGATCGCAGGAGCCCTGGTGAGTCGGCTGCCCAATACCCACAGCCTAGCAAGATCTGGCGGAAGCGCCGTTGGGAAAAAAAGCTGCTCCCGGATCTTCCAAAACCCCCTTATGACTAAGGGATATACATGCCCGAACTTATACTAAGGAATGTGATTATGCATTGGGGTATATTCCTTAATTAAGGGGTTTTGGAAGATCCGGGCTGTTGACTGGAGACACTGGGGGGGTTGAGGGCGTCATGACACCGAAAAAACTCCCAAACTGCCTGAACTTGTTTAGGGTTTAGGGTTTAGGGTTTAGGGTCTAGGGTACTACCTTCTTGGGGTCCATATTATAATTTCTCGAGATCCCGAAGGCGAAGCCCTAAATGCGGAAAGCCGGACTACTAGTTGGCTTCGCAATCACTAGCATTTGTGCGTAAGCACAACCACGAAAGCAAAAGATAATCCCTATATATTACCCTTATACGGAAAGTTCTCTCCGTTTTTTTGGTTGGGTTCTTAAGATCAGCCGCGGACGAACGCTGCCGCTAGATGGGGGTTACGAGCATAAGGGGCCCCTGAAGTAGGCCCCGGATTCCCTAAAAGATAAGAACCCCAAGAAAGTAGTACCCCAAACCCTAAACCCTAAACCCTAAACCCTGCTAGAGCCGAAACCCTAAACCCTAAACCCTAAACCTTATAAACCCCCACATGCGGTTCTTGGCAGCGCAGGCCGTGGAAGGCGAGTCGGCTCCGATCCGGCTGCTTCCGCGGCAGCTGCTGCCATGACACACTTGGAGGTTCATGGGCAGCGATAAGGGGGTTTCCGAAAATAAGGGACCCCTAATTTAATGTCGACCCCCAAGTAGTTGCCTGGCGCGCTAGACCCTCTGCATGCAACGGCAGAGAGAGTGAGAGAGAGAGAGAAATAGTAGGATGCCCCAATAAGGTACCCCTAATTTCGGAAACCCCCATAAGTATGCTACTCCTACTAGTACTACCACTACTACCACTACTACCACTACTACCATTACTACCACTACTACCACTACTCCACCACAACAACAACAACAACAACTACTACTACTACTACTACTACTACTGCTACTACTACTACTACTACTACTACTACTACTACTACTACTACTACTACTACTAACACTACTAACACTACCACTACCACTACCACTACTACTACAACTACAACTACTACTACTACTACTACTACTACTACTACTACTGCTACTACTACTACAAAAAACTACTACTACTACTACTACTACTACTACTACTACTACTACTACTACTACTACTACTACTACTACTACTACTACTACTACTACTACGACTACGACGACGACGACGACGACGACGACGACGACCACTACCACTACCACTACCACTACCACTACCACTACCACTACCACTACCACTACCACTACCACTACTGCTACTACGGCTACTCCTACTACTGCTACTCCTGCTACGACTACTACTAGTACGAACTGACACTGAATTCGAAAATATGAACAAGTCCGAGAAATCGTCGTCAATGTCTAATTTCTAATTGCGGTTGCGTTCACTTTTCCTCGTGCGATTACTACTCTTATTTCTACTTCCAGTACTAGCAGCATCACGAGCTCCATTGCTGTAATTCGTTAATTAGTCAGGTACGATAATGACAACTAAAGGACTGCTATTACGGTTCCTATTCTACTGCCTATTCCTCTTACACTTGCCGAGTTGCTAATCACTTTTTACGATATACTGACGATGATATCAGTAGACATAGTATCCCTGTGGGTACCGTTACTTTTGCTTTGCCATTTCTGTCATATGAGGGTGCAATTGTTTGTTTCCGTTTCTATGCCAACTCTTGTTACTGTGGTTGTTCAGTGTTTCTGACTTCTGACCCTGTATTTGAAGTGACTCTTTCGATTATTATGACTAAAAACCATTACTGTGAGTATGACTATTGCCATTATTGCCAATTATTGCAATGATTATTCTTGCTGCTACGATTTCTACCCGCCGCGACGATTCCCAACATCCTTCACCTGCTCCTCCTCGTCTTGTTGCAGTACAATTTCAACAGGGGAGTGCAACCAAGGCCTCGCTCAACTACCCTAAACCCTGTGTAAACCTAATTACCCAAAGAGTCCCAGAATTATGGAAGATACCCTGAAATCATAGCAAGGGTTCCTACATAGTAGTACAGAGAAAATTCTATAACATTTTGGTAGTGGAGTCATCTTGCGGTGGTCTTGGGGCGGTCTTGGGACGGTCTTGGGGTGCTGTCGGAGTGCTTGTTGGAATCTTGAAGCATCTTCTGGGGGTTTACGATAATAGGGGACCCCTGATCTAGACCCCCAACTTGTGGGATCCCCTTATACTAATACGAAGAGACCCCGAAAGAGCGTAAACCCCTTATGAACCTCAAGGTCGTCTTCTGCTGTTTGGGGCATAGTTCTTGTTGCTAGCAGCAGTGATATACTGGTCGACCCGCGTGCGCCAGGCGCGCGCCAGGACCTGCGAGGCTACGCCCCATGGCCACACGGAGGGCCGCCTTGCGCGGAGGCCAGGCAGATGGCCGCCGTCTGCTGGTGGGGATGGGAGGGTGGGGACCCAGAGAGCCCAACACCCCTTGATAAATTACATAGGGATGCTGAATATTTTCATTCATGGTATATTCCTGAATTAAGAGGTACTGGGTTCTTTGAAATTTGGGGGAGGGCGTTTTTCTGAGTCCAGCATGTGGGAAAAAGCAGCCTCGTGAACGTGCGACCCAGGGTTGCGAGAACCTCCATGTCTCTACGTCGCAGCCGAAGAGTGTGTGACTCCTCATAGGTTGTAGTTCCTTGCTTTGTTGCATGTATTGTGTGAGGGTGTGCACTTCTTGCATCTACGGGTAAAATGCGAAATTTGGCTGAAGCCTGTTTAGTGCGTAATTAGACCGACATAGCTTGTCGGCCGCTGCAGGAAGCAGTTGCGCTGTCAAATTATACTCAGCGGCCTGATGGAGCTTGAGTACCGTGCGACTTTCATTGACGTCCACGAGGACCCGTTTGAGCTGGCAGGTTCACTTGTGCGATCCGCCTCTGCTCCGGCCACGTACAGGAGGACGTTGGAGTGCGACGCGGAGTTCGAGGAGCGACAGCTGAAAGGCTATGTGGACAAGCTGTCCAGGAGTTTGGAGGAGCTCTCGCAAAAGGTCAGCCAAAAAGGTGCACAAGGCTCTCACCCCCAGCCGGCTGCAACTGAAGGTGACGAGGTTCAGCCCGAAGTGCCAGCCTTGTCCCCCCCCCCCCCCCCTCCCCCAACACTTCCGGGCTCTCCTTCAGCGAAGGGAGTGTAGGGCAGCCCGAGGTGTGCCGCCGACCATGCGTGTACTTCAACAACAGCTTCTGTCAGAGTGGTGCTACATGCACCTTCTGCCATTACCCGCACACCAACCGCGAGCCCAAGTTGGACAAGAGGCAGCGCTCCACACTGGACGAGATGACCAAGGCGCAGCTCCTGACACTGGTGTTGCACAGCCTGCGTAAGCGTGCTGTGGTGACCGGCATGGCGGACGAGGCTGCCGGCGTTCTTGCCATCTTCGAGGAAGAGCTGCGCTTCTGGCGCGGGGGCGCAGACGTCGCTGAGCTGGATGAATCAGCCATGGACATCACGACTCGCAAGCTTGCCAAAGCGATGAGGAGGATGTCCTTTGGAGCCCTACTCAGCTTGGCCTCTCATCGGTTGGACCGCGACCAGTTCCAACGTCACCTTAGCCAGGCGCTGGAAACGCTACGTCGGTCTGTGTGAGCTTGCCGGGATTAACAGGGTAATCCACGGTGTTAGGCGGGACCCCACGAGCCGCTTCACACTTGCCTGCGACAGATGTCAGGCTTGTGCGCAAGGTCAGGCGCGATGCAGGTGGCCTTGTATCCTTGTACGGATATTCAGCAAGACCCACACAACGTGCAACAATTCGAGCAGTATGCAGCCATATCTGCTGGTAGTGTACCATGAGCATCATTACCATCCTTCGCAGGAGAGGCAAGGCATGCACGATCGGAGTATCATCTTACAAGGTCGCACGACTAACTATTCCGGATCCCTCAACTCGAAACTCGGTACGTAGGCCCTTGTGACATTTCATATTCACCTTATTGGGTTTTAGAGGACTCTATTTGGGAAGATTTGCCAGCGGGCTTTTGCGCAGGCCTTGTTCTCGCAAGCTTGCGGCGTCTCAAGGAACGCGCTCCTCCACGCCCACAAGTCTCTTCTCGAGAGTCCCTGGAATGTCAGCGAACCTTAAAGGCGCTCAACCCTGAAGCCTTTCCGAGTCCTTCTATGGGTAGCTATAAGTAGGGTCCTAAGTACCCTAAGTGGGGGTTATAAACAACTTATAACCCTACTTATAACTACCCGGTTGAACCTCCGAGTAGCCCTAAAACCCTAAACCCTTGTGAAATCCACCCTCTTCTAGGACCCTGTTGAGTACAGCCGAGGTCATGTCACAACTGGCTAAGTTCTTTTCCATAGGATCCTTTGCCCAAAGAGCCCAATGTAGCTCAATTAAGGAATATACCTTAAATCAGATTAAGGATCCCTATATGATTTAAGGAATATTCCTTAATTAAGCTATATTGGGCTCTTTGGGTGTTTAGCCTTGTATGTTTAGGGTTTAGGGTTTAGGGTTTAGGGTTTAGGGTTTAGGGTTTAGGGTTTAGGGTTTAGGGTTTAGGGTTTGACCCAGTCTCAAAACCCTAAACCCTACACCCTAAATCGACTTCACGGCCATAGCCGTCGGGACTTGGGGGAGGACATTTTCGTTTCCTGGGCGAGTTTGTTTTGACCTCAGACGCCTTCCGCGACGGGGTTTAGGAGTTTGCATAATCAGGGTTTACCTAGTTTAGAGCTTAGAGATCAACGGGTGTAGGGGGCTCAGCAGCATCCAGGAATGTGGATCGGAGTCCCTGTCGTCTTGGAGGTCGTTATTGGCATTTGCGAGATGCCGTTGGGGGGTCAGCGTGCTCTTTTTTCTCAGGTCCTTGACAGTTGACGGGTGCAGTTTTTGTTCCCCCCTTCGATCTCAAATGGAGGTTTCCGAAATTCGGGTTACCTTATTGGGGTCCGGATTATAAGGGAATCCTACTATTGGGGGGTCTATTATAGAGCTCCCCTATTTTCGTAAACTCCCAAATGTGCACGCGCCTGAAATTCGATGGCCATGTCTGCGACCCTCGCCACCACGAAGCGTTTAGCTGCTGAGGGCCTGGAGCCTCTTGGGCCAACACGCCCTCGGCAGGACATGACAACGAGAGTGAAGAGAGATGGCGGGACGAAAGAGATAATTGTTGATGTCTGCTCCATCCTGACAGCAGCTGGCGCTTCCCTTTTGGCCGTGGTAGGCCTGTGGCCCTTGCACAGGGGCCTCCACATTGATTGAAGGAAATGGGCCATCTGGGTTACCCTAAACCCTAAACACCCTTAAACCCTACAAACCCTAAACCCGAACAACCCGAACAACGAGCCTTCCTGGTGGTCTCCCCCTGCCTGCCTTGGATGGAGCACCCGACTCCACTGACTCCTGTGACTCCCGCGTTCCGGGGCACTCTCTGCTGCAAGAAACTTAACTAGGGTTTAGGGTTTATAAACTAGGGTTTAGGGTTTATAGGGCTTAGGATTTGGGGTTAAGGTCGCTAGGGTTGAGGGTTGAGGCCCTTGGGACATTTTGTACTTGCCCTGATTTTTTGGTTTGAGAGGCTCATATTTAACGGCCATCCTAGTCAATCCCCCGT